TGCTTTGAAAATGTTAAGACTTTCCAACAATCAACTAAAGTAAATATTACATAAGATAATACCTTTTTTTAATATTTTCAATAATAAAAAAATATAGGCGATTATTTTATTATAAATCACATAATTCAAAAAATTATAATAATATTGATAATTTTATTTTAGTTACATAGTTTTGTCAATTTATCAATTTTGAAGTAATTTTTATATTCTTCCATAATACCTTATAAGGGTGTCAGATTATATTTTGTAAATGGAAACATATATAACTAATTTATTTAATAGATAATGATATAAATAAGAAAATGACTGGTTGAGTTTAGTTTAATCGATACAAACTTTGAATACTTTGAGGTAAGGGGCGGGTGTTGCTATTTTTAAACTAGATATTTATTATTACTTCATTCATCTCTGTCTATGCATAACAATATTCATCACTGTAAAATGTTAAAAACTTCTAATAAACTGGTTCAAGAGTTGTTACCGGCCCAATATTTTCTTAATTAGATAATTTTCCATCATTTAAGAAAGTTAAATATATTCATTGTTATTAAAAATAAATATAATCAACACTCCTATAACGTATAAGAAATTAACAAAAAAATATTTCTAGATTGAAAAATTAAAAAATACGTATATCTAAAAGAAAAAAAAATTGTTAATATTATTTTTATTTTTGATTAAGTGGTTCATGATAAATGAATCACTCTAAAGATAATACCAAGTATTAACCCTAATACATTTTAAAACGTGTTATTTCTTGATCAATCTTATTATACTATTTAATCGTTAACGCATTAAACTCAAATATTTTATTATGTAAATGAAATACTTATCGTAAAAAGTGGCTCGTAATTTAAATATCTATTTTTTTAAACAAATTTTAATATTGAAAATAATAGACTTTGAAAAGAGTTAATGAAATGGTGGACTTATGCTTAAACGTATGAGAAACGCAGCTGGAACCCATTCAAGTAGAATAAGAATAAAATATACTTTTAACTTTGACAACATTTAGAGATTTATGTAAATGAATTTAGAAAATGGATTACATTTTAATATTTAAATCATTGACATTATTTAAGTATTTAATAATGTCTATAGTATAATATATGATATATAATATATATATAAATATATATTATATATTTATACATATTTCTTTGAAAACCATAATACGAAATTGTATTTTTAAATACTTTATTACAAATCTCTCTTCTATTAATACTTCATAAATTTATTAACTCTTATACAATCAAATTATTACAGTTTAATAGTTACTAAGAATAGATTCACTTATTATACCAATTAGAAATTTGAAACAAATATTTCTCAACATTTCAATAACTTTTAAGTTTTAAGTTTTTATATGAGATATTACTCATGTTGCGTAATAACTTATAATCTAAAATTAAATTTATTTAAAAGCTTCTTGTTAATATTTTTAACCAAAAGCCAACTTGACAATTACTTGCCATTTCAAAATCGTAAAGGCAATTCCACGAATCAATTAAAAATGAAATCCCCAAAAAAACTCTATTTACATCCGAATAAATTATAGTATTAAATATAATTTCAAAATCAATCACACTTAAAAATATCGTTTTAAGTTTCATTTATATCACTGTAAAAAATATTCTCAAAATTATTATACATATGTACATTTTAAATAAACACGTTAATTATAAAAACAAGTTGTACATTTTTGAAATTAAGTAAAATTATACTCTATATAATAACTCAATATTTATAATCAAATATTAGTACACAAATTTAACATTTTTATCACTTTTTGTTGGAATAAAATGTGTGAATAGTACCCAAGAGATAATAAGTCACAAAAATGCTATTAAAATTATTTATTTAATACATAAAAACGTGCGCATTAAGATATTTAACAATAAAGTAAAACATTTTTAAAGAATTGGGAAAAATGAAACGAGGTAAATTAAAATCGTGTTTGCATTGTGTGAATAAAAAATATTAAAGAAATACTATCATATAAAAATCATTTTAATTTTATGCTTTTCATAATAAACGTATGTCGTTATAAATCAAAATATATTTATGAAACTAAACTTCATGGCGATGACGTGAACGGCGAAGGTTAATAAAGGATTTTGTGCGCTATACTTTTTATTAAACAAAATATTCAATGTTTACATACAAATATCGTTAATCTACCTAGAAAGCTTGTTGTGTTGACCTAAATTTCTATTCGAATTACTATATTAGAATATATTTTTAAGGACAAAATGAATTGGTTTTATTTTTCTTTTTGTAACACACCAGTACATATTGTGTTTGTGTAGTATAAATTAAATTTTGCGTTCATTATTTTTCAAACAATATTAATGTAATACTATACTCTCAGTATATTAATATATTATGTAAACAACAATTTTTTGTTTATATTTGAAATTATTTCAACATTGCTTTATAAAACATCTCAATTACAAATGACGAAAAGAATGTCCTAAGTATTTAATCGAAGACGGATTATTTCTTTAATTTTACCAACGAATAGACATTTTAGATATTATGTTTATCTTATAAACGAAAAAAATGAACGGTTAATATGGTAACAATTCTAATAAACAGTTGGAATAACTAAATAAATGGTTTGGTTAACCGAATATTCAATTATCCTAAACGTATTTTTTCTGTGGATCAGTTTCATTGGTACATTCTTTGGATTTATATGTCAATATATGTTCGCTATAATACAACTTAGAGTATCAATACTATAAAAATAAATAAATAATTAATTTGTTATGTATATTCGAAGTTTAATCAAATGAATATTTGTTATGACAACACCAAGATCGAAAAATGTTATGTTGATTATAATATTATTTTGTGAGTTAAAAAACTATTATCATTTGTCAAGTTAATTTAATTTCAAACAATTAAAAATATACACATAGAATTAAGTATCAATTAAATAAAACAGATATTCATGTCAAAATAATTATATCAAATACGTATATGAACACTTTTAAACAATTTAAGTGATTATTTATTATTACCGCGATTAACATAATTATTAATCATAAATAAAAACAAAGAGATTTCCCTTAAATGATTAATATTTAACAGAATATGATAGCTAAACAATTTAACCGAGTATAATAGTTGATCAAATTAATATTTATTTAATGCGCGTAGAACAATATGATTTGTATACACGTGTGAGCTGTGACTTTTTATACCAATAAAGTTACTAGGCGAACCCAAAAGTAATGATTTATTTACATCGTACGTCACTCTATTCTCTTGGATCTTCTCGCGAAGATAATAATTTGTTGTTGCTTGACTTGTTGTCGCTCGTTTAATGTACAAAATGTACCGAAATGGATTCCCATTTAATTGGAATATCATATATAGTGGACAAAATCTCAAAATATTTCTAATGTTTCGAATCTAGTCGATTCCAAGTCTTTATTTTATTTCAATTGCACTAACTAAGAATAATTAATTGTGACTTTGTTTTTACACATATTCTTTCTGTTCATTTTAGACAGATGTGTGTATTTTTAAGACACTATTGACTATTATTTGTTTTCGACGAGAAAATAATTTGTATTTTTTTTTTTATTTTGCACAAAATTCTCAAGAAAAAAGGTTTAGATTACAACTTAAAAAACGCCAACAATGAAATCTTTTGATTTCTTTGAAGTAAAGGGTCGCCCTTACTAAACTTTTCCACTCGATTTACCTTAATTTTATTTTTATTTGAATAGTATAATGAATGCGATATAATAAAATTCTGAGGAATTGCTTTATAAAATATTCAGCTTACATTAAATAACTACCAATATTCATGTATTCATATTAATTAAGCTCTTGCAGAATTTCATATTATATCAAACAATTATGAATAAAATATAAACATTTTGCGATTATTCTTATTAGCAATGTCCCTTAGGGCTAAGGATTTTATAAAATATTTTGTTTAAGTAATGAATTAATTGTTATTATTTTTTTAATTTAAGTACCTACTCAATACTAACACAATTAAGTTTTTAAAATTGTATAAAATATTTTATATTCAAGAGTGAACTCAGAAAAGGTTTTTAAGGGATATGACGAGATTTTTCAATGAAATTTTTTTTTAATAGTTTATATTATTTTATAAGTCACAGAATATCGTAGATTTAATAGAAGTTAAAAATATTACTAATGGAATCGCAGTTCCGGTGACCTTTTGTTTCGTTCCATTTATTTATGTTCATAAAATTATGAATGTTTATATTGTTCAATGTAGTTTATACTAATTCTGTCAGAAACTGTTATTTTATTAATTTGTTTCTTAGTCATATTTTCTATACATGTTTGAATAAAAACCGTATAATATGCTCTTATTCTCAGCCTCTTACGAATTACGTAATAGTTTATCCAAATGAAGGTACATAATAATTAAGGTGAATCGTATTTATTTACCTTACAAATAAATTTAAGTACAGTTTTATTGAAAAATATCTGAATAATTTTCAATTTTAAATTATAAGCCATGTATAATTAACAAATATTACACTACATTGTTTGTTTTCACTTAAGAACTACCTAATTCTTGTTTACTACTTTATAATATTCATTCGAGACCTTAATTTTTGAGGCGTTTGAAACGCTTTAAAAAATTATTTTCTTTTAATACTATTTGATTTTTAAATAAATGCCTCTCTTACAAATAGAAGCTTTCAAGAGAGGACATTGAACATAAATATAAAATAAGATGATAATATTATATATATATATATATATATATCATATAATATAAAATGAGATCAAAGAAACTCAAAGATTTTTTAAAATGAAAAGCGAAAACACGTGTTTTTCTTGGCTTTTAGCAAAACTAAACAATAATGAAAAAATAATAATTTGACGTTTTATTTTCGCCGATAAGTAAGAATTTAATTACATTATTTTACTCTCAGTGTCGTTTCGAGTGCTATATTATTCAATTAATTTTGTTTATACGAGTTTTGAGAACAAAAACTTACCTTCTAAAATCTCTACTCCAGCAAGCATATATCACAGGGTTCATGCCACTGTTGATCCAACCGAGCCATGTGACCACGGAAGACAAAAGCTGGTCCTTGAACATACAGTTCTCGTCACAGAACCCGGACAAGAGGTTGACGACGAAAAAAGGAAGCCAGCATACTATGAACACACCCATCACTATGCCCAGCGTCTTGGCAGCTTTTTTCTCCCTGGAAAGTTTGCTGAGTTTTCTACTCAGAGAGAAATTCTTCTGCAGCTGATGTGCGCGTGTATAGTTTTGCGACGTTGAGTTACTACCGCCTCTGTGAATGCGCAAAGTGAGTTCCATGCGGCCCGTGCTGTTGCCGCCTGTCACGGTAGACGACAAGACTTTAGTGCCGAGTCTCTGACACCGGGTTTGCGTCACCGCAGCGGTGTAAATTTTATAGTACGTGAACACCATCACCAGCAGTGGCACATAGAACGATATGGTCGATGAGAATATTAGGTAACCCGTGCTGTTGGTAAACGGACACGTGTACCGCGGCACGGGTTCGGTGCGCACCAGCCGCCACCATATTATTGCCGGGAAGCTTATGACGCTGCTGCACACCCACACCGCGGCTATCAGATAATACGCCCGTTTCCTGCTCATTTTTGTGGGATACGTAAACGGGTCGGTGATCGCCCAATATCTGTCTAAAGAGATCACGCACAAGTTCAATATGGAAGCTGTGCTAAACAAGACATCTAACGAACGCCACACGTCGCACGAGTTTATTCCGAACGTCCAGTAGTGATCGAGAATTTCGTGCATAGCACTAACGGGCATCACGACCAAACCGACCAGAAAGTCGGCAAACGCCAACGATGTGATGAAGTAATTAGTGGCTGTGTGCAAGTACCTCTCCCGCACCACCGCTATAATCACCAAGCAGTTACCGAATACGGTGACCATACAAAAAGAAAACAACAGCACGGTGAGCGGATACCTGTCACCGAACATGTATTGCCAGTCGGCCGATGGGTCGCCCTCATTGTCCGTGTCGTTCCAACCCGTCGAATTCATCCAGAACACCGTTCGTCAACTCATTTTCTGTGAATATCTCTGCCAACAAAAACACTTTGGTAAGACAACATATCTTATAGCTAAAATTTACTGAAATTCATTTAAATTTGTGTTTTTATTCCCAAAAAAAGTATCATACGTGTTGGGTTTCCAATTTTCCACGCAAACAAAACCTATACACAACAAATTAAGCCAATTGTTCCAAAACCATAGCCAGCGAACGCAAATATTTTTATTTGTTTTACTTCGCTGTTTATTAACAGTAAGGTTTTATTTTTATAGTTTCTGTTTTTATTTGTTTTTGGTTTACCTCAAGGCATGACATTGTGGTCATACGTGTTTTATATATATACTTTTCATTGGCGTTGTTGTTTCCTCTCAAAAGTATTTTCTGTTTTTTCATTCCACAATTTGGTTGTTTCCCGAAATACTATGCGGTTTCTGATTAAAATATTTTATATTATATAATAATAAATATTATATCAAACTGATTTTAATAAGTCCCTTATAATAATATAAAATATATTATATAATATTAAAATAATATAAAAAAAATCGTATGTAAGCAATGACTAGGAAATCGACGATATAGTTAAACCTGCGGATTTATTTTTAACAGTATACAATCTATTCAACAAATATAATTATCAAAAGTTAAATTAACTAAAATAGAAAGTTGATATATTTAAAAAAAAATTAAAAGTTAAATTTAATTTTTGGCAAAAATTATACGTTAAATGTGAATGAATTGTTAGCTTTTAGTTGGTATTTTAGACGTCTTATTGATGTGATACACTAAATTTTGGGTGCTAAATAAACTTATTGCTTTGCGTGCTCTCCCAATAAGTACCTCGTTGTATTGCAAGTCAATGAAATAATCGAGTTTTTGTACCTTAGGGTATCAAGTATAAAGTTCATCAACTGGACGGCAATCGACAACTTAACAACTTCAATTTTTAACGACTTTTTTCTTTGTAGCATATCAACTTTGTTCAACTTTATTGTCTATTTTCCGTTTTTCATAGTTTTATATTTATAAATAATTTTTATTAAGTATTTCTAACTCAATTTTTAATGATTACTTTAATGGAGCCGATATTGTAAAAATATTTTTTACATCCCTTGAATTTTAATCATTCATTTTGCAGTTCTTTCGCATGCTTTTTAATCGAACATTAAATTATTTGACAGTTATGATCAACATCTTTGACATGAACGCAAACTACTATTAAAACATTTCATATTTACCCTTCATTGTTTCGATTAATTATTTATGTTATTTAACTCTATGTATACAAAAGATCAATATGATATTTTTATTTACAAAAAAACTGTTGAAGGGACTAATTTAAAATTATTCAAATGTGTATATAAATATATGTAGTTATATTGCATGACCGCAAAAAATAACTATTATTCATATTTTTGAAGTTAGCTAATTGTGGTATTACTTTTCTTGTAATCTCATTTAAATCTAAATTTAAGCCTAGTTTTCTTAGTTTTAGTATTTGTACATTTTTTAATGAATAAATAAACGGATACTTAATTAAAATTAAATTAAATTTTTTGACTTTAAACTAATATTTTCCTGTCAAATAATTATTTTTTTTATCCTTAATATTTTTTTAATTTATGGACATCCCAAAAAAATAATCTTAAATAAGTGTAAAATCCAAAAGAGATGTTTATATTCTTTCCAGTAAGTTAAATACCAAAAGTGTACTTAAAGAACAATGTAATTGTATAGAGACTCATTGGTTTATTAAGGGCGTTTACAAAAGATACATATCCGGTCAGAACTGACGGGGCGGATGACAAAAAAATGTCACTTGTTCCGGTGCACAAGGACCTAACTCATTAAAACTAGCTTTTCTTTTGTTCAATTAACTACACGATTTCGCTCAAAAAACGTGCGACGTTGATTTAAAGGAAATCAACAAATTTTGTTCGTTTATTACCAATGTTAACTATTCTTACAAAAATCACTTAAGATGAAATACTATCCTCATAAAATTGTCTACTACTCGTATACTTTAACATTATTTCCATTTAATAATCAACATCAAAAATGTTTATCATTATTATTAAGTGACGGTCTTTTTAAATTGCTATTATAGTAAAAATTGTTATTTTATTTATTTACAGAAAGATTACAATCAACATCTCAATAATATTTTTTTCACAAAGCTTACGATAATTAAAAAGATATAACAAAACAATAATCTTGTTTTTTTTAGACATTTCGCATAATCTACACGTCTTACTATAATTTGAAATATATGTAAAAAAGCTTAGTATTCAGCATTCAGATCATGTGAAATTAGCTAAGATTAAAATCTAATAATAAAACTGCAGTCATGAAACAATATAAAGAAAATGTGCATTAAGATAGTTAAATAATTTTTGTCTTTTCTAGCTGTTCTTAAGATCTTAAGACGATCGAAATTATTAATCAGTAGTATAAATTAGAGGCTAGCTAGACAAATTATTTTAGAAGAAACAACTTTTCAACCGAGATGGCTCCTTAAATATTCTAAAAAATACGTTATTCTATGTATTGTATGTCCAACGGGAATTGAGTCTTTATAAATACAAAATAAAATGCGCATCATAGTAAAATTAATACCCTCGATGTTTCATATCGGAACTATAAAGAGCTATCAATTCGATATTTCGTTAAGCACGTCCAAATAACTATTACTCGGTATCTAAAATACCCATTCCTTAACAAAAGATGAATATTCTGTGTTTACCCGTTTTAAAGGTATGAATTAAGGATTTAATATATAATATATATATATATATATTTAATGTATAGACATTTCAGCGTTATTTATAGTTAAGTAGAAATATTCAGCTATGTACACTAGAGTTAGATAAATCACTAGGAATTTAACAAATTTAAAATGATCAGGTTAAAAATCAATAATCATAAATAACAACTATTATTTTTTTAGTATATTTCAAATAATAAAAATTATTCTAATGCATACGAATTACAAAAATTTTTGTTCAATTAAATTTCCAAACATTATGAGTAATTTTTATATAAGTTACACAATATAATGTGTTAGGAAATGTTGTGTATTTCATTATGTATTAAATATAATTTTTTCTTTAGGTCAACATAAGCAAGAATAACATTATACTAAATATGTAGTTAAAGTGAATTTATTAACATTATACTATTGAACTTCATTCACCTGTTACATTCTGTTTAACAGAATTAATATTTACTTCGAAAAAATATATTTTACCGTATAGAAATTTCAATAAAACAACGTATATAATTATAGTCAATGGTGTTAAATAATTCATAAAAAGTCTTAATAAATCATTGTTATTACTTTTATTAAACAGAAACAAAACACATCTATAATTTTAAAGAAAAGTAGACAATGTAAATAATCTTCCTTATTTCCTACAAGTCATTTCAGGAAATTAACAAAAATAATGTGAAAGTCACTTACTGGCAGTCATATTTTAAGACAACGTATTTTTGATCAACTTCCATAGATCAAAATTTTTCACTGTCATTGTGGGATACCTTTGAAGTTTTAATCTCTTAACCATCTTCAACGATATTTACTAAGAGTTTTATTTACCTTATATCTATTTTGATTTTTTTTTTCTACAAAACTCTAGTATAGAATGATGTATTATATGAATAGGCTCACAAAAATTCGTTTAACTTAAAATCAAATAGTTTTTTAGATCTATTTTTTTTTATTCGAAAAACAGTAAATTTTCTAGTTTTATAGAGATCACAATACGAGTTTATAAATAAAACTCACAAGTATAACTATACATAATAGCACAAATTATATTTAAGAAAAATGTAAATTATTTTAAAATATCCATGTTATTGTTACTGAAGAAAATACAATTTTTTCGCTACATAGTTTAGAGTAAATAGTGAAATTTCAATTAAGTATACATGTTTGCCAAAAAGTAGTAATGAAATTCAAACAAATTTTTATGTATAAATTAAAGCAAAAATTGCCTCAACTAACACACGGATAAAACAGTAAACAACTGTTCATCACTTTTAATAATGTAACTGTGATAAAAATTTTACCCGTTAGACAATCTAGTATAGATTTTTATTAAAAATTCTTAAAGCACACTTAAAATATTTCAGTTGGTTCCAAAATTTTTCAACACTGAAGGCAAATATTTTAGATTTAAAAAACATTATTTGGAGCTCTCCTTCAGTATTTTTGTAAAATTCTATTTACATATATTATTTTTACAAATCATATCGTTCAAAAAATACATAAAAAAAAAACACCATTCTAAATAAAAAAATATATATTTTTACCGGTCAACGGATTACACTACTATACATTATCATCTATACCTGTTGAACACTTTTAAATTCTAAACGATACTAATGATGATGCTTCCTCAAACCACAATATATTACTTAAGTACGTCTAATCAATGAGCTTTTTATATTCGCAAATTCTACCGCTAAAAACTAGGTGTTTACAACGAGCATAACGCACACGATTCAAAAGCACACTGCCACGACATAACCCAATCTGTAGTAACAAAGGTACCACATGCGGCGAGTTTAAAAGCGCACACAGAACGGCGCACCAAAGGTTATAGTTGGTAACAAATCGAACATTTTCACGAGCTCAGCTGTGAAGTGAAAATAAATTGTCAGCTAAAAATAAATTGAAAAAAGAAACAGAGGATATGACGAGAAAAAAAAGAAATAAAATAGAAACTCGCGCATAAATCCGACTTAAATTTTTTCGATAAATTAATAAGGAGATATGGCGTTGCGTGTTTTTGATGAAGTTCTTCCGGGACACTTTTACTCTCAATTTTAAGTCGAAGCTATTATTACCGAGTGGTCCGGATTTCCGGTCATAACTAATAACCAAAGAAACATTATACTCGGCCACTGAAACTATCGCAACTCATACTTAAAATGTAATTACTAAAAACTCAACTAGAAGCAATAAAATTACAACTTATCAAAGAAATAACAAATTGTTTTCTAGGTAAAATATATATACATATAGTATGGTATATATATTATTATATAAAGGTACTAAATATATATACAAACCAAATATATACTAAACATTTATCAATTTTCCGCTCACTTAGTAAAATACAACTTTATTCACAGTTGAATGTATTCTTTAATATTTATCTAACGGCGTATTTGATAGGCAATCTTGCTACATGCGTGTTAAAATTTTCCAGCATTTAATAAACTTAATATTTATGTTTGTGATGACCTATAAGTGGCATAAACAAAATAATAAGTCGCATTTGTTTTTAAGTTTATGATTTCCATTAGAAAAAATAAATTATTGATATCAATTACACATAAATGTTTTTACAAGGAAACTAATACTTTAATTTTTCCGAAACTTTCGTAATTTTGTGAAATTCATTTTGTTTGGATTTTTTTAGTATCATATGAATGATTGAGTCTTAAAGAATTTGTTTTATTTTTATTTGAATTAATAAAGATGCATGTGCCCTGGGCGTGAGAAGTATCATATCACATATACCCAGTGATATTAGATGAATAATAAAGCTTGAGAAAACTAGTCAATTAATGAATAATTTTGTAAACAATAATTAAAACTGTTTAGCTTAGTAATAAACTATATGAATTTTCCACAAAAATATGACCAAAGTACTTTAAATAGTGAATTTGACTACAATGTGTAAAAATCTGAATGTATTAAACTTACTATGCGTGTATTTTGTAATGTACTTAAAATATTCAAGTTTGATAATGAATTTTTCAGTGGGCCAAGATCCTAATTATTTTTATTTGTAAACATTTATATCGCCTTATGTTAAGTTCTTTACAATTATTTAAGCGAATATTAAAATATTCAAAGTCCAGCAAGTGACGCACGGCCGACGACAATCCGCCGTAAATGATACATAGAGTCTTCTTCCCGTCGTGGATACACCCCACCGACTCGACGAACCGATCCGCACCGTCACCATCAACGCTGCTAACTTTCGATGTTCGGGGATCATGCCAGACAACGCGTCGCCGACACCAGCAAAAGTGCCGCGATATTATGCGAAGGTTGTTATTAATTGTGTTCGTGTTTTCGACAAATAATATTTCGATGAATAATAAACGGGTCTCTACCATCAAAACCAGTGTAGACTACATTATTACGACGCAAGTCATGTCACTAGTCATTACTCGGTCGCACACTTCCACCCGTCTAGGTATAAAATCGCCAATAACTTCCAAAATACTCGTCCAAATGTTGTTATCGATCAGTCATTATCTAAATTGAGAAGAACTAAAGTAACCAATAAAAAATTATCAATATTATTCGATTAATTAAGCGGTTCATAGCAAGAGAACCATTATGTATATTTTATTACCCTGTATTATGATAAATGTTTTACTCGCCAAACACTTTTTGCGTTCATCTCTCAAATTATAACACCCTTGGATGGTTTCCAGATACGCCTTTATTTATTAATATTTATAACTATATAAAATAATATATTCAGATACATCAGCCACAAAGTAAATTAAAAATTAAAACTTTGAAATTAATAGGTCATACTCAATTCTTATCTAGTTTTAGATATTATTCTTTTAAAATAAAAGTGTGGCTTATATGTTTCAATTGAGTAGCTTAATGTAACAAGCTGTAGAAGTGTCAGGTTAACCTGATACATCTGTTATAATACATAGTATGCATATGTATATTTATTTATTTATGTTGTGCTTTTACGTAAAATAGTTCTTGACAAATAATATGATTACAAAAAGTAAATTTTTAAATAAGGTGAAATTGACAGATTGTTGCATTAAGCCCCTTAATTCATTGTTTATTATAAATCGTATATACTGATTTTCCATGCTAAATAAAAAAAGATATATTATTGCCACTTTCATGGGTATTAGAATTTGATTTTCTAAGAATTCTTGATATGGTTATTTATTTGATTACAAGATGTCTGAAATGGAAAAAAAAAGAATATATTTAGCAATCATCCAATTTATCCACAAAGTTCAGGACTTGGGTGTAAATCTTCTATAAATTAAAGGAAATTCAATTAATAAAATATTTAGGGAGAGATAGGCCCATCATATACACCCAGAGAAAAACCTCGATCTCTATAATAAATTCATTGTTCAATTTGATAAATATATCATTACTATTGAATCTATGATATATTTATCAATATGATGATTTTTTTTCTTATCTTGAACAATAATTATTCATAAGAATAATTATTTTGTTCGTATTAATAAAATATTATCATAAACCTTTGATAAAATTTCTCTATAAAAATTGATTGAGGTTTTTCTTTGGGTGTTAATAATTAGGTTCTTCAAATTCGCCTATGATTAACTGTTATTAAATTTATCAGCTACAGTAGTTAAAAATAGTATTATATTGTTAATAAAAATGGTTTTCAAACATTTTTCAATTTAATATTTTTCTATCCTTTCAATAAAAAAAAAAATGTTGTTTGTCTATTATAATAGTATTAGAATTAGAAATTGATGAACCAATCAAATGTAAGAAAAGAGGACATTTATTCTAGAGACTATCATAGGATGGTGTCCACAAAAAGAAAACAAATCCTCATAAAAAAGGTTCTTCTGAGTACCTTGTTGTTCTATTAAAATGACATGGTACTGTACAAGTAAATATAAGTATTTAAGTAAAATTTCTCTAAGTGAGCAAAAACTTGAAACAACAATATTTTACTCTTGCTAGTTTTATTATAAAAAAATGTTATAAATTAAACATAAATGTCATTAACACAAAAAAATTGTACTCAAAAAAATTTGTTTATTTACAATTATAGAATAAAAAATATATTATTTAAAATGCAACTTCTGGAAATTCCATTATGGGTAATGGTGATAAAAACATCTCTATGTCTGGCTTTTCTAAAAAAAAAAAAAAAAAACTAAATGTATAAGTGAGGTATTATTTAAATAAACACAAAAATTCTAAAGAAAATTTTCTTTATACAGAATAACAGCAAAAAAAAAAAAGTTCAAATATTTTAATTAAAGAACTCAATATGCTTAATTAGAAATATTCAAAAAAATTGTTTTTCATTTAACTGTTTTTATTATAAATTTATAAATTTATTTAAAAATCATTACCAAAATATTCAAAAGTATTTTTAATTTTTGCAACCATAGTGTTTTTATAATCTTCAATAAACCAATCGTCTTCCTCATTGAAACTGTGAGTGTTGAAAAAATCACTTAGCATACTTATATTACTAGTCATATTTGAGGGTAAACAATCTTAAATAATACAAAAGTTAAAAATTAATCAATTATAAATTATCATTACTACCAATGAATAAATATTTTAATTTTAGATAAATTTATAATTTTAACAAATTATAACTGTGTTTTTGTATATAAATTTTATATATAATAGATTTAAAAATTTTAAAGACCAATTTAAATAAATAAAAACATAATTAAATATCATGTTATACATTATATTATAAATTTAATACAAAATATTAGTGCAGAACCAATTATTAATCAAAACTTGAAATTAAATTAAATTTATTTTGAAAAATGAAATCAAACATAAATATTTTATAATGTTCCAGTTGCACTAGAAACAGTGATATGGTAGCAGTTGCACTTAAGATAAAATACAGGAGAGCAATTGTATCAATTCGCTCCAAAATTGAATAAAACAAAATGATTATTATTGAAGATATGGGTTAAGATTTAAATTTTTTTAATAATCAGATTAAAATAAAACTTTTAATATTTATTTCAAATCTTATGACTTAAGGGGTCAGAAGGATTTTTTTAACCATGAATTTTTTTTATTTATGGCATATTAAATCTATATTCACCAAAAAACAGATTGGTAATTTTTTTTTTTGTATTTTTAAAGATATTGCATGAGACATAGTTTATCAATCACTTTATGTATTTAAGTGAGGATATTCATTATGTGACTTTTAAATAGTCAAAATTCATCATTGTACTATATTATTTTTATTAATTACCTAACCAGTGGCAGACAGATGGAAATCAAAGTTTTTGTGCCAGTAATTAACATCTCATTATGTTCATATGCATGAACTTCAATTTTTGAAGTTTTTTTTTTTTAATTAGTCCGTCTTAATATGTAAAATATATAATTAAAGATCTAAACAATTAAATACCTTTTTCCTGATACTTCATACAACCAAAATGTGTAATATCTTCATTCATTTGGTCATGTGTAATATCTTGTAACGGAGATCTACATTTTGATTGTGTTTCAAATTTTTTCATTGGAAGAACTTTTGGTACTTTTAATCCTTTTCCATCTGATTTTTTAGCAGACTGTACTGTATTTGTTAAAACTTTTAAAGCAGTCTTTTTGCGATTCACTAATTGACTTTCTTCTGCAATATTATAAAAGTAAATTTATTTTTAATTATTTGAATGTTTAATAGAACACAAAATTATAGTTTAGTACTTAAATAATTATTGAAAATAAGTCAAAAAGTTTTAAAAACAAATTACCGTTATCAATTTATCAATATTTTTAGTAAGGAAAGGGTTAAAAATGACTTGAAATATTAAAGAAAATTATAAAATTTATTTTAATATTTAATTTTTTTAGTTATTAATAAATAATACAAGAAAGTAGTTTAATAAGACAATAATAATTAAAAAATAAATTGATCAATAGTTATTGGACTTGTCATGTTTTTGTGACTTACCATGTATAACACTAAATAAAAATGTTTACATAGTGTAAATAAGGAAGCTATCAATTAATAAGAATTAATTAAAGATAATATTTTAAGATGATATTAATACAACAGACATAGAATAAAACAAATAAAAAAAATTGAAATAGAATATCTAAATATGTTCTAACAATTAATACTATAAGTGTGAACTAATGTGCCTAACTGTTTTTATTTAATATTCTTAACCTTATTAAATTACTTTGCTTTAAATATTATGAAGTTAATATTCATGTTTGTTTAATAAAAAATCTAAATATAATTTTTTTCTATGAAATTTTAAATTAAAAAAATAATAGCTTCAAACAATAAAAATAAGTGTTGGAGAACGACAATAATTTCCATTTATAAAAAAATCAACAGATTTCTTTGAAACTTGATTATAAATCACATGTTGAATTATTAAACTTACTTATATTCTTAACTGGATTTTCGTTGTTCAACATTGAAATGTTGCGCAAATGAAACGTACTAGAAGACATTTTACTATAAAATAGTATGTAATTTCCTACTAATGAATAAAGAAATGAAAATAAATATATAAAATTATACTTCAATAAATTATAAAAAAACGTACTAAATATTCAGTGTTCCTGTACGAGAATAAGTTTGAAAATAAAATAGAAATACCAGTTTGAATTTTTTTTCTTTTTAGTTTTTGTTTTTAGATATCATTAATAACGGTTTCTTACAAATGTATTTTGTATGGAATGGATAAATTTTATCATTCTAAAAGAAATAAAAAATATCACTATTACCATATATTACCATGTTTATATTTTTATTAAATGGTAACAATAAGTGTTATCGCGATATCATGAATTTAACTATCAATTGGTGATTGAGAATATTTATTTTTATTTTAAAAATGATTGGGATATAATGTTATAAAATGTACTATTCAATTGAATAAAAATGTATACAAGTCATTTTATTCATTGAATGAATTGATTTCTATATCAGTAAAGTTATTTATTTTAATTTAATTTTGAAATGAAATGAAATAAACCGAAAATATCAAAAATATTAGTTTTAAAGATAAATAACTTCAATTAATTTTTTTACAAAATGGATAATATAAAATATGAGGTATTTAACAATATACATACTAAAGAAAGGATATAAAATATTTATTTTCTATACATCTTTCATTAGTGTTGAAAAATTGTTGTGACCAATGTATCATCATTTTATGTGTAACTTTTTTTTTTTTTCTTTTCATACAAAAAAAGAAAACTATGTATCGTGACATAACTTATATATTTTGAGATACATTACCCAATTTTTTTCTAATAAACTCATTTCTAGTTTAGATACAAATGTTAATTTACTTAAATGATACTTTTACTTAAACTTTCAAATAAATTTAAAATTAATTGAAGATTTATTAATTATAATACTTTAAATTTCATTCTAAAATGTTACTTGCACTCATAGGTACCTGGTGGTATTGATTCGATTATGCCTAATATCAAAATGGATTTATTAAGTTACATTAACTGCATAGAAGATTTACCATTATACAAAGGAGAATCAAATCTACCAAAGAGAAATATCAATTTTAAGTCATTATATGCAGATAGTAGTTTAAATGTTAACCCAACTGAATTAATTGTAATTATTTTTTGTACATTTTCATATTCTTAATATTGTTAAATAATAAATCTATAGCCTAATAGAGATCTTAAAACTGGAAAAATTATACAATATGAAGAAGTTGTTTATGATCCAAATTATGAAAATGATATAGATTCTATGCCTTGTGAAAAATTAGTGAAAAATCAATCTTTCAAAGATTGTACGATAGAAATAAATTTGGATTATGATGCATGTAAAGTTAAGATTACTTTAGGAAAACTTTTATAATTACACACACTTAATTACTTATTATATTATTACTAGATAATTTACCAGTAGCACCTAGTATGTCTAAAAAATTGGATGTAAAAAAGAGTGATAAAAATAGTTCTTTTGTGTCTCCTGTTAATGATATGATATTTAATGATGAATGGAATGAAGATTTTCAAGGAATTTGGGATGAAGAAATACCTTGCATAACGGAGGACATACAGCCAGTTGAATCTTTTGAAGAAATCAATCATATTAAAGTAATGTTATCATATATATATTTATATAAATAATTATAGTAAATTATTTTTATATTAAAATTAAAGTTTGAAATTGAAGTACTGAGGTTCTTTATTTAATCTTTTTTCATGATAAAATTACTCAAACCTATTGTAAAGTAGTATATTTATTTTTATAAAAAACAGAATGATAATATAATTTTGAAAATATCTGGAAATTATGAAAGATCACTTGTAAAATCTCAATGGGTGGAAGAATTAGATATTTCAAAACCAATTGATAATTTTGATGAACTCTTGCCTGATCCAGCATACAAGTGGGAATTTGAATTAGATACCTTTCAAAAACAGGTAGAAATTATATATTTGTTGTTTGTGTATATTTGAACATTTCCTTGAACTTTCAATCTTATTATATACATATACTTTATAATTAAACTAATAATATTTTAACAAAATAAAATTTAAACTCTTAAATTTTGACATAATGAATAGTTACTTAAATGTATAATATTTATATAGTAATATATTCAGTTAAAGCTAATAATTTGTAATTAAAAATTAATTTATATATTTTAAAGGCTGTGTTAAAACTTGAAGAAAAAAGTAGTGTATTTGTAGCAGCTCATACATCAGCTGGTAAAACTGTTATAGCTGAATATGCTGTAGCTTTAGCTAAAAAACATCAATTAAGGTATGATGATAAAATTTTTATAAAAAAAAAAAGTTAATAAAAATATTTAATCAATTATTTTAGATGTATATACACATCTCCTATTAAAGCATTATCTAATCAAAAGTTTAGGGATTTTAAAAAAAAATTTGGAGATGTTGGACTTATTACAGGAGATTTTCAAGTTAAGCCAGAAGCTCAGTGTTTAATTGTAACTACAGAGATTTTATGTTCAATGTTATACAGTGACTCTGATAAAATTAAAGAGACTGAATTTGTTGTACTAGATGAAGTTCATTATGTTAATGATAGAGATGTAATTCACTTGAATACTATAATACATTTTTCTATTAACTTATACTTTGGTTTAATTTAGAGAGGACATATTTGGGAACAAATATTAATCATGCTCCCAAAACGAGTGAAATTAGTTATGTTAAGTGCAACTGTTACAAATGTAATTGATTTTGCTGATTGGATTGGACGAACTCGTTCATCAAAAATTTATGTTGTATTTACATTGTATCGACCAGTACCTCTTGAACATTATCTATATGTGGGCTCAAATACTTCAGTTGACTTTAAAGAAAATATGCATCTAATTAGAAAAGCTGACAGTGGTTTTCTTATTCAAGGGTTATTGATATATAAAATCTAAAATACCTTTTATTATATATACACTCTTAATAAAAAAGTAATAATTAAAAATTTTATTTTTAGCTATCGAAAAGCTTCAGAACAATTTAAGAAAATCCAAGAAACAAAAAAATATCATGACTCTAAAAATGTTAAAGACCAAAAACCTAAATGGATTAATTTTTTAAAATTTCTTGATAAAAATAGTATGTTTCCAGCTGTGGTGTTTATTTTATCTAGAAAAAAATGTGACATGATTGCTGAATCTCTTAAAAATTCAGTCAATTTCTTATTAACTAGTAAAGAATCACAAGCTAATGAATATTTTTTCAATAAAGCAATTCAGAAATTAAAACCTGAAGATCAAGCATTACCACAGGTGCAAAAATATTTAAAATTATATTTTAAGAACTATACAATAATCAATATAAATGTACAATAAATTACTACAACTATATGATTTTTATTAATAATGAAATTAAAAATTATTTTTTATTAAATAATTTAATTACAGGTCGTTTTAATGAAAGAACTGCTGTGTCAAGGAATAGCAGTTCATCACAGTGGTATTTTACCAATACTTAAAGAAATTGTTGAAATGCAATTTCAACAGAGTTTAGTTAAAGTAAGTTAATTCTTAAATCAGTTGATATTTGTGTGAGATTTATCAATAATTATTTACAGTGTCTATTTGCCACTGAAACATTTGCTATTGGTATAAACATGCCAGCAAGGACTGTAGTATTTGAATCTATTAGTAAGTTTGATGGAATAGAAAAAAGGAACTTAGCTCCTGCTGAATACACTCAAATGGCTGGAAGAGCTGGACGTCGTGGTCATGATAAAAGTGGTACAGTAATTATAATGGCTACTGAACAGTTAATAAATGATAGGGAACTGACTAATATGATGCTAGGTAAGTTTGTGATACATAAAATATTTAATTTAGGATTAACCAATTATTACTCTACCAGGAAAATCAGCCAAATTAGAATCTCAATTTAAAGTTGGTTATTCCATTATATTGAATATGTTTAAAAAAAAAAAATGTGACACATTAGAAGCAATTTTGGGAAGCAGCTTTATTGAAGCTGCAAGAGCTAAAAAAAAAGATGAATATACTGAAGAATTAAATCATTTAAAAATTATAGATGAAAAAGATGATTGGCATCCAACAGGAAAACAAGAATTAGCTGTAAAAGAATTTTATCTTGCTGCCAAGGCATATTTAGACTGCAGAAAAGAAGATTGGGTATTAAATTAATTTTTATTACAGTTAATATTAATCTACATCATTTTTTCATTTAGGATAAACTGTATGCTGCAGCAGATAAAAAGTTCAGTGAAATTGGAAGATTTGTCATAATAACTCATCAGCATTATATTGGTCATTTAGCTATTATTATATCTTGCAATGTAAAAAAAGTTCCAAGAGAATTTCGGTAAAGTGAACTTTTTTTATTTTCTTTAAATAAAAAGACTATCTTAGTTTATTTTTAATTACAGGGTATTAATATTAGAAAATAAAAAATTGGAGATTGATGATGAAAAGCCAGATTCATGGTATAAATTTATGTATTTGTCACAGAAAAGGAAACTAAGTGAAAAAGCTTCTGATATAATATCTAATAGTGATCATACTCTATTAACCATACCTTCTACTTCAATTATGGCTATTACAAAATTTTCTGAAAACTTTGATGCCAATTCAATAATAAAAAATTGGGAAATGAGACAAAATGAACGTTTTAAGTAAGTTGTTTTTAATTTACTTACTTAATTGCTTTAATTGGTGAATGCAATGTATTTATTCAGAGTATCAGGTATGGATTATGTCAAAAACAAAGTTAGGATATTAAAAACTTTGTGAATAATAACAATTTATTATAGATTATTCTAAGTATTATACTACTTTAATAAACAATTTTACACTCTACTTGTTAAATAGTTTTAATTTTATCTGTATTTCATAGTTTAATGTGTGACTAACAATTCATAATGTAAAAAAATTAACTTTACACTTTTTTTTATTCTATAGAAATGTTTTCAACAAATTTAATTTTTGGGAGGAATATTATTCTGTCTTTCAGTAACATTTGTTTTTTTTTTTTAAGTAATTAAAAATATTCTATTTTCTCTTAAATACTGAGTGATTATTTTAATACTAACCACTCAATTTTTTGTGAATTTTTTTTGTTTTGCTTTTATTATTGACGTATGTATCTTCATCTGTTATAAAATATTTTTTATACTCATCCCTCATGTCTTATAGGGATGTCAATATTATTTTTGTAATTAGAAACATACATATTTCACTAGATTATAAAATAAATAATGATCTAATTAAAAAAGATTTTAACATTTTTATTCCTAAGTAGGAAGAAGAGCAGGGCTAAGAAATATGTAATGATAAAAATAGCAGCACCCACTCCACACCTCTAGTCATTAGTATAAATTAATAATGACTTCTGAAATACTGGTTCAAAAGTTGTTATCGATCAGTCATTTTTTTAATTAGATAATTTCCTGTTTTATAATCTAGTTAAATATGTATGTTTCTATTTAAAAAATAATATTGACATCCCTATGAAACATAAGTGATGGATATAAAAAATATCTTATAACAGATAAATGAAGATACAAATGTAACTAACAGAAGCCAAAAAAAACTTATTACTTTAAGAGAAATTGAGTGGCTAGTATTAAAAGAATCATCTTATATATGATTTATTTTATGACTAATTAAGCTTAATTATAGTCAGTACAATTTTTATTGTTATATTCAGCTATGTAAAAATCTTCTTATATATTTTAACTTTATTTTTCGTTCACACTTAAATAATTTAATTTAATTTAGAGATGCTGCAGTTTCAACATCATGCCAACGTGCTGTTAAAATTTTATCTGAAAATACCATTAATTTGAATAGATCAGAGAGTAACAACTCAATATTAAGCATTTTAGATCTAGGAATTGATTTATTTGATTTACATAGAATTAAACTACACTTACATGCACTTGAAAATCAATTATATGACATTGATTTAAGTGATATTATTGCATTTGAAGATATTGTAAGTATGTCGAACATTATTTTCTCTTATAATAAAATCACAGTTTGTTTTTGCCATTTGTAAAACTAGATTTGTTTTCTTTCTTTCTAATAGGTAAAAACTGTTTGTTAATAAACAGTAAAAGACAGGTGTACAGACTAATCATATATCAATAGACTTTAACAGTTATTATTTGTCTTTTATTTAATTACCCGCTATATAATTTAGAACAAAATCTTATAAAATATATAATATACCTCTCTACTAATTTATTTATCATTAATTTACATGATATTTATTTAATTTTATGTATTATTCAGTTTGAAAAACTCTACAAATATCAAACTCGTAAAGAAAGGATAACTGAATTAGAACATCAGACATCAAGTAAAGCATTACAACTTTACAATGAATATATAAATAAAGTAGAAGTGCTTAAAGAACTTAAATATATTGATCCACGGAACGAAATAAGTAAGTATTTTGTAGAGTTGACTAATTCTTTATACAAAAACATTAAATTTGTTGCTTATTTGTAGTAATCATGTAAATTATTACTTCTGATGATTATATAGAAATTAAATGATTTTTCTTTTGTATATTTTGGGGAAGTATAAAACAAATATTATGTGTTAACTGTATCAATCATTAGTTGATTCAATGATTTCTTTTTGTTTACTTATGGTAAAGCATTAAAAAGTCTTGGTTTTTAATTTGAAATACAAGTGAATTAAATATAAATTCTGCTTAATAAGTTGGCCTGTCTCTCTAGAAAGATCTCATTTTGGAATATTGTTCTGTTCTATGACGCCCTTCATAAATTAGTTTGATTAAATCACTAGAGCGTATTCAGAAACAATTTTTTTTGATATATATATTTTAAAAAGTAATGAAAATCTGGAATCTCTGCATTTTTCTTTCTACTTCTTTAATAAATATAAAAAATAGTTAAAATCTTAAATGACCAGCTCTAAATCCCAGGATTGCAGATATATATATATTTTTAACTAGTTAATTTTGGTTCCTAAGTAACTGGCATTTATTTGATTTTTATATACCTCAGATTTTTCTCATATTCTATACTTTCTATCACAAACCACCATACCTAATTAGGTTTTAATAATCTTATTAGTTGTATTTTTTGACAGTGTAAAAAATTAAAATATTTAAAGTTTTTTTTTTGGTTCTAAATGATTGTTATCTTTGAAGTAATTTACAATATTACATTTAAATTGTTGTTCAATATTTATTTTTACAATTGTGTCAGTATATTTATTATTACTTTATTTCTATTCTATTCCTTGTAAGTAATTAATTGTTAGTTCTATTAAGGTTGAAGCAAAATATTTGTTATTTAATTTTGATTTTGGGATATATTTCATTTAATGTTATTTATAAGATTATGTACTATACTTAAGCTCTACTCAGACATTTATACAAATAAATAATAAATGTATATATATAGTAAAAAAATCTTAAAAATGTCTTCTCTAATTTAAAACATATTTTTACTTTTTAATTCTAAAATTTATTTTATTTTATTTTAAGCTACTCAAAAAGGAACAATTGCTGCTACAATGGGATCACATGAACTTCTTATTACTGAATTACTTTTAAGTAACATGTTTGAAGAAATGAAACCAGAAGAAATAGCTGCAGTTCTTTCATGTTTAGTTTGTGAATCTAAATCAGACTTTGACATTGAATCTATTAAAGAAGAAAATTTAATTAAAGTATGAATAAGTTTCAATACTTCATTATAATATCAAATGCACATTAAAAATATTTTAAATTTATACTTACCAATTTTATACAGGGAATGGATATTATCAAAGAAAAACATAACGAAATACAGATTGTGGAGTCTATGTATTTGAGTAACTTTGAACGTATTGATCTCAACTTTAATTTAGTCAAAGTACTACATCTATGGGCTCAAGAAAAGGTAACTAAAAATGTACATTTCATTTATAAGTTTTTTAATTATTATACAGGATGATTTTTCTATCATAACCCAATTACTTACAGAATAATAATAAATTAAACATTTTTTTTTTCGATTATCTTTAGTTACACATCATTCTTGAATTATTAACTATGTAATACTTTTTAAGTTCATCCCTTATGCCTGGTAAGGGTGTCAACTTTGTTTTTTTAAATGGGAACACATATTTTGAATTTAATAAAATATTTAAGTTTTTAATTTAATAGTAAATGGCATTTGAATTTTTAGTATAACTTTATTTATTTATTAGATATAAACATTTAAAGTTTCAAATTTTTAAGTTAATATACATATATAATACACAAGGGATTACAAATATAGGTAGCTAATTGGTTTTTTATGTCATTGCTGTCACAGTCACGGATTGTTTATTATCAATTATGACTATCAATATATATACTTTTTGTATTGTCAGTCAGTGTATTTATAAACTCACAACAATGTACCTTACTACCATTGATAATAACAATGCTGTGTACCTGTTAATATCGATGTCACAAAAAACCAATTTATATATATTAATTGGATTTTACAAAATAAAAAATATTGAAACTATTCAATATTTTTTTTTCCATTTTTATGAATTCTAATTATATGTTTGTTACATTTTCAGTTAATATAATTAAAAGTACAATACTGTATATTATACATTTTTCATTTTTTTATTTCAATCTTACTATCTCTATTAAAATATTTCCTCATTTATACATATAAATCATTTAATAAATAATGAAATCTTATAACTTTCTATAATATTTAACTCAATTCTAGTGACAAACATTTAATGAATGATATAATTTTAAACTTTTTAGCCTTTTTCTGAAATAATGGATGTAACCGATATTCAAGAGGGAATTATTGTTCGGTGTATTGTTCAATTAAATGAAATCTTAACAGTTATCAAAAATGCAGCAAAAACAATTGGAACTAATAAAATTAGCGAAAAAATGCAAAATGTTCTGGATAAAATTAAAAGAGATATTGTATTTACTCCTTCACTATATATGGAATAACAAAATTAAACTTTTTCAAATTATCTTATTTAATAATATTTTGGACACATTTTTATAATTAAATTAATAAAAATTACTGTTGTCTGAAAATATTGTTAACATTTTTTTAAAATAAAGACTTAAATTATTTTGTTATTTGATAATTGATAGTTATTCTCAATAATATATATAAATAATATGAATATGTATTTTTTCTTCAAATTGTATATAGTTTTTAAATTTTTATGAAATTTTTTATACTAAATTACACAGTGATTTTACCATTTTATACTTAGACGGATATATAAAACATTTTTTCGGGAAATTGATTGGACATTTTTTTAAATTCAAATATAAATTTAAAAAACATACTTTTTTATGACTTTTTATTTAGGCCATAAAGTATGTTAGAGATGTGTCGTTCGCGAACGAACGGATCGCATTGAACGGGTCAAAATAGTGAACGAAATGATTCAGATCGCCGAACCGTAGTGATCCGGATCCCCCAAAAACTAATTTTTTCCCGTATAAATCACACTGAACCGATTTGATCGCTTACCAAATATCAATGATAACATGATAACATATTCATATGTCATTTGTTTATACGACACATCCCTAATACGAATCGCGAATCATACATGCGATTCGCGAATCGAGAACCGCAAAAGAATCAAAACTATACTGAATGTTCCGTTCAATTGACTCAAAATATCTTTTAGATCGCGAACGGGTCTTTGAACCGGATCTTCTAGTTGACCTGATTCGAATGAATCGGATCACTTAGGTGAACCATAATTCCCATCTCTAGAGTATGTCAAATTGCCTCCATGGCTAAAAAAATGTCAATCATTTTTATATCCCTCGAAAATTTTTATAGAGGCATCCCTGGATAGTAACGAAATTAACGCAAATAAATTACACATATATGATTTTTTAGCTCCCCCTAAGGTTCTTATAAGGATAGGGTGATCAAAGTTTTTGGTGAGCTAAATATAATTTTTTCCTTTCCTAAAAAAGTTATTTAACAATAAATACTACTTTTAAAAAATTTTGGGGTGCTAAACCTGTCTTCTATATGCTTATGAGACCTCTCCCTGTAAAGTGACAATACTTCTGGCTTTGTTTATGATGTTAAATGGCTTGTCAACATTCTGGCATCAGCAAAAAAAACTAAAATGATGCCTCTGTCCTAATGAATAATCCACAGATCTTACACCTATTGTACTACATTAATTTTAGTAGTGTATGTAATAAAAATATGACAAAATTTTAAGTTGGCCATCCTGCTTATTATGAAACACTTTTTTATAGTTTTGAGATAACATAATACTATTGAACGAGTACTACTAAAAATATGTGTAGAGTATTAATTCTTTATCTAAAAATCAACTAGATAAGTGTTTATTGAGTTGAGGCGCTGTTGACTATACTGTTTACAATACAACACTTCAGTTGCCAGTGTAGTTGTCTGTGGATACAGCTGTGCGATATTCAATTGTTTTAACTCTGTTTAATTGTTTTAACCACCCAAAGTAATGGGAATGATGAGAATCTATCAATCTAAATTATCCTTAAATTATAGCAACTTAAAAGTAAATTTATTTTATTAAAAATTACTTATTTATTTGGCCTTAATCAATTTATTTATCAAGGTCATTATATTTTATAGAATAACAAAAAAAATACAATTTACTTTTTTCAGTCAAATTGTGTCATAGCAAAAGCTTATTCTTAACTAAAAATTTGAAGTTTTTGAAGGACTAAAAGTGCTCTTCAATAATATACATCCCTATAAATTCTAGTCAGTTAAATCCTACTACGATGAGTTCTGCGGATCGTTCAATTTCATCAGGATTTACCATTCCTCAGTGGATGAAACCAAAAATTAATGAAAGGTATTTATTTAATTGAGTTATTTTATTTAAAATGTTATCTATTAATTTTTTTGAAGTTTAGGAATGAAATTAGTTGTTATTTTATTATAATTTTGTAAATATTAAAAAAAAATAAAAACCATGTTTTGTATTATCACATCTATATTTTTCTGTTAAATCAGTTATAACATAAACAATAGAACCTACATATTAAAAAACTTATAGATTTATATTAATGTCATAAAATTGTTACTGTTTTTATAATTTATAGGTTTTTCATTAATTGAAGAACTATATTATTATTTTAATAGATACGATTTGGATCAGTCTACCTTTTCTCCACCAGCAGGAGATGACAGTTTTTTTTTAGTTCGTTATATGAAACAAGATGCAATTAATGAAAATACAAATGAGTCTTTAATGAACAAAAGCAAATCAGTTGGAGAAAATTTATCTGAAATTAATGTTAAACCTATAAATAAAATTCCTCCTACATTGATTGTAACGGAGCCACCTGAATATAAAGGACATCCTCTTGCTTGTCAACGTTTTATTACAAATGCATGTGGTGGTAAGTATTAAAAAAGATAGTATTAATGAATGAGTTATTGAAAATTAGTCCAAGTGTTTAAATCAAACAATAAAAATTGAAAAATCACTTATAGATATTAAAAGTTTATGAATAATATTATATGCATTGGTATAAATATTAAACAATTTTTGGTGATGTTAAATATATTTTCCCCCATTTTTTAAATATTTTTATATAACTATAACTATAAGTATAATTTTCAATTTTTTTTTTTTAGTGGTAAATATCCACGTACGGGATGTATACTCTACATTAATAGGTATATATATGTACGTTTAATATAGGTATAAAAGTCTACTGGGTATTTACCCATATTAATCATTAATGTGAAAAATTTAAATTTATAAAAAAATTTAGAAATATTTCAATAGTCAAATAATTTTATTCTTACATTTTTTTTAAACAATTTTTATCAGACACTCACTGTATTTATAAAGTACTTAAAACAAAACACGTTTGAAAATTTGAGTTCATTAATATATCTTCTATTTATACCTATGACTAAAGGTTTTAATTATATTAAAATGTTTAATATTTATAGTATAACTATCATTTTGGTATGCACAACAAATAAGGCAGTTATCAATTTCTCACTTCTTAGGAAATAAAAAGTAAAATTTACTCCTTGATTACACTCTATGTGTTTATTAATTTTTTAAGTTATTTAATCCTGATTCAAACCAAATTCTTGATACTTTTATGAAAGTTGTAAGAAAAGTAAAACCTAAATTTAATTATCTCATAATTTCAAAATCAAATATTTTAAGTTACTTCCATATTCGTTGAGCATAATGATTTAATCTTAAAGCAAAGTAAATTTTTATTTTCTAAACTGAAAAATAATTTTTAAGTGCTTTCAATTTATATTGTGTGAAAATAACATTTAAATACTATTTTGAATTTCTGGTATAAATGTTTTTATTTGTAAGTAATTTGAGACACTTTTGTTGAGCTATATAAACTTTTAATTTATATTTTGTTTAAAAAATAGCAATCCAACAAGTCTTAGTTAGCATCACAATATCATAAGTGTATTTCTCTTTAATTAATTATCTACCATTGGTACAAAACAAAAATGTTATAGAAAAAAGTTAGCGTTATAGAGAAAATGTTCCTTCACTATCCAGATTTAATGAAAGACATTTTTGGTTATGTTGTTATAGATGAGCACAATATCATTTTAAAGTTTCCTAGGACAAATGTAAAAAAAAAAATTTTCACAAAGTTTCATAAAAAATATTTTAGCATAATGCAAGTTACTTTTTGATTAAATAAGTGCTTTTTTAATTTCCTTTTAATAAATTTTAATTTAATTTGGACTAATTCAAAAGTCTAATTTGAAAAACCTCAAATTTCTTTAACAAAAAAATTTTTAACTCCAGTAATAATAACAACTTTCCTCACAATTGACAACAAATATTTACTGACGAGTTTTATATACATTTAAGTATTATTTAAGCTGTAAAATTTGTTTAATCATTTGCTATAGGTTAGAGTATGTTCTTTGGATAAGTATTAAGTTTAAATTGTATTTTTATATATAGTAATATTTAATGGTTGAAGTGATATTATATTTCTTGGGCAAACTTTTGGTTTATCCTTAAGTTTTTAATTTTAATCATATGTATTTCCCTTTCTTCTGAAAGCTCATTTTTTAAATTTAATCATTGTCAAGGCCGTTTTTATTAAAAAAGCCGTTATAAAAATTTATTAAATAATATTTCATCTTATGAAATGAATAATATTTAATTAAAATGAATAAATTATAAAATTCATGACCACATATGAATACAAACTAATTACGTTTGTGTTTTAACTTGATGACGTATGTCTGGGAATTACGCTCATACAACTGAATAATAACCTACAAATAAATGATGCGGTTAACTAAACGTTGACTTCATTGATACTCAAGGTCAAAACCTACGTTTTCGTACTGTTAAATATAAATATGCTTCATATTTAAAACAAATGATAAATTAATAAGTAATTATTTTGAGTAATAGTCTTATTGTTTTAATTATAAATATATAAAAGCTTTTGTCAAACATGCGCGATTATGATATTTTTGGAGTTTTAATATTGGTTTTGATGATTTATTCATCACAAATATTTCCGTTAAACTAAATAAACTCGTATATGTAGGATGATTTATTTATCATAAACCATTTAATTAGTTGAAAAATAAGAATAATATTGAGAATTTTTTTTTTGGTTCTCTTAGGTATAAGTTTTTTTAACTTCCTCTTCACTACTTCTCTTGCTCTCTTCCATAGTCGACCCCCAAATGATTATATTATGCTAGAATACGTCAGTAATTTTTAGTAACAACATTGTTTAAACAGTATAGATTGAGCAATTGTTAAATTTTATTATGTTATTCTATATTTGATTTGGATTTGATATGTTCTCAGTGTTAAGATAATTATATCTTAATTTCATTAGATATTTTCCAATGTCATACGAATGATAAGGAAAGTTTGAAAAATCTTTTTTTAAATAAAAATAAAAATAAATTATGTATTTTTATTTCAGACGCAGTAGCAGCGGCAAGTTTAGGAGATAAAGTGGCTGATCCTCCGAAATCATTGGGAGTTGACGATGGTTTTAAAACGGGTGCATCTGAATGCGGCAAATCCATTGTTGCTATGGCCCATCAAATGGTATCTGGTCGTAGATTGTATAAAGGTCGTGCTTCTGCTGGTCCTCAAGACATTTTAGTGTCAGGACCACCTCCGTCTACATTATCAAAACGAAGAAATAGCAAATCACTTCCAGCAAGTCCGATGTGCACTCCTCCAGGATCACCTCGCTCTGTTCGAAAAAATCCATTTTTTACTGCACCATTTCAAGAAGAATCTGGTGAAAAATATGGATCCTCGTGGTTACTCTCAAATTTATTTTCACATAGGGTTGATTCTCAAGAAGAATTAACTGAAAAGGAACAAAAAAAGCTACCAAAACCGTCATCTTCTAACAATTTGTATGTAAAACCCAAACCATCAGAACTCAGAGAAATGAATTTTTGGTCTCCAACATCAATGTAAAAGTTATAAGTTGATTCGTATATAATGTTTTGAGAAAAAAAATTTGTCATTGTCTTTTTAATATTTTCCCATCCTAAATTTCATTTTATTTTATTGTTTTATTTAAGGTACTTTTATTACTTAAATGCATTGGAATATTTTTAATATCCATCACACACATATTACTTATTACAATAAAATTTGTGATATATGTAAATGTTTTTTTGAAAATTAAAATATTTTAGTAAATTATGATATAACACGTATTCGTTTTATTTACGTTTTCTTTGGATTTCTAATTCATAATTACGTATTATTATATTTATAAATAGTAAATAAATAAACTTCATGAGGTTGGAATTATGTTTATAATAAACTTATTTTTTCAATTATTAATTTGACGTCCAAACAACATCAGTATTAGTAAATAATTATAATTAATATTCAATATTATATTTATTAAAATATCACCAAATTAGAAATTAACAACGTGTGCATTACTGTACCCAATACTGATAGTTTAACATAGTAGTGGCTACCAGTATTGGCATATGTCTGGGATAACGTTTGTGCGTACTGATAAATAAGTACTGGAAGTTTTTTAAAACTGTTATTACGTCTTTACTGTGCTCGCAAAGGCAGCTAACTACTGAGCACCAATATTAGATCAGTACGTAGACTAGACAGCAGCCAATACTGCGCTATTAGTCGACAACAACTTTTGAACAAATATTTTAGGAGATATTTTTATTTAGATTTGTACGGGAGGAGACGTGTGACTGAATTATTTCTAATAAAAAGTTATAATAATAATTATCATTATATTTTTAACAGGTCCGATTATAATTATACCTATACCTTGCTCAAAATGAGTTTTAAATTGGTTAATATTTTTTAATTACTAGTTCAGAAGTTGTATTGATCAGTATTTTCTTAACAAAATCATTTTTTACAATTATAAAATATAATAAAGGCTAAATACCTATAAAATATTAATAAGTCTGTTAGTAGCGTTCTCAGATTTTCTTTTAGTACATACAATTTTTTTTACTACCTTCGACAAAATACATCTTTATTATAAATTTATTTTCATCAGGGGGTGGTCTATCTCCATACCCTCTCATAAAAATGTCCATGAAACCAGTTAAAAATGAATGTTTTTATTTAAAAAATTGAGTTACCCTTGTGAATTATTTTTGTGAATTAATTATGTCATTTTTAGTCTTATAATTTTTATCTCAAAAAATTTTCATTAGTACCCCCAAAAACATAAATTTCATTCTCTCTTAAAATCTTGAGAGACGCCAACACATTTTTTGTTTGATTTATTATGAAAATTTGTTTGTTAAAATTTAGAAACAATTTACACCCTTCTCTCAATAATTACATTTATCTAATAATATAATAAAAATTCATTAATAGTTTTCGTAGAAAAAATGTTTAAACTGAAATAAATCGTTAGTTTGATTAATCACTAGTCTAAAGCAACCTGTTTATTTGAAAATATTACCATATAATTCATGTTCAACTTAATCGCTTAATTAAACATGGATAGTTTTATTAACCATAGAGTTAATTAAAATTTTAATGTGATAAAATTAAAATTTACATATAACAAATAAATAGATGGTTAATATTCAATAGAAAAGTGTAATAGTAAAATTAATCTTTTCAAATCAGAGGAATAATTCAGTTTTTTTATCATGGGCTAAAAAAAGTATTTATTTTCAATTAAGATTTGTCATTTTGATCTCTTCCAGATTTAGACAGAACTGTAGAAACCATATATTTCGTTCGGGTCGAAATGTCAAAATGCATCTTTTACTTTGACATTATTCTGGCATTGTCACATACGCGGGGTCAAGCCAGGCATCTAATTGTTGACAACGTATTATTTTAGTAAACAAAAACAAATTTAGTTTAACTATTAAGATATAATTTTTCATGCATTGGAAATGGTATATTTTAGATTGACGGTGGATTTGATTAAATGTAACATTTGGTGAGATTATAATCCGTTATTTTTTCTCAATAATAAAATGACTTTTTTATCTTTGAAATTATAAATAACTTATAATATATTAATACATGTTTTTTCTTGTAATTATATAAGGGCTTTTTATATTAACTTGTGCCTGAGACATGGGCATCTTCGCTACTCTTGCTAGGGTCCTGGGTCTAGACACATGATATAAATGTAATAATTATTTACTTAAATCAATTTCAATGAAATCTGTACTAAATTATAATTAAGTTATTTAGATAATTGATAAATATTATTAAATACTTTATATACATGTATACATACATTAGTCATTCAATAACACAACTCATTTTAGTATTTGAATACGTCACATGTGATTATTGTGCACTGAAAATAGATGATGAAAGTTGAACTTTACACTTCAATGTATGTATTAATAAAATACTATTGATTTGGAGTTTGACTAGTTCAATTCAAAAGATTCTTATATTACTAATGTTGTGTTATTAACCCATTTAGAACTCACAAATTAAAAAATATACGATCTTCTTAGTATTTAATTCTTCTTAATACTTTTAATGCAATGATATAAGCAAAATATAATTGCTCATTTCTGAATTTTCTTTTTTTGTTTTAACTTCGATGCGAAGCTGAGAAGGTATTAATTTTATAACGATGTTTTTTTTGTTTTTTGTGTCTGTTGCCACTTTTTCTCAGCTCTCAATGGACCGATTTTGATGTACAATATGTCAAAAGATCACAAATCGTATCTAGTTGAAGATATTATTCTTAAAAATTGAAAAAAATTCCCTCGTTCCTCGTAAATGAGGGAAATTTCCAAAAAAATTACAATTTTTCTTTCAAATCGGTAAATTTTGTCATTTTTTTTACTTTTTTTCTTAAAACTACCATAACTTTTTTAAAAATTAACGAAACAACTTATTTATTTATTTTTATTGAAACCTTAGATATTTTCTTTTCATTCGATATTATTTTTTTGAAAATCTAACACTTAACCTGCTCACAGGGGGGTATTTAAAATAGCAAATAGCTTTTTTACTTAACTTTTGAAAATGTTCCGGGAATTCTGCATTCTTTAAATGTGTATCAAATTAAAGCTTATGTCATGTACTATAAAATGAAAAAATAAAATTTGTCCCGACACCTTATCTTCTACATTCAAACGGCTGCCGTATTTAAAAAGATTCTATTTTTGTGTTAAAATTTTCGATTTTAAATTTTCAACTTTAAATTGCTATAACTTATTGAATAATGTATGTATCAAAATTTTTTTTTCTAAATACATTATATATACCTTTTTCATTTATCATACTTTTTATTTAAATTGGACTATTTTCCTTTATACTGGGGGCTTTCAAAACTTGAAAAATATGTATAAAAAGTAGATCTTTCCCAACTTAACTTTTGAAAATGTTCCGGAAATACAGCGTCCTTTAAACATATAACAAATTAAAGCTTACAATAAATACTATAAGTTCAAAAAAAAAAAAAATTGTCCCAACACCTTTTCTTCCATAGGAAAATTACCGTCAAATTTAACGAAACTTATAATTTTTATGTAAAAATCACTGTTTAGCATGAAATATTTTAATACTTAAAACTTCCATAACTTTTTGAAAAATTAATAAATTAAAATTATTTTTTTCATATTGAAACCTTAGATATTTTTCTTTTATTTGATATAATTTTTTTGAAAATCTGACTCTAAACCTGCCCGCAGGGGAAATTAAAAAAAAACAATTTTTGCACACAACTTAAGTTTTTTCAATTTTTCAAAATATTGACACTTTTATTTAATCTTAAATTAAAGCTTATATTATTATTTAGAATAAAGTTCTTAAGATATAAGAAGTTAAACTTATTTAAATTTTTTTGCTTTTTTAAAGACTATAAAGTAACTTTAAAATTTGAATCAGCTTAAATTGCCAATTTTATTAGCAACGAAAGTGACGAACAGTTGCTGAATCGATGACACTTATGTCTTTCACAGTTAGGGTACTAGGTTCGAATCCCGCCTGTGGCATTCATATTTTGCATTCTTTTTAAGTTAGAAAAATGTTCAAATTATTTGATTTTTATTTCATTTATATTCATTAACTACAATAAATATCAAGGATCCCATCACTGTAGTCTCTCCTCATGAGAAGAAATTTCTTATTTATGTTAATAGTATTTTACAATGTTTTTTTTTTTGTTGCTGTGATTTATTTTTCCAACCCTCAATTAACCTACTTATTTCAATGATATGTCAAATGATTATAATCCGTATTTAGTTGAAGATATTACCCTCAAAAATTGAAAAAATATTCCTTAATCAAATAAAGAGTACCTTAAAAAGTTGTATCCACGCAAACAATTAAAATGATTCATTTCTAATATTTTTAATGTATTTATTGTCGAATTAGATTTGATAGGATAAAAGTATTCAACTGCAAAAGTAAATGATTTTACTTTGTAATTTATTAATTTTTTCACTCTATTTGTGTGTGCTCTATCTGCTTTTTATGATAGTGATTTTAATCACTGTCAGATTAAATCTATACTGGACCCAACTATGCCACTGTGCTGGTTTTTTTATTTTAATTTTAAATGGTGATTATGATAATAAAAAACGAAAATAACAACAAATATTAATAATGATTTTTACTCACAAATTAATAATTTAACAAAAAAATAAAAACAAGTATATCTCACATTACATACACTCCATAAAAATAAACTTAACAGAATATATAAATTAAAAATTGTTGCAAAATTAAAATCACAATATATTTATACAGAGAGATATCTTAAACCTAATACCTACATAACATTAATAATATTTTTAGTAAATAGCTATTACAATAATTTAAACTGGGATAATTAATCATATTCTTTGTAAAACTTTATGTATAAGAATAATATTTATAACAATATTTAAAAAAATAAGTAATTAAACGAACTTCTCAAATGGTACTTAAATTATCACATACTGAACACAAACATGACAGTAAAAACAATTTCGTTTTTATTAAAAAAATGTATTAAAGATTTTCAATCTTTTATTTTTTAATGAGCTTATTTATTTAAACAAAAATTGCATTCATTGAGAAAGCTATAATAATCAAATAGTTCAAATTTTAAAGCTATACACTATTCCTAAATAGTTATCCTAAATCAATAATACATTTATGGCTTGCTATTCATATAAATCTTACTGTTTTGTTTTAAAAAATATATTTTTGAAGCTTAAATTCATAGGCTTCAAACAATTTTAATTATAACTTAAAAATTAAAGTTATAGTTTATAAGTTAAAATATGTCATATATTCAATTTAAATGATAAAATAAGAACTGTTAATATTTTAATAAAAATTACATTAATTCCAAATTTTAACATTTTTGTGTCAATTGAGGATAATTAAAATGAGCAACTGTGTTTTATCACATATTTTTATGTAGGTAACTATATATATATATTTTACAGAAACTAGTAACTTTACCCTTAATATATTAAAATAAGTTCTTAAAGTAATAAGTTTAATTAATCAAAAATTGTAAAACTAAAAACAAATAATTAATAATTTAACAATAATATTGTTCGTAAAAATTAAATTTTACATTATATGATTTAAAAAATAAACAGACCATTAACTGAGAGTAAAATGTAAGTTCTTGGTATAAATACATTTAGATAGTTATAAAATAGAATATACTTTAGAAAAAATATTTTTTATATGTTTAATGCAATTATCAGAGATCCACTAAACATAATCCTTTCTGAAATTATAACAAAATAATAAGTAAAAATACTTTTGTAACACAAATTTTACTTTAGTTTATATTTTAACATTTCTTTATAAATGTTATATGTAAGTATATAGCCCATTTTTAGTTACCAATTAAAAATTAAACAATTGGTACTATATTAAATTTAACTCAAAATGATTTAATAAAAAATTTTAAAGAAAATTTATAGCATATAAGTAATTTACTAATTGTCCTTTCATTTTTTGTATGCACTTTTATATATTAAATATATAAGTATTATTTTTCTTTAATTTAGAAGTATTAAAATTGATATTTAGAATTTAAAATACCAATTACCACATACTATTTTCTTTTCGATTAGTATATCTAAGAATATAAATTTTACTTAATCATAATGATTTATTAGAGATTTTTTGTTTAATATGCTAGGGAAAACTTTTTAATAGTTTAAATTTGCAATTTAAAAATCTTGAGACTAGTATAGTGAATAATTTTATCCAGTAAAAAAATAGCTAGTAATTTGCAAAAATATGGCATATGAATTTATATACATTTAAAAAAAAGAAATTCAAACTGTTACATTTTCAAAGAAAACTGTTAGAAATAAAAAATATGATAACTCAATTTTTTACAATTATATTAACAAATTAAAATTTTATGGTTTAAATTAAAAAACAAATAAAAAAAAACTTTTGTAATAAAATCGAGAGAAATTCTCAAAGAAATCTTATTTTTAGAAAAAAAATTTGTCAATAAAACAAATTGATTTTACTAAAAATATTATTGCTTGTTAAGAAAATATTCTGTAAACAAATATTTTACTTTTATAACTGAACTATAACTTTTAAGATAGAGGTGTTTTTATTGATTTCATATATTTTACCTAAATCTCATAAAATATAAATTAATTTTGAGTTTTTTAAAATAATTTTAAAAATTAACACAAGATAATTTATACTATATTTATCAATGTATGGAAAATAACCAACTTAATATTAAATCAGTAATTAAAATGAAAAGTATAAAATTTGTACAAATATTTTGATTAAATAATTTAAAAATTAATTTTTATATTTTTCTTGGCTGTAAAAATTTAAATTAAAGTAAAATGTATAAATAAGAAAAATTATATATGTAATGTTCAATACTTAAATAACTGAAGTTAAAATATTTTACCGGTAGTCATTAAAAAAGTAAATGATGGTCAATAGTAATAGCTAAATGATAATAAATAATATTATTTTAAAGATTAAATTGTATAACTATGAATTAAAATCGGAAAAGTTGTATACATCAAATTAAATAATAGCTGAAAAATAACTACTAAATAACTACTCTTAAAACTGTAATTTGATAAAAATTGAAATCTAATAATAAAAATGACAAAAATTCAATTTTAAAATTATCCTTTATCTGAAATTATAATATAATTATTCGAAATTCAATCATCCATAATTTGAAGTTATTATTTTTACAGCAAAAATCAATGTTTTCTCAAATTTCATATTATTTGGTTTAGATCATGAGTTTTACATAAAAAAAGAAACAAGATAATACACAAACATTAATTATCCGAATTGATATTTATATGAATTTAATAATGAAATCAAAGAATATTTAAAAATTCTTCTAATACAATATTTTAGTTTAAATGATACATCATTTTCATAATTCTAAATGAGAAATCAAGGTCAGCAAAATAAGAGATAAAATGAATGTTAAATTTATAAAAAACTTAAATAAATAATGTAATTTTGTATCTTCATTAAAATGTAGTCAACACATGTTAATGCATATACGATCTTAAAATAAATATACTTTTATGTTTTAATTACTTACATAAAGACTAGGATAAGGGTACTTGACTTTTGGCATTTAAAGTTCATCAAGGCCCCCTCTGCGTGCACCCGATTTGGTTTTTTCAAGAATTTTGTTTACAAATTCAGTTGTTTGTCCAGCAACTTTAAGTTCTAAAAAATTGTTCAATGATTCAAATTGTCAAACAAAAGTGATTAAAATTAGTTATGGTTTCTTGAAGAAATAAAATATAGTTTTATTAAAAATGAATACAAAACAAACAAATATTTAACTCAAAAAACTACAAATTATGTCAGTATGTATTTAGTGCTGATAATGGTAACATTTATCCCAAAAAATGTATACAAAATTTTTTAAATAATTTTTTTGGTTAAAATTAAGATTTTTCAGGAGAAATTGTCAACGATAAATCATTTGCACCTGTGTAATTCTAAGTTTCATGAATATATTGTTTGCAATGTATTAAAAGGCTGATACATTTTAAGATTACTTACTGGTAGCATTTTTGGTAATTTTATCACTAGTTTTAGCTAATTCTTGATTTTCATTGGTAAAAGAATCATTAGTCATCCTTGTTACTAGTAGTTGTTTGACTTGAGATATAGCATTTATTAAACGTCCTAAAAAATTGTATGTTGTACAAATAGAACAAATAGGTTTTAACTTTAAGTATAATGATTAATATAATTGGTGTACAAGGAAAGTATCATATTATCACTGGAGTTTACACTACATTTAATGTCTTGAAACCCTTAAATAAATAAATTTGTGAAATATTTTAAATGTAAATAAATTATAAAAAAATAACTTTTTTTTTTAATTTAACTCCATCATATGAATTTTTTTTAAATAAAATTGAGTTTTAAATATTTAAATTTCATTGAGTTAGAAATCGTTGAGTTTTGATTACATACACTTTTAAGATAGTATATATTACTAGTTTCTATCAATTCTTTCAACTATGAAGCGGAATTTTCACATCAAAATGTTTTCACTGTTAACTGAAAACATTAAAACAATTTAACTAACTGTAGTTTAACATGATACGTCCCCAAATTTAAATAAAACATTATTTATCCAAGAGTAGAAAATATTAATTTTACAAAAGTTAAATTTGCTCAACATAACCATCTGTTTTGATTTTAGTAGCGATATATTAAGATATTGGAAAAGATTAGGCATTTTTAAAGCATATAAAAAAAATCATAAATTTTGAATGAATTATAGGTCTTAAACAATATTTTCGTTTTTTCTTAAACAAACAAAAATATTATTCTAGAAGCTATAATTTAATTTAAAAACTAATTTAATCAATTTTTTTAAATAGATGTTCCAAAATCAATTGAGTAATCTGTTTATTATATAAAAAAAATTCTATTATAATCAATAATTATTTTAGATACTAAATAAGAATTCAGTGATTATTTTATTACTCTTTATTGATTTTAATTAATAATAATTTATTATTATTATTAATAATAATAAATCACAAGAATTTATTATTATTTGATTTTTTTTATTCAAAATTTTAATGTATTGGATAAAATTTAATTTTTGAAAAAATAAAATTTTCAATCCTTTTTATCTAATTATAATAGGAAATTAATGATTGTTTCATTTATTATAATCAGATATTATGAACAATTTTATTTGTAAGATTAAAAAAAAATGTGTAATGCAAATATATTTAGACTTACTGTGTTCTGTTTCTAGTCCAAAGAGTTTAATTTTGTTTGCTTCATGTTGTGCTTTTTTTTTTAGACGACAAGCTCTAGAAAATAGAAAATAACATAATATATACATAGATTAATTTAATCATAACATAAGTTATCTTATTTAATATTGTTTTTAAGCAATAATACAATTAAAAATTCAATTTTATAACATGCTAATTTCAAATAATAAATAGGTTTGTTTACTAGATTATTCACTTCTTAATACATAGGGATTTACATTATATATTTACATTTGTTACATAGATTAACATATATAAAAATTTTTAATTAAATGATTTTTTTAAATAAATAAAGTAGACTACATATCAGACATAAGATCTTTGGTTAGATTTAAAGCAATATCATTAAAAAAGAAGAACCCTGATAATTTAAATAGTTTTACTCATCGTTTAAGTCATTGGAAAGTTTCATTATGACATAAACTTATAAAATATAGGTTTATGGAATATTATCTTAAGTTTGAATTAAGTAAACATATATATAGCCATTAAAAAAATTAATTTGGTACTTTTATGAGGGATAAGTGATAGACCTAAAAATATTTAACCACATAAATTGAAAACAATACTAATTAACATTTAAATTAATTTTATTAATTGTATATAAAATTTATTTATAAGTTTGTATTATGTTGGACCTAGTACAAATAATAAAAACGTATACCACTTTTTTAATGCTTAAAAGTTAATAAGTTAAATTTATTTATATTTTTTAAATGAGAATAAATGTTTGAAAAATAAAAAATACTATACCTAGAAGCCAATTTGTTCTTTTCTTTGCGAGTATTTGGTCTGATATTAAATGGCAACTCACTAACAGGTGTCATTTCATTTATACTTTTATTTAATTTGTCCAACTCCCTACCAATTGACTGTAGTTTCTTAGGATTTGGTGTTAAATCATTGCCATCACCTTTTCTTGCTTTCCCACTATAATATAAGTGCATTCAAAATGTGTTTTTACTTTTAATATTACTAATTAATAAATAAAATATCAAACCTATGCTTTATCCCTTGAATTGAACAACTTGGGCTGAACACTGGATCTGTAACTTCATTTAAACAATGTGGATCTTCTAATTTGCATTTTAAAACTAAACGTTGACCTTTAGGACCTTTTGACTGAACATTATACTGCCAAAAAAATCTATCTTTATGAGAAGAAGACTTAGCTGAGGTTCCTCCATTATCACTTTCACCGCCAGAATCTTGTCGAAATATAGATAATAAGTATCATAGCTACTATGTAAAATAAAAATAAATTTGTTTCTTTCCATACCTGCATCAGTTGAATAGTCTTCTTCTTGTTCTGTATCATCATCAGTGTCATCTATAGCTTCATCTAAAGAAAAATCATAAGCTTCTGGACTCAACACACCACCTTTATTGAAATCAAGATAAATAAAATATATCTAAAATTAAGTTTCTAAAATACCTGTAGACAAAGATGAAGTTGATTCTGCTTCAACTAATGATCCAGTAGATAACAAATGTTGTCTAGGCTCTCTACGCTGCCAAATCTGATCTAGTCCAAGATGTGTAGGAGCAGAAGACGATAGACTCGTTCTTGAACGACTAGGTAAAAGAAATCCTGATCCAGGAACACTAGTGCCAAATGTTGTAGGAGACAAACATGTTTTTGGTTTTGTTTCCTTTTTTAATAATTCTTGTAAAGTTATTGGTGTAGTTGGCCCAGGAGAAAGCGATGAATGTGAGCTACAACTATTAGGTGAGAGCTGAAAACCAGATTTTGATGAACTGGGTCTATTGATGGGGCTAGTATTTACTACATGGTCAATAATATAAGATCCCATTAATGGCACTGTATCAGATATTTCTGATTTAACTGAATCAGGTGGTAACAGTAGATCATCAAAGTTAAGATCTTCTAATAAAGACTCACCACCATTAGCATTTAATTCAGCTAATGTTGGACCTTGTAGCAAGTCAGATTGATCAACCTGTAAAAATTAATTAATCACTATTATTATTTTTGAAATAACCCACTCAATAACATACAAAATAAAAATAGTTTAAACATTTTTTTTGTTGCCTTTAGTTACATATTATTCTTGAATTATTAGCTATGTAATACTTTATAAGGATGTCAACTTAATTTTTTAATGGTAATATGCATATTTATCTAGCTCATTTAATAGTAAATAGTTAAGCAAAAAAAAATCATTGAAAAACTTTTTGAACCAATATTTTGGAAGTTATTAATACTTTAACATATATAGACTAGGAATGAGATGCAGGTTATATTATTTTTACCATTACATATTTATCTGTCATGTTACTTTTTCTTTCATATATAAAAATATTAATAACTCCAGAACTACTGGGCCAAAAGTTATTAATCACACATTTTCCTACTTACATTAGAAAAAGAAAAATATAAAAAAGAATGTATTTTTTGATTTTGTGTAAAGTTAATGTTTTGAAGTTATGCTTTACTATTTATGCACCATAAATTTAAAATAAATAACTTTTAATGATTGTCTTATATAGATTATATTAATTATTAATCAATTATTTAACCTCAAAAATATCTTCATCCATTTTAATAAATGACATATCATCGGTTTTTCCAATCCATCCAGTATCATTTGTGGTAAAAAAATTTTGATCGCCACTATTTACAACCATTGGATCTTGAATAAGAGCATTAGATGTATCAAATAATTCAAATCCATAATCTTGCAATGTATTAAGTTCACCGTTTTTTCGTATTGGAATAGGTACACCTAATGATGAACTTTCTGTTGGGTAATCTGCTTTTAGCACACGTTTTGTTTCTAGTGTACCAAATAAATTAGTATAATCTTTATTGTTCATTTTCAATTATTTTAAATGCTACAATGCAGTTTTTTCAACTAAAATAATTGAAAGCTTCATAAAAACGTTGTTTAATCTTGCAAAAACAAACTTTGTTAGATTTTTTTAACTTAACCTATAAAAAATAAATTATATTATAATAAAAAACAGTGATTCTTTAATATTAAAAACAATTGAACAACAAAAAATTTTCAATTTTTTTTTTTAATAAAAGTAAACAATTTAACACATTTACTATTTATCATATAAATGTTTTTATGGTCAATTTTCATGAAATAAATAAGTATAACATATAATTGAACATACAAAAAACTTTAAAAAATCTAACTTTGCTGTTAACATTTTTTTTTTTTTTTTATAATAATCAAAATAAAGAACATTTTTATGGAGATCTGGGACCCCGAGTTCTTTACTAAATCTGATTATGTGCCATTTTAATGATTGCTGATCTACTAATATTTAAGATATTAGGTTTCGTCAATGGATTAGAAAAAACTATAAGGTATTTATTTAAAATCTATATATATTTGCAACAGTATCGGTTATTGTATACTTAAATATTACAATACTCATTTTGGTTTATATAATTTTAATTTCATAACACATATCACATGTTTGAAAAATATTCAGCATAATTTATAAAAGTAGTAGAAATTTAGCTTAATATAGTTTGAAGTCTTTTAATGTATTGCATTACGTTAATAATAAAATTTATTTATCTATCGTTAAAGGTTCATATTTAATATTATAACAAAATATGTAATAAATCAAGAATATTAGTTTAAATAAAATTGTTGAAAAAACATAAAGAAAAATATTTGAAACAGTTTAAGTTGTTATTGGTAAAATAATTGTTAATTAAAATTTTACCCAAATTCTATAAATTCTATAAATTGTTAAGGAATGAATCCACTTCAAATATTAAATTTATAGATAGGTCAAACATAGATATAGATACACATACCCGTATTCTGAGACTAACAAAGAAATAAAGTTCCCGATAATTCTATTATTTAAATACAACAGCTGTTTAAATTATACTAATTTTTTTAACTCTTAAAAATAGCAATTTATTTTTCCAAGTTAAGCAATTATATAATAATTTATCCGAAATAAAATTAAAAATACAGCAAAATAATAACTTAATAAACATAATGTATACATTAAACAAGTATGGTCCCTACCTACTATTTTTGTTTCACTTTATTTCATGATAAATTTGCATATTAAGCATTGATACAGTGCAGCAAGTTTTTTTAAATATTCCAAATGAATATTTCTTAATTTTGGTTCACAATATTAAACCATGATTGTAAGAAAGAGTTGAAAGGCTATCTAATTAAAAATAAATAGGTCTTCATTATACAAAGCAAAATTGTTAAAACTAGCATAAGGGTTATCAAGGACATTTGATAACGATAAGAGGCCACGAGGATAGTAAATGACTTAGAAACACTTTGTTTATTTACTTTTTTGCTAATGAAAAATAATCAAAATGGAAGTGTTTAATGAGAAAACTTATTCAAATTACTTTTGAAGTTGAGCAAGTACTCCTCTAAACAGATCTAATAAATTTCCTTAAATTTATGGAACCCACAGTCTATGACAAAGAAACACGCACGGCCATGACTTTCATTTAGCAGGTGGCCTCCACGGAATTTGAAATCAGTTTCGATTATATTATAATTTTCTATCAGACCTAGTTAATGAATGAACAATTCCTGACGAACACAATAGAATATTGTATTAGGGTATACCCACTTGTTGGTCCACATTGAATAAAAAATGTACGATGCGGTTGTGAATTCGATTACAAATTTTCGTGAATTCTCTTAACTATGAAATTTTCACAATTCCGTGTTTACATCATACAGCACTAGCGCCACATTGGCCGTGAGGCGAAAGCAAAAATAACAACAGTACTAAAAAACTATTTATAATAAATAAACACATTGGTTTTTGTAAGCTAATGAAATCAAAGGTCACATGACGAAAACACGATCGATGGTACCTTGTTTACATTCAGTAGCCAATCAGAAACGTTTAAATTCAGAACCGCAGGGTAGCTCTATCTTTTCTGTTGACCAGACATTAAATTATTATGACTTACCGTTCAAGTATTTTAAAGTTAATAGAACATGCAGAACTTGTCAGCAACATACAACCTGATTAAACATTTTTCTACAATTTATTTTTTGTTAAACATGAATTAACCAACAGTGTTGACAGCTATAGCATATTTTTCTGATTATATTGGATTTATAACCTAAAACTATCCCAAGCTCAAATCTATTGTATAATTTAAAAATTCATTATTCAAATTATCGAAACTGTTCATTTTACAGGAATTATTTGGAATCAATCCGATTGCTATTTTTTTGGTGGTTTCTATATTACATATAATTGTCTTTAGATATTTCTTATTCACAAATAAAACAAATTAGACTTTAGATGTAAATATATTTATTTATAGAAATTATTTAAAACTAATGCATAGTTATATTAATTCTTAAATTATAAAAGTATGATCTGATTTATTGAGTTAACTTTTAGTTAGATATGTATTGTAATTTTTAATAATCTCATTTAAATAGCAGAAATATTTTTAAGTATATCAAGTATTTATTTGAAGACTAATATGGAGGATGTCAATAAAGGATATATAAAAAAATTCGATGCTATTAAAGTAAGATTGTCTGATATGGAGTATTATTTTAATTACAGATGTAGCTATAATTATATTAATAGTTTTACACAATTCGCAAAAAAAAAAATTTAATATTAAATTTCTAAGTTTAAATTCTTTAGTTTCCTAGTTATATTTTTGTTATGCCATTAAAATTATTTCATTTTAAGGTTATTTGTTTAAAACTTAAGTTCTATATTCATAAAGTTTGTTAGTTTAAATGAAAAGCTTTATTTTTAGGGTAATTGTTTATTTGCAACAAAGCACTTTGAACCAGATGAACTAATTTTTGAAGAAATTCCTTTTGTGTCTTGTCAGTTTTCTTGGAATAGTCTTTATGGTTATCGAGCTTGTAATCATTGCTTAAGGTACTTAAATTCTAATTTTAATATTAATTATTAAATTGATTTTACATATATTATATATTTTTGAATCTCATTTATTTATAATGTTTAAAAAAAGATATTTTAATAAATTATATTATAATATTATATTGGTCAAATTAATATACAATATTATAATTATAATCCTAATAAAAAGAATTACTTTTTTGTCTTTGTTGACAAATAACTTGCACTTAAGTTGTTAAAAAAATTTTTTTTACTTATTATATTAAGGTGTTCAAAGTTATTTTCAAAGTATGATTGAACTTTTCCAAAAAACATGTAATTATTTTTCGTTTTGCCCTAATAATTTCATTTTGATTTAATTTTTTTCTCAAATATGAGTAGTCTGTTTAAGTAGAAACTTAAAAATAAAAATTGTCTGATTTCATATGTTATTTTTAAAATAATAATTTTTAATAATAAAAAATATTTTATGAGGTTCCTATAATACTGAAAATCTGGTATGATGTACCTTCTATACCTCCAATAAATCTGGCACTGTATGTTAGTACTGCATAGAATTCTTTGGCAAAAGATAAGAACCTAATATTTTATATATGGTGACCTTAGAATATCAAGGTTCTAAGTAAAATTTTAGACGATTTTTATTTATTGTAAATATTTTGTTGTATAACTTGAATGTTGTTCTTAAAAAAATAGTAATATTATTTGTTATAAAATAAGTCCTTTAGAAACAATCAATGAAAATGTAATTCGATTGACCAATGCTGCAATCACTGAAGTTCCATTTGAAGAATATTGTCCTACAAAAAATAATATAAAAGATTATGTTCAATGTGAATTTTGCAAAGTAAGGTTTAATATTTCATATGACTTAATCACTTACATAATTTTTACTTTTATTTGGTAACCAAGCTAATAAAAATTAGCTTGATATTTAACTTATATTTTGTACGATAGTGAAAAATTTTTAGGATAGGGCTATAAATTGTTGTTTTAAATGTACTTTCGAATGGTTAAAAAATTCAATTTGAACTATCCTTATTAAATACTGTTTTGAAAAAATTTTAAATGTATAGTTTATAAGAAAGTTTTTTAGCTATAACCTATCTTAGATTAAAGCTCAATATGTCCTTATTCTTATGTGCCTCCAACTATTAATGAAATGAATGAATTATTTTATTATATATTTTTAAATAGTTTCCAATTAAACAAATAATTGCAATTGAACATTTTAGGTTTGGTATTGTAGTCATACTTGTTTAGAGAATGCTTTAAATCAGTATCACCAACTTCTTTGTAGACCTGATACCAGTGACCCTTTGCATTATTTAGAAGAATTATGGAGGTAAATATTACCATTGTTATATTATTTTAATGGTGGTTTGAAAACTATCAATAAGCACTAATACCTAAATTTTTAAGTTAATTATTTTGTAAGGTTTATTAAAAAATATCATATTTTTTATAAATAATGTCTATATTATTTAATTATTATAAATTCTAACTTAGACTCCCGAGTAAAAAAATTAGATCCCATATAAAAAATATGGTGCCTTATTTTTTATATGCAACTTGTATGAGTTAAAATTGTGTGATTAACCCCAAAAGGTATGAAAAAAGTTTTTCCGATTTTATTTCATTCTTTTGCTATTTTAATTTAAAATGTTTGATTTACAAATAACATGAAAAAATAATAAACAGTATATATTCTAAATATTATTTTTAGAAATATTTAAGTGTCAATAACTTATAATTTTCTATTTACCTTATAAAAAATCAATCATTGTTTACAACCTACCACTTATAATCATCAATAATTTATTACATTTTTTATGACCTCTAGTGAAAAAAAAGTGTGGGATAAAAATAAAAGCAAAAACATTTGAAATAGCTGGCACCCAATTTATAATTAAAATTTTGAATTATTTTTAGAACGATGCATTATCCGCCAGAGAGTCACAATATAATGTTACTGTGTCGTCTATTAGCTATAATTGAATTATCATCATCACCTCAAAAAGCAAATACAATAATTTCTAATGTAAGACTTAATTATATAGAAAATTAATAATTTTTTTTTTATTAATTGATTTTATTATATTTTTAGTTTTGTCACCGAACAGAAAATGAAAATGAAAAATTAGTTCATAAAATGTTAGGAGAAAAATTCGCTGAACAAATTGAACAATTACGTTTTGGTGTGTTAAAATCTTTACCAATCAAAGAATCCAGCCAAGTAACTAATAAATTATTTCCCAAGATCTAAAATATTATAGTTCTTTATTATTACTTCTAACCTTTGTATGTTTTTAGTGGTTAACACCTAATGGATTTAAATCATTATTAGCTTTAATTGGTACAAATGGGCAAGGTGTTGGAACTAGTGCATTTCAGCGTTGGTCTAATATATGTAAAAAGCATCTTTCTCCTGACCAGATGAAATATTTTGAGAATTTTGTAGATATTGCATATAATGCTATGGAACAAGGTATGTCCGTTGAAATATAGAGTATGAAAACTGAATCATTCAATTTTAATATATTTTGTTTTCATTTTGTTTAAAATTTGAGACATAATTTTTAATAGTATTATTAGAGACGCAACTAAGTTCTCGCTGTTTTTTTTTTTTTTTTTAATGCAACTATTGTGAAAAAATATTTACATATATATATTATTCAAATTATTGCCCATTGCTAGTGACAAATTTTACCCATTTTTCTGGCAGAGCTCGAATACCATTACAATAAAAGTGTTTGTATTTTAAGGCTATTAATGAATCGATCTATTTCTTAATTTTTCCATATGAGCGAAACTCAGCCAGACCATATGCCATTGAACAGAACAAGTAATAATTGGATGGCACAATATCTGAGGATTATGGCAGATGAGGTAGGACTTTCCATTTGAGCGTTTCTATGTAGGTTTTAACATATTTGGCAATATTAGGCCGGGCATTGTCATACAGTAGAATCACTTTTTCACGTCTCTGCTCGTATTGTGGCAGTATTTTGCACTGTGTTTGGCTCAGTCACATCAATTGAAGTCTATTCCAATCAGTGATTATTATGTTTGGTTTTAACAGCTCATAATAAATAACATTGGTCATATCAAATACACTGCATAACTTTTGAAATGTGTACGTTTGGCCAAGCCAATGATGTAAAAGCATGATTCTATGACTTTCCTTTCATTGGGTTGCTGTAATGAATCCATTTTTCATTACCTATCACGATGCAATAAAGAAATCCCTTCTTTTTTTTTTGCTGCTGGAACAGTTGCTCACAGGCGAAAAAACATAGTTAAATGTTCCTTGGCTTTAAATCGTAAGAAACCCAAGTTCCTTACTATTGAATTATTCCAAACGCATGGAATCTCTTGGTAATAGCTTGTAGGGTAAAATTTAATACCGAAGCAAAGTATTCCTGCATTTGGCACGGATTCTCATTGAGCAATTTCACCAATTCAGTGTCTTTGACTTTCTTTCACATGGGCAGTCATCAACATCTAACTTGCTACTTTTAAAGTGATGGAACAATCATTGAACATTCATTCACTTAGAACAGCATTTCCATAATCTTTTAATAATTCTTGATGTGTTTTAGTCATGATTTTCTTTGATTGAAATAAGAGCAGTAATACTTCCTATAAATGATGATTATTTGGGAACAAAATCAGATATTTTTACACAACTAGAAGTATATATCACAATAAAATTGTTAATGTGTCAAAGTGGTTTGTTTACCGTATGTTTCAGCTTGGTTCATGACGTTTTAGATGTATTAAAATCAACCAACACTTACTGTTGGAGCCATCTATTGCAAACAGCGAGAATTTTTTTTAATTATCCTAAAATTAACTTGTCCATATGGGTGTAATAGGCTTTAAAGGGTTAAGTTTAACATTTTCATACAGGATTGTGCAATTTTCAATAATAATATTTTGTATTCTAATACACTGATAGACTTAATTATTATTAATTTTATTTTTTTCTGCAAAAAACTTTTGTTTAAATCCAAATATATATTTGTTTTTAATTAATAAAAAAAAAAAATTGTAAATTTATTTCATTTTGAATAGCTGTAGGTATGGATTTTTTGGATAATGAAGGTTCTGCATTATTTCNTCTGCAAAAAACTTTTGTTTAAATCCAAATATATATTTGTTTTTAATTAATAAAAAAAAAAATTGTAAATTTATTTCATTTTGAATAGCTGTAGGTATGGATTTTTTGGATAATGAAGGTTCTGCATTATTTCAAGAACATAGTTCTATTAATCATAGCTGTTATCCAAATGCTGCTAGTGTATTTAATGGAAATCATGTTTTAAGGCTTATAGCAATTCGCTCTATTGAGCCAGGAGAAGAGATAAATACCAGTTATATTGCTCCATGTGAACTGGATCATAGTAGACATACACGACAAAAATATTTACAGTAAGTTTAATAAACATATTTAAATATTTGTTCAATAGCATCATGTATGTTTCAATTTATGTATATGAATTTTTCTTTATTTTAGAGAAAATTACGTGTTCACATGTCGATGTACAAAATGTGAACAACAAGCTGATGATCCAGATGAAACTAGTGATGATGATGAAGATGAAGAAATGGATGATAATGATAATGACGATATATAAATTATATTTTGTAAATTTGATATTAAAAGCAATATACACAGATGTTAACAAAATGATTATACATATTATTTTATATTTATTCAACCCTAATTGGTTTATCTAAGACAATTAAGTTGTTGCTGTGTTCTGCTAATTCAGTCAATGAAACTCTTCCGCGTTTTTTTATAAATGAAGCTACAGCATCCAGTTCAGATTGTGATATAAAAATAAATTTCCCTCTATCATCAATTACACCTTAATTAAAAAAAAAAACAAAAAAAGACATTTACATAATGATGATGCATATGAATTTATATATATTTAATTATTAAAAATATAAGATTTTATTATTTCTAAAAAAAAAATTTTTTTTGAAATAATTTGTAAACAATTTATTACTATAAAAAAAATTCATTCATAATTTTTCTAACAAAAATATTTCAAAATACAACAATTATTTATTCTAGAAATGTGACATTTTGTACTTAAGTTCTTTAAAAATTAAATATACACTATAATGCTATGTATTACTTTTTTGTGGGATAAAAGTAAGTAAAACGACTAACCTGTTAATAAACCATCATCTAATAAACTTTGTATTCTATCAATAGCCATTTGTGTTTTTAGTTTGAACTGTAATGCTAATTCATCAAGTACAACCACTTTGTTTTCCTGAAAATATAAATTTATGTATAACCATTCTATAATCAATTAAATAATTATTATAAAACCTTTATATAATTCATAAACTGTGTTAATGTGGCCCCTTCATCTTCTAATGTTTCTTCATAGCCTTCTTCTTCAATTCCAAAATTTTCTTTTAATTTTAAATATTCTTGATGCTCTTTTCTAGCTTTTTCTTCTGCTAATCTTTTTTCCAAGGCTAAACGTTCCTGTTCCTGTCTTAGTTCATGATCTTCACGAGCTTTTCTTTCAGCTTCTTCTAATTCTTGCTTTTTTTTACGTTCTTCCCGTTCTTGTAAATCTGCCTAAAATTGATTTCAAATTTTTAGCATAATATTCATCAAATATCCAATAACTATTTTTAAATATAATTACTTCACGTTTTATTTTTTTCTCAGCTTTAGCTTCTAATTTAGCTCGTTTTTTTGCACCTAGCTTAGGATCTGTAATAACTGGAGTTATTGGAATTTCATCATTATCTTCTTCAATATTTTCATTTCTGGGTTCTAAAATAAAAATTAATTTATATTTCATTGTTATTATAAAACAAAGTTAATTAAAATCATAACTCTTATTAACTATCTTAAACAGACTAATCAATTTAATCTAAAAAGTGGGTCTAAGTAATACATAAAATAGTTTTAATGTTTCGTTAAATATTATTCTAATCCTCTTAAATATTTAAACACATGTAGTGTCAACGGTGTAGGGTTATCACCACTTAACTCTAAGCTAGACTTATATATAAGGGAGAAAGATAGATACAAAGTAAGAATAAGTACTTGGAATGTTGGAAAATTCACTCGTAAAAGTAGAGAATTAGTAGAAGTATTGAAGAGGAGAAAAGTTAATTTTTGTTGTGTACAGGAAACTAAGTGAAAAGGAGTGAAATCACAGAAAATAGGTGATGGTTATAAAATAATATACTCAAGTAAGACCAATACAAAGAATGGTGTAGAGATAATAATGGATGAGTAGATGAAAAGTAAAGTATTGGTAGTTAGGAATAGTGACAGGATTATAGTCGTAAAAATTAATTTTTGAGAAAAAACTGTTGAATGTAGTAAGTGCGTATACACCACAAGAAAGATGTGATGAAATAGACAAGGAAGTATTTTGGAGAGAGATGGATGAGGTGATGCAAGGAGTATCTGGCAATGAGGATGCGGTGATAGGTGGAGATATGAATGGACATGTAGGTAATGAGAGGAGAAGATATGAAAGAGTGGTAGTTTTAGTGGGAAGAATGAGGCTAGAGAAAGAATCCTGGATTTTAAAATATTGTATGATTTTAGTTAATACTTTGGTTAATACTTATTTTAAAAAGAGGGCAGAAAATTATATAACTTATAAGAGTGGGAGTAATAGATCACGGATTGATTACTTTATGTGGAAGAGAGAGTCAATGTAAGGCAAGTAAAAAGAGTGTAACAACATATCATAGAATAATGGTAATAGAGTTATGGTGTAGTGGAAAGAGAGTATACAAAAACAGAAAGAACACAGGAGGAAAATTGAGGATCTAGTGATGGAAATTGAAAGGGAAAAAGAAAAAGATTTTTTAAAGACAGTTAAAAAGAGGATGTCATGGAATGTCGAGGGAGACATCAATGATGTGTGAAATAGATTTGCTAGCTGAGTAAAGAATACTGCAAAGGAGATTGTTGAAGAGAATAGGAGTAGAATACTAAAAGAATGGTGGTATTGACGAGGATGTAAGATACAGGATTGAAAGTGAAGTGGAGAAAAGCGTTTGATGAGTTATGCGATAAGAGTATTCCAATGAGACTGAAAGATAAGTTCTATAAGACTGTAGTGAGATCAGTGATATATGGTTCAATGTTGGGCGGTTAACAATAAAGTAATGAGTGTAACAGAGATAAGAATACTTAGATGGATGAGTGGAGTGACTAGAGAATATAGGATAAGGAATAAACATAAAAGAAGGAGTATAGGTCTAGCGTTAATCTTAGATAAGAGAAATAGACTTAGTTGATTTGGTCATGTTTGAGGAGAGAGGAATCAGAAACTGTAAAAATAGATGTGGAAATGAATGTTGAAAGAAGAAAAGATAGAGGAAGATCAAAAAAGAGATGGAGGGATGTTATTGAATTCAATATGAGAATGGCTGATGTGTGCGTAGATGATGTGAGTAATCAAATCAAGTAGAAATTTAGGGATAAGGGTGGCAGACCCCAAGTAGTTGGGATAAAGGCAAGAAAAAAGAAGATGTCTTGTTAAATATACAAACATTTTAAGTAGAGTTAGTATACTAACATGTGAAATTATAATTTGATACATTACTAGTTATTTTTTTTCATAATTAAATTAATAAATATTAAGTTCAAAATTAAATATTTTTAATTATTATTTTTAGGGAGGGGAAAGAGAGGATTAAAAATAATGGGACCAATTTATTTGGTTACAACTAATTTTCCTACAATTTAAAAGGCTCAAATAAATTTTTTAAATGTTCAAGCTTAGGTATTATGGAAATATAAAAATCCAATTTATAGGCAGAAACATTATTTTCTAATTATTAAATGAAAAGTTATATTATACCAATTATATTCCTAGCATTGCGCCGAACTGTATTATGATTTTGACGTTGAAATCCTACTCTTTGTCTTACTGGTATTTCATCTGTGGTAGTTTTTTGAGATTCAACTAAGAAAATAAATTTATAATATATAATGATAATCAATATACAGAGTGATTAATTTATTATTAATCACTAGATTTCTTCTAAAATAATAGTAATTTTGAGATTTTATTTTTTTAGCATTTCTAAGTACTATTTATTTCTCAAATTTTAAATTGTTATAAGGTATCAACTTAGTTTCTTTATATGCTATCATACACATTTAATTGGCTGATATAATAGAAAATTATCCATCTGAAAAAATATAGTTGATACATTTATAAGTGATAAGCGATTTACTTAAAAAATATTAAACGACTTATAAATTGAAAAACAAATAATACTAAACAAAATTAACATTTTATAATTATTATCTTAGATGAAATTTAGTGGTTAACAATAAATCAATTACCCTATATAAATAAATTTTCAAGTCTTATTTTGTGAATGCATAATAATAATTCCATAAAACTACTGTCAATTATGTAAGTTAAAAATAACATACTTTTATAAAATTTATAGTGAAACATAAAACCAAACAATCCAACGATAACTGAAGCAGAAAATATCACCAACAGTATTATAAGATCCATAGTAGCAATCAAAACAACATTAACTGAATAATCGTTAAATGTGTAAATTTCCTCCAAAAATTAAATCAAATCTAATACAAAATATATTGTTTCACAAATTATTTATAATTTATTTCAAAATAACATTAAGGATAAAATTAATTAATTATACACGGTTATAATATTAAAAATTATTAAATTACTGGAGTTTTTACACTTTTCAAAAGAAATACGATAAGCTTTTGATTATTTAGTTACTGATCGAATCTCATAAATTATTAAAAAATAATTTACTTCACTAACATATAATTAAATTATTAGATTTCTTACAAATCGTTAATATACTTCAATTTTGGTAGACGTATTTGAATTTATCAGTAACATTATCAGGAATATGCTTCTACGATTATAAAGTATTATATTTTCAATTTATTGTTTAAATATTATAATAATTTATAAAACACTGTGTCGGCATTTGTAATAATTATAAGTAATAACTTTTTCATTTAGTATACAAGTTTTGCGTTTCTTTAGTATAAATTATATGAAATATTTTTAAAGCACTCAGAGTAACAATAATATAAGAAATAGAGGAAAGTCTCCGTTAATGGTCTTTAAAAAAAATGTATTAGGTACGTAATATTTTTTTATAAGATATGATAAAATGAAATTTAAATAATAAATACTTTTTAGTACATTGATGAAGCCCAATTTAAAATGACGTGGTAAGTTATCATTGAATTTTAAAAATGTGTTAAGATGATGTGATAAGTTACTACGTAAAAGTAATTGGTGTATTCGTGTTTAACCATTTGATTTAATCGGCATTTTCACATGATAAGAGGAATATGGCTGCCACAGTTTTCAATTTTTAGTTGATGGCATTTTGATTAGTAAAATAATATTTACGATTTCTCATTTTATAATTATTTATCAACTGCACATCAATATGCATAATTATTGATCATTCAAACCTATTAGTATTAACATCTTATTGTAATGTTTCTGCAGGTGTAATTAATGTAAATTTTTGTAAAGAACACGAATATTAAAAATAAAAACTAAATTATAATTAAATTTGTTTTTACCAATTTGTAAAGAAGATGAAAAATATTTTATTCTTTTGTATTACATTATATGTGGCATCCGTGAAGTGCTTATACTTCCATATTGGTGAAACTGAACGAAAATGCTTCATTGAAGAAATTCCAGATGAAACAACAGTTGTTTGTTAGTTAAATAATTGATTTTAATTTTCCTGCTATTATTCAATACATTATTTTATTAAATATAAACTATCTATAATAGCATCTAAGTACATAGATAAGTAATGTAAATTTTTAATATTTTAGCTCACTATAAAGTTGAACTATTTGATGTACGAACTGGAGGTTTTACGCCTCCTTCACCTGGCATTGGTATGAATGTTGAAGTTAAAGATCCAGATATGAAAATTATTTTATCTCGTGTAAGTAAAATAGCGCTGAGTTTATATGGAAGTTTTTAGGAAATTATATCAATCATGTTAACAATATGGTTTTCTATATTTTTTTTTTATGTTTGTGTGTGATACAATATTTTAACCTCTAAAATATCATTTAAAGTATAAAAAAAAGAATTCAATTAAAATTTAGATCTGATATATAGCATAATTTTACAAAATAATTTTTTGTGTTTTAGGTATATAGTTATGAAGGTAAAATTTCATTTACTTCTCATACACCAGGTGAACATATAATATGTTTATATTCAAATACTACAGCTTGGGTTAGTGGTACACAACTGGTACGTTATTTATAGTGTATAATGTAAAGTTTATATTTAATAATTTATTTAAAATTGATTTAGAGAGTTCATTTAGATATCCAGGTTGGTGATCAAGCAATTGATTATGCTCAGGTAGCACAAAAAGAAAAACTGTCAGACCTACAATTGAGAATTAGACAATTAGTAGAACAAGTCGAACAGATTACAAAAGAACAAAGTTACCAAAGAGTAAGTATTTTGAAATGTATTTTTTCAAAAATATTTTAATTATTTTTCCCATTGAAAAATCGTTTGTTATACTTATTATTACTATATACTTTTATAGTAATAACATAGATAGGCCTACTACTTACTATTTGATTTCAATAAAATATTTTGCATACAAATTCAATGAAACAAGATATTTTCTATTTTATTAATATTGTTTTATAATTCGCTATAATTTTTTCTTATTATTATTTCTTGTATCCTGCATCAAAGTTCATCTAGTATAATGTTGAATTTAAGAACAAAATTATACTTTTGAAAGTATGACCAATGCTCATTTTTAATGATATATATAAAAAGATACTTAAATTTAAACTTTGACATAACTATTAATTTTTATTATTACATTAAAATCAAAATGACAGCTGTATAATTTTATGTTAAGGTTTGGTTTATTTGCTGATAAAAGTTAACAAGTGATATTTTTATTTTAGTTCCGTGAAGAAAGATTTCGTCAAACTAGTGAGAGTACACATCAACGTGTGTTTTGGTGGTCACTTACACAACTGTTCATATTATTGGTCATGGGCTTTTGGCAAATGAGACATTTAAAAAGTTTCTTTGAAGCTAAAAAACTTGTTTAAATAAGTTTATTGTACTTTAATGCTTAAGTAAAAAAAAGATGTATGATTTTATATCTTTGTATTACAATAAATATGTATTCAATATATTTTTATTAATTAGTTCATTGATTTATGTTAACATTTATAGAATATTCTACATTATATGAATTCATCTCCTTTTATCATAAAATAAAATTTTAAAAATGCAACATTAATTATCAAGATTTTAAATAATACAAAAAAATAATTTAAAAATAATAAAAAAAATGTTTAAATAAAAAAACAAATCATCTCATAATTTTAATGCACATGTTTATATATATATATATATATATATTATATAAATTTAAGATCTTAAACTAAATTATTAATTAATTTACATATAATGCTTACAAAATGTAAAAATTGAATCTTGAATTATAAGAATTACAATTTTATGAATAATAGTATAACAAATAATGCAAATTACAGAAACAAGATGAGAGCAAATATTGGCACTTTTAACAAAACACTTAAAAAATACAGACACATATATAAATATATGTATAGTGGAATACATATCACAGCTAAAATTAATCTGCTGACATTGAGGATAAACTGCTCCGTGTTGAGCTCCTATGATGATACAAATGGTGATGAACTGGAGGACTTGTATCAATAGATAACATATTGTTAGTAGGACCAAATATTGCTTCTTGCTCCTCCAATTGTATTGCAAATTGTTCTTCTAATTTCTAAAATTATAATTAGCAGTATAATTATTTAAATTCTTTTATGATTTAATATTCCTAGCACTATTTCCTTTTTTTAATACCTATAAAGATTTAAAAAATCTGAGTAAAATTAACTATAGCAAGAAATTTTGATTTTAATTATGAAGTAAAAAAAAAGTTATGTAATATAGTGGTTTCATACAGAATATATAGGTAAATTTAAAATTGTTCAACAATATATAGTGCATCATTAGATTGAACTTGATTATAGCCAGTGATTGCATTGGAGAGCGACAAAATCTTTTTTCAAAAATGAAAGTTATTAAATAGATGCTATACATTTTTTTTGAAACTATGAGTATTTCATTTAATACAATTAAATGTATAATATGATATATTTATACTCTGTAGTGTATAAATAAATAGTAATAAAAAAACAAATTTTTAATAACCATTGTTACAAAATAATTGATAATTATCAATTATTTTGTAACAATTATAATTGAACCTATTTATTCTATAATATAAAAATTCATTTTACAAGTACAAATAACAACCCTAATTTTTATTTATGTTAAAACCAACAAACAAAATTGAAATTAAAGCATAAATAATTAAATAAATTTATGATAAAATTATGAATAATATTCATAATCTTAATTATATTATAACTAATCACAATGTTTTTTTTTATACTAAATTTATTATAATATATTAAATACAGAAATACAATGCATTCCAAAAAATCATAAAGAAATAGTGTTACTTACATTAATAAAATATTGTAGAAGCACTTGGAGAGCAAAAATAAAGGAGAGGATAAGAAAAAAAACATCATTAAAAGTAAATAGAGTTAAAGTTAAGTTAAAGATATATATATATATCAATTAGTTAATTAGTTCTTAATTCTAAAATGAGAGCAAGAGAAAAATAGTAAATGTATACTAAAGAATTACAGTTTTAAGGTTAAGAAGTACATTTTAATATACAGTTACTAAAGATTTTATTCCTTTAAATTGAGCTACATAAGTTTTTCTGTATTTTTTACTATGAGAAATATGTTACAAGAGATATTAAGAATTAATCATACTGATAAAATATTGTTATTGTCATACAGCCACATGCATATATTGTAAAATAATTGTCAACAAAAGCAGAGTTATGTTGGTTAGTTAAATGTTTTATATAAATTATTAATTATTAATTTAAAAAATTATAAATAATGACAAACTAAAGTTTGATTTTATTTTGCATATTATTTGTTTATATAATGGAATATTTTTTAACTGGTAGATTGCTTAATCAATACTTGACTTAGCAAATTTATTTGAGAGAAAACCATTGAATTCATTCAATTCTTGAAATTAGAACACAAATACTATAAGATTTGAAAAATTTGATATGTTGATTTATGATATATGGGGTATATATCATAATGCCTTTGAATATAACCATATTACTTTTTGATTATTGATTTTAAATACTGAATTTAGCTAAATTACTTTTTTAATTTTGATGCTATGATAATAAAGTAGTAACCTCATTCTTTCATCTCATACTATAACCAATAAACTTAAAGAATTTTGAATTAATATTATTATAATCATTTTACAGGAATATCACCCATTTTATAAATACATTATTAAAATGAAGACATACCACAAGCAACATATTAAATATTTTATATTCAATTTATTTTATTTTAATTTCATAATTTTAAGACTTATTATATGTTGAATTAGTAAAAGCAACCAAATTAAATCCATAAAATAATATTAATTAAAATTTCAGGAAGAACTTATTTGAAGAGCCAGACAAAAATTAGACATAATTAGTAAAGAAAGTTACATTTGTCAACACATTAAGTTATTAGTTTCACTGGATAATCAAAGTTCTAGAAAAATTTTAATTGATTATTATTATAAAAAAATGAATATTTTTTTTTAGTGCTAAAATTCAAATCTAAAAACTATTATACTGGATTTATAATTTGCAATAAAACAAAACACAATTAAATGCCCAAATTTTAATAATGACACAAACATTACAATGTGGATTGGTGTGATTTATTAGAATTATTCTTATTGATTCTTCTTTTAGGAAAAAAACCAGAATTTAGAGAGCGAAATGTATTTTTGGATAGTCGAGGACTAAATCCAAGAGATGAAAATATATATTCGCTTCTGAGTAATAAAGAAGTAGAGGACGGAGGTAACAAATAACAATTGGTCCATAGGTTCCCTTTGGAATTCCTTGTCAGCTCCATTTCAAGTTTCTGATAAAAACATACAAGTTCTACAACATAATACTGGGTGGGATGTGACATATTTATAGTATTTTGTAGTTTTGATTTTAGTTTTAATAAGAATTAAAAAATTAACAATTATCTATTATTAATGATTTTCTACTATATCATTAATATATTAATAATTATAAAAGCAAATCATTGTTTAATTACTTAAATAAATAATGAAATATAGATAGCTACTAATTCAGGTAAATCAAAAACTACTTTTACTTAGTTTATTTTTCTTACCTGCTTTCTTGGTTTTAGGTGAGCTTTCCATTCCCTTAACTCACGAGCATAAAGTTCTTCTTGCTCTTTAAGCTTTGTAGTTTCATGCTCCATAAGCATTTTACCTTTAAAAATATAATTATTTATTTTAGAAACATAATTACACCGAAATAAAAGAATATTATAATTATATAATTATAATATAAAATATAAATATTATATTAAATAATTGATTTTTGTGTATAATGTTTTGAGTAATTTATTTTTTCCATGTAATTCTATAAGTAAACTATATATTGAGTTTTTCCCCCTAAAAGTTTCTTTAAATTGTTTAAATATTGAAGAAAAAATATTAATAATAGTTATGCTTGAAAATACACTTAAAAAACATTTATTTGTAATTAATATCATTTATATACGTTTTTCATTTTGTAGTTGTTCAAGTTCTCTGATGGTGGTATCATTTGCAATTCTGAGTTCTTCTAATTGTCGTTGCTGTTTCAATTCAAAAGCAAGTGTTTCTGCGCGATACCTTTTTTTTTCATTTTCTTGAAACTTTTTAAGTCTATTGCGTTCATATTCAGGATCAGAATTCGAAATTGCAGCCATGCTTATCCTAACTGATTCACGGAACATCATTTCACGAGCTTTCATTTCAGAGCGAATACGTTTAGGTAAAGACCTCTTTTCTAATCCCAATTTCTTTTGCATTTCTTCATCTTTGCGTAAATTCATTCTTTTCATTTGTTCTAATTCTTTTTCATGTCTTATCAACATCTAGGATAAACAAAAATAAAATGCTATATTTAAACATGATTATATAATATTCATGAAGCAACAATATAATGTTAATATATCTTGAAGAAAAATAAAATACTTCAATAAAATTAAGAAGAAACTTATGTGTTTACTAATATTGGTTTATTCAATCTAAAATAACCTAGTAATGTTTTTATGAATTTTTATAAGTGTTCTTGTTCTCCAATAAAGTTGAAGAAGTATAAAAAAATGGTGTTGTTGTATATCAAAAACACATTTCAATTCTATATGATTATTGTTTTTAAAACAAAAAATGTACTTTGTACTAATTATAATATAATTTAAAATAAATTAATGCATGATAAATTTATTAGGGTATTAAAACACTTGTTTTTAAATATTAATATTATGGACATAGCTTATATATTGAAATTCAAGTTTACTTGGTGTCTTTGCAAGAAAAATCCATCTTTTAGCTGCCTTTTTGCTAATTGTTGTTTTTCATGTATTTGTCTTTCTTCCATTTCCCAGAGAGCAGCTTCTCTTGCTCTCATCAACTAACAAATAGGTACAAAAATTAAAATTTATAACAGATTATCAATTATTTAAGATAAAAAGAGTTTAAAAATGCATTAGTATGAAATGTTAATTATTTATATTACATATAAAAATATATTTATTATATTGTCCTAACTGATTTTGACATTCTTAATAACTATGGAATCAGAAAATATTTTGTTATTTTATTTTTAAATTTATACTGTTTTGGACTATGTTAATATATAAATTATAATATATTTTTAATAATAAAAAAAATAAAAATATATTTTTTTAGTTTTTAAGTTATTTTTTAGCTTCTTTTTTACAAAAAATTTTGATGGAACCATGATAATTTTAGGATAAGTTCTCATTGAGTTATTATTAAAATAATCAGAGTGCACACACATAAGTATGATCTGTACTCAGTCAATATAATAAAATAGTACTTATCCTAAAGTTGTTATTGACTCATCAAAATTTTTTGTGAGAAAAGAACTAAAAATGACTATTATAAAACAAAATAAATACATAAATATTTGTTCACGTATTAATGATAAATTACAACAAATACGATTTTATACTGTAATTGATTTCTCATGTTAACAGCATAATACCTTTATATTTATGATTTATTGGATTAAAATAGAAAATACTTATTTTGTCTCATGCTTTTATTATAGTTATCATTTTACTACTGTAAAATTCTCATTAAAATATACTTTTATGATAACTTGTTAATTTATTCTCTACATTTAATTATATCAAAATATGTTGTTATTTGAATATTAGAAAAAACATTATATACTGAACAACAATGTTAAAAAATTATAACTAATAAATAATAATAATTGAATTGAATACTGTGAATAAATCAAATATTATTTATTTAAATTTAGCAATAATTAGATATTTGATAATATCACAATACTATTAAAATTTAAACTACAATAATAGGTAATTATTCAAGCATTGATATTCTCATAAAAATATCCATTAGAATATAATTTATTAAATAAAGAAAAAGTGAAAAATATTAGTAAATAAAAATTATAAGAATAGTCAGCTAGATATCTGTTCCACTTAGATACAGGTAATTATTTATCATAAACCAATTACTTGCAAAATAAACATAAAATTAGAAAAATGATTTTTGATTTATTCTTAGTATCATATAATTCTTAATTTATATGCTATTAATTATTTTTATTATCATACCCATATAATGTATAGGGATGTCAACTTTATATTTTTAAATGGTAACATACATATTTAATTAACTTATAAAATTATCTACTTAAGAAAATGTCTTGTCGATAATAACTTTAGGACCAGTACTTTGAATATTATTCTCATTTTTTTACTTAGACGGGACGAAGAGTATGGCCAAAAAATAACTAGTGATAAAAATAAATAACAGCACTTACTCCTCACCTCCAGTTATTACTTTAAATTGTTAATAATTTCTGTAAAACTGGTTCAAAAATGTTATCCATCATTCATTTTCTTAATTAGAACATATTTTATTTTATAAGCTAGTTAAAAATATATGTTGCTATTAATAAAAATAAAGTCATAAAAGTTAGTTATAAAATGTTATTATTCGCATATCAATCAAGAATTATATGTAACTAAAAGGAATAAAAAATTATTTTTCTAATATTGTATTTATTTTGTGAGTAATGGAGTGAAATATGATAAACTAATTACACAGTATATACAAATATAGATATACAGATATTCAAATACAATTGATAGCTTTTGATACAATTACCATATCATTGTTGATATATATATATATATATTTTTAATAGTTATTGCTTTCAAAGACTACATTTAAAGTGTATATTCTTATTATTTGTTACTATTAAGTACAATAAAAAATTCTAAATATCAACTTCATATTTTCAAATAGCAACTCCATATTATTTTTATATATTTTTGTTTGTCATAAAAAAAAAATCATTAGCAAAAAAAAAAATTAAAAATTATGAATTTTAAACAAGATAGATTACTTTAAAACTTACGATATTTGATTAAAAAATTTAGTCATTTTTCCAACATGGTCACATTATTATTTTATGTAGTGATAAGAACTACCGGTATACTGTGTCAACAGACGTAGTCAGAATAATTAAGGTAAACTTGGTATGTTTATTTATAAACAAACTATTTAAAAAATGATAGTGCTTATTGATTTACGATCTGTAATGTTCAAGTCTGTTATAATTTTTTTCTTAATAAACCTAAACTTGAAATAGCCGTAGAGCACTAAATATTAAATTAAATAAAAAAATTTTTTTACAAAACGTTTTTCTTTTTATTAAACTAAATCTAATGGTGTAAAAAAAATTAGGGTTATCATTTGAAAATATGAAGTTGATACAAGTTTTAAGCATAAGGAATAGTGGTAGAAATTAAAATTTTTTTGTGAAACTTCTCATCAAAAATCATTAATGATGAAAAATTTTTTTTTTATACACTTGTATTTTTAAAGATATAACCTGACATAGTTAGCTTATCACTCTATATAGAATATATATTTAAAACAATATGCTTTTAATGTAGTCTAAGTAATAATGAATTAAAACAATTTTTTTAACAAAATGATAATCAAATCAAATTTATAAGTGTTGTCAATTAGGTCAGATACTTCTGTATACACTTGTATAGTTCAAAGAAAAAAGTATAATCCGTAGGCATCTTACTTGTTGTTTTTGTTGTAAATATTGACGTTCCATAAGAGCTATTTTTTCTTGGTGTGCATCACTTAATCTGCTTAAGGAACTTTCATGATTTTCATTCAGTTTTTCAAGGAACAATTTTTCTCTCTCTTCATGTTCAGTCTCTAACTTCTCTTTTTTATCTTTAAATAAATTTTTTCGTCTTTCTTTTGGTTTTAAATCGATTTCTTGTTTTAACAATCGAAGTTCTTGTTTCAATCCTTCTCTAAATTCTTTTAATTCTCGTTCCTAAGAAAATCAATATTTTACAAAAAAGTAATACTAAATATTTAATAATATAACTATTAACTTGTTCTAAACGAATTTTTTTTGAAGTCATTCTAAGATCAGCTTCTTGTTGTGATTCAGCTCTTTCAACAGCTTGGCGTTGTTGTTTTATTATGGCATCCAGGTCAGCTTCATATTGCTTAATTAATGTCATTCTTTCTTGTTCAAATTTTTTATCTTGTTGTTCTTTAGCCATGGCTGCTTTAAATGATAGATCTTGGAATTGTTTTTGTTCTTGTTTTTGTAGCATTTTTAATTCTCTCAGTTCTTGTTTTCTAAAAATCTGATCATTGTAACCATGACTAGAGTCTTCATCACCATAGATAACTTTACTAGTGGTTGTTGTTACAACAACGCCATCTACTTCAAACTTTCTTGTTCTTTTTCTAGTTTTCTTTTTCATATTCCTTATTTCTAATTCCTCTTTACTTATATTTCGACTAGTTCTCTTCATTTCCTAAAATAACATTATATAATTTTAAAAATAATCGAACAAAATATTATGAATAACTATACTCTGCTATATTCTGGTTTTTTACGTAGACTAATTTCATCTTCAAATTCTCGAGAAGGAAGATTATTTTCTTTATTACTACTTCGACTATCATGGCTTATTGTTGTGGAAACACTTTCTGCATCTGATCGATCAAAGGTACGAGTACTAGCAGCAGATGGGGGTGTTTGATGACCACCACTACTATAAGCTGATCCACTATCAGAATGTGAACATGTACTAGACCTTGTTGGTGAAACATGATGTTTTTCACTAATTAATACTTCATCTTTAGCATTTTTAGACTGTAAAATAATACATTAACAATTATTTAATAGAAAAAATAAATAATAATAATAATTTTAATACATTTTTTGAGCTTTTAACTACAATAGTAATTTCTGAGGGTTCAACAGATTTCATAACATTTGTGCAACCATTCATTTTAACATTATTAGAATCAGGCAAAGCCTTTATTGGAACTCTAACAAGCTTATTTATTTCATGATTAGTTTTGGTTTTCCACAAATCAGTTTCTTTGGCAGTAGGTTCCTCGCCAACTGTTATAACAGAAACATGACTAGAATCTAATTCTTCTATGTTTGCTTGAGAAGAGTTTATAACCACAACTTCATCATTTTTCTCAATCTTAAAGGAACAAAAAACAATTAGTATATTTAATAATTTTAAACAAAAAATTCAAACCTGTGATTTTGTGATGTCATCTGCAACTATTATAACTTGAGTATGAAGCACCGGTGAATGGATTTGAAGAGCTGGAGGATGGGTTGTTGTTACAACTGTAACATTAGAATCTATAGCAGTTGAGGACCCCACTTTTACTAAAGTTCCTCCATTCAAATTGTCACATTGATCAACTAAAATATGTTATAAAAAAAATATATATGAAATTTGATGCAATTGCATGTAAAATTTAAAATTATTTAATGAAGATGTACCATTATCGTTACTGTGTAAATCAGTCTCGCTTTTATAAGTTTTTAATTGATCACTTGATTTATTTTCAATAAATAAAGGTAATTTTTCTTGATTTTTTTCAGTAATTTTATTCATTTGTAAAACTTTATCAAGAGAAGGAGGTGAAGGCCTTCTTTGGTTACGATTGGACGTTGAAGAACTTCTTCTAGTTCCAGCAGAGATTTCAATTACAGAATTTGAAATAAGACTATTATCTGCGCTAGAAACAACTAAGACTGGTCTAGAATTTATTGTATCATGTTCAGACAAATCAATATTTTGAATACACATTACATTTTTATCATCGTTAGAAGATTGTTTTAACAATCCTAAATTATTATTAACAGAATCATTCCTTTTCAATACTTCAATACTTTTTAATTTAGAAGATTCATCAACTAGTAATTCAGTATTTTTGTCATTCTCAGAATTGTTTTCTATTTTTAATTCATTATTTACATCTTGAGATGGCTCATTATTTTGTTTATTTGGCTGTGGTAATGGAGGTGGTGGTGCAGGCCCTTTATGTTCAGAATGTTTCTTTATCACCTATATAGTCAATAATAATTATTTTTAAAATCCCTAATGATATTAAAATAAATCTAATTTTACATTTTTCTTAGATGAATTGTCTTTAGGAAGTAAAACCGTTTCTGTTTCATATTTCTCTATGGGTAAAACATCATCTTTTTTTATTTTTTTGCTATCAGATGAGTCATCATCCATTTCTCGTTTCTTAGGTACTTCTGCTTTGTTCTCTATAAATTTATAATAAAAACTATGTTATTATTGTAATAATAGAAAAATATGTTGATATGATAAAAAAATATAGGATAAAATCTTTAAATATATTTTTACAAAACATGGTAGTTAATTCTTTTATAGATGGACATTAAAAATATTGTTAATTTTTTTTTTATGCTAAAAAAAAAAATTATAATATAACTTTACCTTTAATTTCAGGTTCACTTTTAATTGATATATCATCATCTTCTGCCACATCCAAGTCCAGAGGTGGTAACTGAGTAGATTGAGGCGATTCCTATAAATTATTTATCAATAAATAAAAATATTTCTAACTATACTTATGAAAAAAGCAAAATAAAAATGTAATGTTACAAAATATAAATAAACAAAAAAATTTTTTTTTTGTAATGTTAAAAAATAAAAAGTAAATAACAATAAAATGTTTAAAATACGTAGCAATATGAATTGATTTTTATTTTTTATTTAAATAAAACTTTGAGTGGAGGAACCAGAAAAATCACAATTTTTAGTTTTTAATTTCTCCATATTTAGGTCTTGCTGAATATTACCTTACTACTTATGACATACATAACACCAACACCTTGTATATATTTATTTGATACTAATTTTTTAAAATAAAATGAAATTATGATAACAAGAATTGTTACTACTTCAAAAAAATAGTACCTGCCTAAGATATAAGATGATTTCAGTACCTTAGGCAACAACAAAAATAAAACTGGTAATTATTCATACAAGAAAAATAATTCTTGATATAAAATTTCATGCTATGGTTAATACTATAACTATGTCTACATGCACAAATTAGTTATGTACAACACATCAAACAACATAAAAAAGATTCTAGATGAATTATTTAGTTTAAAATTTTAATAAGATAAATTTTGAATGTAAAATTATTATTTAAAAAAAAAAGGTTGGTTTTCAATATGTATATAACAAAAAACTAAGTTCACTTAATACTACCGATAAAAGAAATGAACACTTGGGAATTAAAAACTTACCACCAATCACCCTTTGATATTGATTTCTGTGTTTTCTGAACTTCCTACTTTGTGTAAACTAAGTAAGCATGGAAATAGATGTGATTTTTAAAAATTTTTAATTGTGTTTATAAAAGCATGAAAAATGGAATTGTGAGATCAAAAATATCATGTTTTTAAATAAGAAACTGAAACTCATTTAATTGAGGATTGGACTAACAGATTTACCATAATTGAAACTTTTGTCAATATAAAATTATTAACAAACAAATTTAATATATTTATTTAACTATTTTTTAATTACCTCTGGTTCTTCATCAACAACTTCCTCTTCAACATCAGCTTTGTATTCAAGTAATAAATCTCTAATTGGTTTAGGATCTAAATTTTCATTAACAAATGGGTGCTAAAAATATTTAAATTATGATAAGCAATTAATTAGTTTTTGAATAAATATTTTTGTTACTTTAAGAAGATCTTCAGCCGTAGGTCTTTGAATTGGATCTTTTATTAAAGCTTGAGCTACAAAATCATTAAAATTTTTTGACCATTTTGATGGTTGTTCTAATTTTGGTGGATCAGACTTTTGTATTTTGAGCAATACACGCATAGGAGACATCTCATGGTTAGGTGGTTCCATTTGAGCTAACTCAATAAGTGTTATCCCCAAAGACCAGATATCAACTTTAAAATCATAAGGGTTGTCCCTAAAAGTCTCACATAACACTACTTCTGGAGCCATCCAATAAGGTGTACCAATAAAAGTATCCCGTTTTTGAAGAGTTTGTTTATTTTTTGCAGAAACTCCAAAATCAGCTGAAAATTGAATTATATAATTATAATTAATATACAAATAAAATAATATCTAAACATTGTTATTTATACAACAAAAAATTTGCCTGATCATAGGTATATTGGATTAATGCATAGCCAATTTACCAAGAGTCTAGTGATTATAATTATATTTATTCAAACCTATTTTTACACCAGCATCTGTAGTCAGTAAAACATTTCCTGCCTTAAGATCCCGATGAATAACTTTACATTTATGAAGAAATGCTAATGCTTCACACATGTACTTGCATACATAAGCTATTTGTTCTTCTATTAATGCACGATCCAGCTCCACCATGATTGAATCCAAAGCACCTCCATCACAGTATTCAATTAGCATCTGTTAAAATTAGTATTTGATATTATCACACAGACACATATATACATATTTTATAAATACTTTAGTATAATACATACACGAGGTGTTTAATAAATAAATGAATAAAATTTTGATTAGTAATAGAAAGTTTTACTCATAAAATTTAATATAACTGAGTATTAAGTATTTTAATCATTTTTCTTATATATTGTTCTTCTCATATTGTATTAGTATATATTATTTATATTTACTACAAAAGTTTTTTACTATGCTTATTAGGCCACACATCATATAAATAAATAAAAAGCTTTAAAATATAAATATCTTTATTAAAAGCCTAATTATCAAAACTATCAATAAGAAAATATCATTTAATTTAAAAACAAATAATGTATTTTTGGAAAAAATAATTAAATAAAAATTTATAAAATGTAAAGAAACAATTATTTTTTAAACAAATATGGCATAAATTATATATCTTCAGCTTTTAAATTAGTTAAAATATGATCAATAAGTTACAAAATCATTTTTACCCAAAGTTTAGAATTAACAAAAAATGCTTCATGCAATTGAACAATGTTAGGATGCTTGCATTCAGATAAAATATCTATTTCAATCATGAAATCAGTCAAGTCATCTTCACCTTCAAGTACGCACATTTTAGCAGCAGCTAGTTGCCCAGATTCACGATTTTGAGCCTAAAAAATATTTAATTTTTAAATTAAATATCCAAAATATATCTTAGGATATTAATAACTAATTTAAAGATTTAATTCTGTTTTTAATAAAATATTAAGTAATATGCATCATAATATTTCAGAAACTCTACCAAGAGTCAAGTAGAAAAAAACAAAAGTTTTTAGTGTACAATTTCACATATAATAAATTTTACAAATTTATTTTTTATGTTATTCAAATTTATCTAAAAATCCAATAAAGTAATTATTTATCCAATCAAACTTTCAATTCTGCATTAGTGTTTTTATTACTTTTTGATCTTTCTGGATTATTTTCAGATATAAATATATTAACAGTATAAGATTGTGATATTATTATTGTCTGATTTTAACATATACTCATATTTATCCTTTATAAATTAATAAGTATTAACTTTATTTTTTTAAATAGCAACATACATATTTATAAAAGCTTATAAAATAAAAAATGATCTAATAAAGAAAATGACTATTTGGTTTACAATAGTTATAAATATATGTTGCTATTAAAAAAATAAAATTGACCCCTTTATAAGTTATAAAGGATGAATCCAAAAAGTAAGTAATAACTGATAAATAGAGAAATATACGAGATTAAAGTATGCCAAAAATAATTTTAATTTCAAAGAAATAGAGTGGCTAACATTAAAAGTATTATATTGTATAATAGATTACTTATACAAGAAAATAACGTACAATTTAATATCAAACAAATGTATAAGTATAAGCTATAAATTAAATCTTTTATTTTTTAAAAATGCAATTAATCAAAATTTTTTGCTTTTGGAAATGGGAAAATTTATAATTAAATCTAAGAAAAAGTACCACTAAAAATGGTGAGTTTTGACAAATTAAAAATATTTTAAAATTAAAATAAACTCTACAGAAAAGTATTTAATAAAATGTCTCAAATTTTAGCAAACAATGAATATTTTATGTAAATTTAAGTATAAGTACCTTATAAACTTTTCCAAAAGCTCCATCTCCAAGCTCACCAATCATTTCCCAAAAGTCATCAACATCACACTCCATGTGAATATTGTTAAATACTTTTTTCTTTTTGGTTTCATTATTTCCTAAATGAAGCACTTTTTTAAGGCCACTCAAAAATGACATTTTATTGATATCTTAATATAATTTCAACATCAATCAGGATGATAAACTCGTTTGGATAACATGACTTATCAATTTTTATACTGCTTTTTTCCAAAACACCATAAAAAAAATCATTAATCTGAAAAATATACAATTAAAAAAATTAAGTATAAGTTAAAATATAAGATGTAAAAATTATAATAATAATGGTATTTCTCTTTTTAAAACATTAAAAATGTTGGTATAAATAACATCATATGTTATCATTGAACAGAAAAAACTGAATCTTAAATTTTTTTATTTTTAATTATAAAATTTTTAATTTTAGAAAACAAAATGCTAAAGCTATTATTATTAAAAACAATTTTTTTATTGAAGCTACTTTAATTATAAAATCATAATAATTTTTTTTAATTACTTTATTGGCCTGTAATTCTTCAAATTTTAGTTTTTTTGTCCTTATGTTATACTTATATATTAATTTAAATAAAAACAAAATATTGACTGCTCAATTAAAACTTCTAATGATATGAGAAAAATAATAGAAGTGCATTGTAATATAAGTTGTTAGTCTGATCATAAAGTAGTATTATTTGAAAGTTAAAGTTTGGGACACTAGCAGTTGAGGTCTAGTAAAATATTTAAATTGTTAAACAAGTTATAATACCAGCTACTAAAGATTCGAATAATTAAATTGCACATTAATACTTTGAGATAAACAAAGTAAAATAAACAGCAATATGAATGACTAAATACTAGTCAAATGTGTTCATAAAAATGAATTTCGTATTCTTAAGCACAATTGCGAAATTTTTCTTACCTGATTTTAAAAGTAAAGTAAAATTAACAAAAACACTGCAATGCAGACAAACAATGGTCAATCCATTCAATACTAACACGACATTAAACAAATTAATGAATGGCAAACTCTCTTATCTCTACAGAACATTACGAATATAAGGAAGATGTACTTATACTTATTTATCGCACCTGTTTTTAGAAAATGAAGATAACATTTTCATTTTCAAATAGTATTCTGAAAATAATTAGCTATTGTTAAGTAGTAAAGTAAATATAATCGGTAGTAATATGTAGTCACAAAATATATCTCTAAATTTCAGCACTTGATAAATGAAAAAATATTTAGTACTTCTTACCACGCCTGATGCTAGTGAAAATGACGTCAACAAGGCAATCACGGCATTATGTAGGATGGGCTATAATACTGGACGTCCTTGACCATGTTTTATTGAAAATATATTTGTTTTTATACCCTATTCACTTCTTTCATTCCAGTTATCATTATGAGAGAGTATAGTGCATGGGAACAAATTTGGCTTCAGGGGAATTTTTGAGGTGTAAATGTTGAAGTTATATCCTTTTCACTATCGTCAGTCTACGAGTTTAGCAAATTGACGATTGATGCCTAAAGTTCTATCAGGGTTAACACACATGCACTGTAAAATCATTTTATATCCCATAATTAAAACGGCTATTTAAAATACAATTTTTTACAGGCATCTAAAATAAATATTTCAAATAGTGCAATGCAGGAACAATAATAATAAGGAATTTACAAATTACAAGTCAAGATGTAATCATAATATTTCTTAACCCTCATTAAATACTGTGCAAATACCTATTAATCTTCACCAGCCATTATTGAATCCATCAAAAATTATCCAGTGTGACCAACTAATGATACATGGAATTACGCTTTTACTAAAAATACAGTAATACTGAGTAATTGATAATCATTGTTTATCGTTCCTATCTTCTAGTTAACGTATTTTGAAAAATTAAATAAAACCGTTATTGAGTATTATTGTAGTACAGAAGTATTGAAGACTTATGTTCTTCGCAACAGCGTGTAATAATTCTAAGCTTTATAGGCTTAATTAAAATTTGAAAAACTATTTAATATGTTACCTTTTTTGTTACATGTCAATTTATATAGAATTCACAATAGTGTGTTGTGCTGATACTCAAAAAATTCATAATTATTTTTACGTTTTTAATTAGATGATGTAGAAAATTAAATTATTTAGTCTATAATAAATATCTTAATTTTTATCAATCTGTTTGCTTAAATATGGCGATGGAGTTGTTAGATATGAATGAAGATTGGAAATTGGCCAATAAATTAAGAGTAGAGGATTCTGAACAATTTTACACATTAGTTCGAATGCATTTATCTTTTATCTTAGAATCAAATATTAAAGAGTAAGAATTATTTTAATAAATATTTATCATTACTAACATCTATGTATTTTCAGAGGAGATAATATCGTCGAAGAAAAATCCAAAATAAAACCAATTAAATGGTCCTTTTTAAAAAAAGATAAGTATCCTGTTAAAGGAGTTATGGATGGAGCTCCAATTACTCAAGAAGGAATTTGTCAAGTTTATCAACTAATTGATTTTTTATCCCAAGAAGAAAGTATGCTTTATAATTTAGTTGTCATAATTGAAAAAATTATCTTAAGTAAAATATTTAAATTATAATATAGACATAATTCAAGAAGGAATATTTCGACGTAATGGGTCTATAAACAGACAGCAAGAACTAAAAAGTCTTCTTAATCAAGGTCAAACATTAGATTTATATAATAGCCAATTTACTGTTCATGATTGTGCAACAGTTCTTAAGTCTTTCCTAGCAGAGCAACCTGAGCCACTAATGACTGAAGCATTTTATCCAGCATACTGTCAAATATCAGGTATAAATTAATAAAGTTTCCCAGAGATTTAAGCTTTTTTTTAAATTTAAGTTATTTTTAACAATTTGATAAAAAAATTTATCTTATAGTAATATTTTTCTTTCAGAATTTTGTCAAAAAATGGAAGTTAATAATAATGGACAACGATTATTGAGAGCGTTACAACTTTTGTTATTATTATTACCATTTGATAATTTAGTTTTATTAAAAGATATAATTAAATTACTCCATTTTACAGCAAAACATTCTGATAAAAATCGAATGCCACCTGATAACTTAGCAACATTATTCACAGGGCACTTACTTGTTCCTAGAAAAGTTAGTAATTTTGTTTAAAAAAATTGCATATCAAAAAATATCTTTTGAAAATTTAACTAACTCAAATACAATAGTTTACTTCTGCTGAGGTTTGATAAAAAAATTTTAATTTGTGAATTATTTGTCTTTTAGAAAAATATTAGGTCAAAAATTAAAATAACATTGTTAATGTTAAACTGTTATTCTTATCTTTCAGTTACCAGCTGAAGAAATATATGAAAACACTCGTAATCTTTCACAAATTGTCATTTATATGATAAATTTAGGTTTTGACTTATTTAAAATTCCACCAAACTTGGCTGTAGATATTAGAGCATATTGGTCTAAAAAAACTTTACAGCCTGTTCAAGTAAAAATAAAAATAAAATGTTGAAATAATTTTAATCTAATTAATGTATTTATATTTTAGGAAGAAGGTACTGTTGCCACAACAGTATTTTCATTTACAGACCGAACAACTACTACCAAAGAAAATGAAGAAGATCCAACAGTTAAAGCTTTAGCTGAATTGTATGCTCATGTTCAAAGTTTACCAGAATCAGCAGAAAAGCGTAGAATGTTTATTAAACGTGTCAGTAATCATAGTTCAGTAATAACTCCAAATAGAAGTTTAACCAACTCAATTAAGGTAATATTATCTTAATATTTAGTTAGTAAGTTAATAATTAAGTTTATAAAAGAATGTAAGAATTAAATTTTTATGTCGAGTATTTTATATGTATGTTATTTAATTATGAACCTCAATGATAAGATATATGACAACTGGTTATAACTCATAACACAAAAAAAAAGTTTCTTTTACAAAATATTTATTTGAGACTCTAGGGTCTTAATTAATTTTTTTCACAACTTATCTTAACATCTAATTCATAGAGTTAACAATCAAGATAACTGATGTAACAAACCCTGATTTTTGAGATTGAACCGAACATTTTAAATATTTAAACACATGTAGTGTCAACGGTGTAGGGTTATCACCACTTAACTCTAAGCTAGACTTATATATAAGGGAGAAAGATAGATACAAAGTAAGAATAAGTACTTGGAATGTTGGAAAATTCACTCGTAAAAGTAGAGAATTAGTAGAAGTATTGAAGAGGAGAAAAGTTAATTTTTGTTGTGTACAGGAAACTAAGTGAAAAGGAGTGAAATCACAGAAAATAGGTGATGGTTATAAAATAATATACTCAAGTAAGACCAATACAAAGAATGGTGTAGAGATAATAATGGATGAGTAGATGAAAAGTAAAGTATTGGTAGTTAGGAATAGTGACAGGATTATAGTCGTAAAAATTAATTTTTGAGAAAAAACTGTTGAATGTAGTAAGTGCGTATACACCACAAGAAAGATGTGATGAAATAGACAAGGAAGTATTTTGGAGAGAGATGGATGAGGTGATGCAAGGAGTATCTGGCAATGAGGATGCGGTGATAGGTGGAGATATGAATGGACATGTAGGTAATGAGAGGAGAAGATATGAAAGAGTGGTAGTTTTAGTGGGAAGAATGAGGCTAGAGAAAGAGTCCTGGATTTTGCAGTATTGTATGATCTTGCTGTAGTTAATACTTATTTTAGAAAGTGGAAAAAACTTATAACTTATAAGAGTAGGAGGAATAGATCACAGATTGATTATTTTGTGGAAGAAAAAGAGCGTAAAGTGAGTTAAAGATTGTAAAGTTATACCAGGCGAGAGTGTAACAATACAACATAGACCGATGGTAATGAAGTTGTGGTGTACCGTAAAAAGAATATACAAAAATACAAGGAACACGGAAAAATCAAAGATCCGGTAGTGGAAATTGAAAGGGAAAAATGAAAGAGTTGGTAAAGACGTTAAAAGAGAGGACAGTATGGAATATCGAGGGAGACATAAATGATGTGTGGAATAGGTTTGCTAGTTGTGTAAAGAATACTGCAAATGAGATTGTTGGTGTAAGTAAGAGTAGAGAATGCCAGGAAACAAGGAAACCTGGTGGTAGGATGAGGACGTTCAAAAAAACATAGAAAGTAAGAAAAAGCAATTCAAAGTATGGCAGAAGAGCAAAAGGAGAGAATACTGGATGGAGTATAAATGCTTGTGCAAAGAAGCTAAGTGTGCAGTGAGTAAGGAGAAGTTTAAGAGGTATGATGAGTTGTATGATAGGCTAGGAACAAAAGAAGGCGAGAATGAAATCTATAGACTTGCAATGATAAGAGAGAAAAGGTCTAAAGATTATCATTATATAAGGTGTTGATAATAAGGTACTCTCGAGTGATGATGATGTAAAAAAAAGGTGGCAAGAGTATTTTGAAAAATTATTGAATGAGGAGTACCCAAAAGAGACATTAGAGGATATCTCGTGGAATGAGGAGAGAAGAATTGGAAGCTGTAAGAACAGTAACTGTTATAGAAATGAATGTTGAAGGAAGAAGAGGTAGAGTAAGACCAAAACAGAGATGGAGGGATGCTACTGAATGCGATATGAGGACAGCTGAAGTAGGAGATCGTGTCAAGTGGAAGTTTAGGATAAGGGTGGCTGACCCCAAGTAATTGGGATTCAGGCAAGGAAGAAGAAGAACAACAAGAAAAAGATTCAATAATTTTAGTATATTTGATTAAATTAGTTTCATTTTTGAACAAATTTACAAGGAAAAGTTAGGTTTAATTTTTTATTTTAATTTTGTTTTTCAAACTGAATATTCCCAAATTTGTTTATACATCACGAAGGATTAGAAATAAAATACATGGTTGAACAATTTTAAGTATGATTAAAAGATTGACAGTAACACCGCAAGACTTCTTTCTACTTATCAGATTTTTTTTCTATTAAGATGATATGACATTCACTATTTTTTGGATATTTTCTCGTTTTTAATTGAACATCTGTGATACTATTTGCACAATGTCTATTATTTATGAATTTTCATTCGATATCACAAATATTGTCGCTTGTTAAAACTTACATTTTACTATTATCTAAGATTATTATTATTTGCTCATGATTCTCAGCTTATTCTTTTATATTATTGTTCATTTATTATTTAATAATTTTTGTCATTAATCTTTTAATCATGACCTTGAACCAATATTTTTTTTTGTTTTATTGGTGTTATATGTGTTTATAAATACAGGTTTTAATAAGTTCTAGATTTTTAGGATTCATAATTTGAAGTTTTATTAGTTGATTTTTTGGAGTGCATTTAAAACTAAACTAAATTTAATTATTTTATTCTAAGTAAATAATTTTTTTATTTAATGATAAAAATAAATACAAATTTTAATAAATGTATTATTTATACATATATAATGTATTTTCTGTAAAATGATTCATAATAATGATATATATATATATAATACTGAATTTTTTTTTGTTTTAGTAAACCCAAATAATAAATTAACTTCTACAATTTTACCGATTTATTGTTTATAATAACCAATAAGTATTTCTTAATTTAAAATTTTATACTTAATGTTTCAGAAACACATATTTAAAAAAGGATCTAAAATAAAACATGGACCTATAAAATCAAATGAAAGAGGAGATGTAAAAGTAATTTCAACATATTTATTTTATATTTATATTGCTTTATATTAATTTAAGTTAGTAATTAACAAATGTGTAAATGATTTTATATCTCATAATTGAGTACACTTATTTATGGACCAACAATCTATTTTCTTCCTGGATTTTTTACCTTTACAATTAGTAAATGTTATTGAAAATTGGGAAGCATAGGTATTTTGTTCTTAGATATTCTTTTTTCAAAAGAAAAAACCATACTTATTTGGACAATTGAAAATTGATTACATACTAAAGGGTGTTCTATAAAATACATATTTTATGAAAAACTAATAGTGATAATAAACATATAAAGCATATGTCTTTCTTCCTTATACAAGGCAATGTTTGTTTAATGTGCTCAACATAATATCTCACTGGACTTTGGAAAATACATTTGTAATTTCAATTCTTCAATAAAATTTAGTTTTGTTATACACTTATGGTTTACACACAACCTCCCACATAAAAAATCCAAAACAAAATACAGGGCAATATCTTAACTATGCCTTACGAAATATATTTAATATTATTAGAGCCAATTACTATTTTATTTTTTTTAACAATAATGAACCTTCGTTCAGCTGCTTTACTTGAAAAATTAAATTTCTGCTACCATCTCTAAACTTGTATCAACTTTTTATTTTCATATCCCAACTTTTTTTACAACTATTTCAAGTTAATCAAGGAGGAAATCACGTTATATATTAATAAACACTACTAGTTCATAGAAATATAATAACCTGTATATATTATCATAATTTTATAAACTGTAAGTAATCAATTTTCAACCTAATAAAGATGTCTTCAAAATAAATAAACTATTTTTTCTGATCACCTTTTAATTTTAAACAGCTATAATTCATTGAATATCAAATAATATAACAAAATTATATGTACAAACATTTTTTTTGGAGTAAAATAAATTTAATGATATAAAATATTTGCGGTTGCTTGAAAATCAAAAACTAGTAAGAGTTTTGAATGTAAAGGATGATAGCTAAAAATTTATTTTTTATGTAAAGCAGCTCAACAAATAACCATTATTGTTAAAAAAAATAAAATAAAATAGTAATTAGCTCTAATATTTTCAAAGATATTCTATGATGCGTAGTTAAGGAATCACTCTGTCTTTAAATTAAAAGTCATCAATTTTTCTTAAAAAAAGAAAACTTATATTGCTAGAGTTTATTTCAATCTACTTAAGTTAGAAATTAAAAAAAAAAAATTCTTCAAATAACTACTGTAGAAAAATTAATTTTTAATACACATTAAAGTTCCATAGAATGAAATGAAATTCCTCTTCAATACAGCAATAAATGTTGATAAATGTAGATGTCTTTTTTAATGTTCATGTCTTATATGATTTTTAAACTAGTAATTTTATTATTATCATTGTTTCTTTTTTCTTATTCATTGTATCATTAAGTATGTAATTTTTTACAATGCCGAAAATCAACATGTCAGCTAAAAAATCAGGATCATCATCCAGTATTTCCTGAAATGAGCCTACCTTTAGTAATATATTACACACATTAAATTGTTGTAGTCTTCTCAAGATGCGAAACTTTTAGCAATTGATAAAAAACTTAGCTCTTATGATAATAACATCCAGTATTCAAAACGCTATAAGTAATGTAACGTTAACTCTAATTAGTCTAAAAGCTGAAAATATACGCCAATTTTCTGAAGTTCATTCTTTATGTAGTAAAATTGATCTATTAGATACCTTTACTAAGACATATTATAAACCTAGTGATATAGTTAAAGAGACTCAAGATATTATCCAGAGAGCAAATAATATAATTGTTTATAATATACCTGATGGAATAGATGACACTGAACAAACTACTAATCAATTAATTGCAATTATGGGTATTCAAGCAACAATAGTTGGTGCTAAATGCCTAGGTAAAATACAAATGTTAAAAACCATCTGACCCTAACTTTCTATGCTAAATAACATCAATTATTATGTAACATTGATATTAAAATCTAAGTCAAAACTTCATTTACTGGATAACTGGATAAATATTGTAATAAACCATTATTTAAAGTAGATTATTTCATACTAACTAAAACTTGGCTAAATAAGTATTTGAACACCTATATTGGACCTAAAACAGAACAGTTTGGAAAATATTTCTCCTCAAAAATTATAATGTGCCTAGAACCCAAATTATTAAAAATTCTGAAAATGTATACCATTATTTCCCTATCATCTTGTTCTATCATGATGGCCAAAGTTTTTGATGCATTGTCAGATTTAAATCTTGATACTAGTTATAGACCTGGTAATGTATCTGAGATAGTTTGTTATGCATGTCGTATTCACTAACTTGTCCTATTTAACTTATCATTATTTTCTGGTATATTGCTAACCGTATGGTTGATATTTGTTGAAATCCTGGTCTATTTAATAATACTGTTGTACTGAAATATTGAATACTATTCCATTAAATATTCCTACTGTCATCTTGTGTAATATTTGTATACTATATATATATATATTTGTTCACTATTTTATGAGCATAATTAAAGTAATTTTTTACTGGTAGGCCGTATACATATATATGTTTTGGTTATTCATTTAAATATTTTCTATTATTATTATTACTATATTATATATTAGTGTCAAAGTGCTATTTTTGTTGTATTATATATATATTATACCTGTATATAATATATTATGTTTACCTGTACTCTATTGCCTTCTAAGCATTAACCTTAAATAAATTAAATTACATTTATGGAGTAACTCCATTGAGTTTGACAGTATAAAAGCTTTTCTACAGTAATTATTTCGAATATAAAAAAAAAAATTTACTTATGTAGATTATTCACCAGATTACTACCAGACTTTTAGTCTCCAGATTTAAATAAGGTTTTTTTTTTTTCAAATTTTACTTTTATACTATTCTTAGTAGAGTATTAATTTAAAAATTATCTCAATACATTAAAATGTGCACTACTTAAATATATGAGTTATATAAATTCATTTAAGCTATTATTAATTTTTATTGATGCATGAAATGACTAACATTCTTTGCATGTTATTGTTTATCATGGAATAATCTTAGCTTTCTGAAGAAAAGTTCAAATCATCTTCAGCCACTTTGTCAGATAAAGAAAATAAGGATGATTCATTTAAAATAAAAAGAAAGGATACTTCAAAGGATTTACAAAATAAAGATACTAAAAAATCAAAGGCAGAAGTTCAGTGTTCTCCTGATCTAGAATCATGTAACCCAGTAGATTGTTTTTCTACGCCTAACATGGTGAAGCGAATTAAAAGATGTACAAGTACTCCTTCTGCTGTAACTCCTCATCAAAGTCATCCTAATGATGATATGTCCCCAATAACTCAGTCTGCCCAAAAAATGACCAAATCTATGCAGGTAGATATTATGTTTTAATTTTTTTTCTTGCTTACATTGCTTTTATCATCAACTAAAAAGTAACTACTAACAAATAACTAATAACAAAACAATCCAATTTAAAATTAATAGTAGATGAAAACTTTGAGTTTGTTTCTATCAAAATTAAAAAATATATATTATATCTCTTGCATTCTTGGTTTTTCAAACATACAATTAAAAAATATCAAAATTAGTTAAAATAAGCTATTGCAACATTACATATTTATTTAGTCTTTGGAATGTGTAGTAAAAAATTTAACTTATTTACATTGATTTTTCTTTTAATTTAATTCACTCATATTTATGTTCAGTAAAAACTCAAATAAACCAGCCTTAAAAACTGTTTAAATAAATTAAAAATATAAATGACATTTACATTCTGTTTGCAAAAAATAAAGACGTTTGTGAGACATTCACTAAATATAATAGTGTAGTCATATTATGTCATTCATAAGTTGATAAACATTGAATGATGTACTTTTCAAACACTGTATCTGTAACTAATCTATCATTATCAGTATATAATGAAATATTAGTTAATATAACTAGTATAATGCACTTTGTAAATTGCATTTATTTATTTACCATGAAAGTACCCAAAATTAATTTTTTCTAATAAGTCATAGTGTTTATAAAATAATTTTTCAAGATGTTTCTAATGCTAAAACAAAATATTTTATTTTGCAGGAAACTATGATGACTCCTAGAAGTCGAAAACCAGTAATTGCATTATCTAATTCGAATATACATAAAATAAAGTCCTGTAACAATGATCTAAGTATTACTAACCAACCAAGTAGTCAAAGCTTGAACTCTATATCATCTAACCCATATTATTTAATGACTTCTGGAGATTCTTTATCCAGTTCTTTCAGAGATTATTTATTCAGCCAAAGTGTATTAACTGCTAGTCCAGTTGATCTTAGTTTTGGTGATACCAGCTCATCTTCAACTCAATCGTTACTTTCAGATATAGAAGATAATCTATTGCAATACCAGAAATCCAATACATCTACTGAAAATTTAACTAAAAGAAAGAGACTGGTTAATGAGAATGTCAATGAAACATTGTTATGAATATTTATGGACCTTTTGTTGATACTTGTATATATTTCTTCATTCATGTGTCTTCCATTTATAGATTATACAATTCTAGAAACCAAATATTTAGAATAAAAAAATTGTGAAGATAAATTATGATATACAATGTTAACATCTTATAATTATGGTGCTGAATATTGTTTAATGCTAAAAAAATTAAATGTGGCCAATCAATAAAAAAAAAAAAAATGTAAATCTAACTATAAATTTTCAACAATCTTCATTAGGTATATTTGTTTTAGTTGAAAACGTGATTAATATGATTGTAACTACACTATGTTAATAACATTGTATTTTATGTCCACATTGTAATGTTAAGTATTATAGGTATTGTTTATAAATTATTATAAGCTAATAATAATTGAAATTTCTTTTTTAAATTGACTTTTTTATCCGATGTAAATATCTCCACTTAAATCTTACTCCTGTTTCTAAAATTCCCAAAGGAATTAATATAACTTACTGTCAGAGATAAAAGTTTCCATTTTCAAATGACAAATACCATAAACAGAAATTGAAGGGGGCGTTAAAAAAAGTATGGTTTAGTCATTTAATAATCACCCGCCATGATGAACGTCGTTCAAATATGCTTATTTTACGCTACAATCCTAGCATATTTTGGTGAGTAATTTATTGTACATGTTTTAGTGAATTAATAAAAAAATTCGTTTTAGATAAAGTACATAGTGGAAATTGTACTGATTATGTTACTAAATCTGAGGCTTCACGACTTACAAATGATTTATTTTGCTCATATAATAGAAACGTTCGACCTGTATTAAATCAAAAGACCCAAACTATAGTTAACACTACTATGTATTTTTTTAGCGTTCATATGGTAATTTTTAACTAACATAATGATAATTGGTACCTAAATATAATTAAATCGGTATATATATTTTTCTTAGGACGAAGAATGGAATGTATTAAAAATGAGTATCCATCTAATATTGGTACATTTAATTAAAAATAATTCTTTCATAATTTCAAACTATTCAATTGATTATAAATTTACAGACTTGGAAAGACGAGTTTTTAACATGGGATCCATTAAAATATGATAATGTAGAATATTTACACCAATCTTCTTCCTCGGTTTGGTTACCAAATATTATGTCTTATGATAGGTAAGCTAATTATTTAAAATCTCGCATATTTATAATAATTATTATAACTATTAGTTATAAACTATTTGTATAATTATAAATAAAGGCTTATAGCGATTTGCTTAATATGCTTTGACATTTAATTTTTATTTTATACACATCAACTTACTAAGTAATTAAGTTTCTAAATAACTTATAGTCGGCTATTAGACATTTTTTTTTTTAACATTCTGGCATTATCATAGTGTGCCGCCCTGGAACTGATATTACTTCAGGACGACTCACGTCGTCTATGTAACTCGCACCGCCGTTTTGTGATTCAGCCAGAAATTAATCAAGACCTGAATAATAATTAATTTCAATGATCCGAGAGCACAGCAACGTACCAGGCAAAGTTCTAACAATGCTAATGTATCTAATTTCCATATCTCTGTGTCTTCTTAATATGGGCATTTGAAACATATATTAGGCTCTAGTAGCTTAAAACACTATCAAATTTAGCCCTTAATATAAAGCCATTAAGGGTTAAATTTCAAAATGGGAAATTTTGAAAACATTAAAAACGTTTTAGAAGTCAAATTTTTAAAAAAAAAGTTTTAATCCTCTGGGTTATCACTTTTGCTACTAGCAAAGCGGGCAATCACCCTTTCTAATACTTTAGTGGTTTATGAAAATTATGTATTTTTCTAGCTTAAACTACCATAAAGGAATGGTGTCCTAAAAAAAAAAACCTAACTGTGAAAAAGGACCAAGTTCCAACCTTTTCTTCAGAAAAAAAATCCGCTTATTAAAGTAATGATAAATGATATCTAAATTGTAGCCAAATTTGCTCATTCTTTAGTTCGTAAACTTCAATCCTATTTTCATGAGCAATTTTGTTTCATTATTTGTATTGTTTAACACTTGGCCAATTTCTGGCAAAGTACTGGCTTAGTACTCATTTAGGAATTACGTGGGTGATGAAAAGGAGAGAACTTGGAAGTTTCAGATAATTGATGGGCCAAATCTGTAGTTATGGTATAGTCAAATTCTTTTTTATGATATACAAAAAGCTGAATATTTTTTGAAGTGATATTCTGTATTCTGCATCGAATATTTGATATAAAATATTTAGTGCTATTTATTTATTTATAGAAATAACGCCCTTGAGGACTTGAATACAGACAAACTTATTACAATAATGAATTTTCAAAAGAGCAATACATAGTACAATAGATACTAGTAGATATAATAATTTTAATATAAACACAATAAAAAAAATTTAGTTTCATTTAACGTATAATTGATAAATTGACAATGGTTTATGTGTTACTTTGTTGCAATTAAATAATATTCGATCGATTGGGTTATTACATCTATACGTATGACGATGGAACGGTATAAAAAAGGTCCGATTTTCTCTTGGATTGAAAACTGATAATCAATATTCTGTTCAGAGTATTTAACAATTACTATTACAGTTATTTTTTAGGTTTTTTTATGTTAAAGTATAATAATTATTAAATTAACTAGACTAGATTTGAATAAATATCCCTTTTATTTATTTGAAGGCAATACTTAAATCAATTGGAAATACGTCGTGTCTCGATGCATGAATACCGGGTTTGATTCTGTCATTCTGTACTATATAGGTTTTCTCGTCCTCTTTAAAACAAACATAACTTTTCAAAGACGTTAAAGATAGGTAGAATAATAATAATATACTAGTACATATTTGTAGTGTTTTGGTGTTTATATTTATTACAAAATACTACAATTAAAATTTATAATAATTAATAATTTTTAATAATGAAAAATGATTTTATACAACATAAAAAAAAAGTACAAATAAAAAGTGTCACTGGATTGACGAACAGCGCGAGAATAAAAAAAATACACGGAGTGTTATCGTACTGCAGTACATCTAAGATAAAACATATAAACATATATAAAAGCATTCATTGTGACATGTTATTTAACATCTTTGTTAATCCCTACATATTAATTCAAATATAAAAGAAAACTATTTAGAAGCTATAAGTTTTCCAAAAAAAAAATAACTCTAATTTAATTTAAATTTTATTACTTTTAAAACTATTTGATCAAATTTTATTTGACTGAATAGTTATTAGTGTCGACAAATACCAAATATAAATTACTTTCGAGATATTAGCCGAATTATCGAATAGTTTTCAAATATTCGGTCCATTCTTAGTTCAGATTTCTTAATAAAATTCAATGGAAAATGTGCCAAGATCTGATTTATTATTTATGCTTCGTTCAAAAACTGACTAAGTGTTAAGTAATACGAATAAAGAAGCAATGTTGGTCATAAAAATAGGATTAAAGTTTATGAACTAATGAATAAGCTACTTTGGCCACAATGAAGATATTACCACTTAGATAGGCGGACTTTTTGGGAAGGAAAAGTTGGAACTTGGTCCTTTTATACGTATACGTTTTTGTTAAAGATCATCATTAAAATTAAACATGAACAAAATAATTACTAATTTTTCTAGCGGATTTGATGGAGCCAACAAAGATTTTGTATATGACCTTCCTATTAGCACTGTAAAAATTACCAACAAAGGTATAATTAAGTATAACCACCGTGTAAATTTTGATGCTTTCTGTTCAACAAACATAGCCAACTGGCCTTTTGATGAACACAACTGCACTGTAATAATGGGTTCACCTCTTTATACAAATTTATACGTAAACTTTACTTTTCCAGATGGGTACTATGTAAGTAGTATATTAATAATATTAATTAACATAACGATCGATCAAAAAATCTTTTAAGTTATTCCTTATAACATTTTATAATAGTATTTTGTATACAAATTTCAGCATTAATATACTGATATCAACTCAATATTTCAATTTTTACCTATATTATTATTTTAGTCTGTTGAGAACGTTTAGATATTTTCAAACGCGGATACAAAGAACGATATAAAAACATTGACTCCCCCAAAAATCAGAATTATTTTCTAAATCAAAATAATTCTCTTTTTAAAATCATTATCATATCAACAAAAATAGTGAAATGCCTTTCTCTAAAAAATTTTTTCCCGAATCCGCCACCTAGATAAGTTGATATTAGTAAATACTAAAAAAAAATTTCAACGCCCGGAATACATGCCTCTTTCGACACCTTCAAAAATGTCTCTTTAATGAAATAAATTACATTTTTTCATATAACAGTCGACCGATCTATACTTATAAATCTTAGGCAAGAGAAAAAATAAAAATAAAAATGTACGAAATTTGAAATATATTTATTTTTTAGAGTTTAGATTTTTATAATCCTGACAGAGAGTGGAAAGTCAAAAATATACATCATGAGTGTTATACGTTACAGTACTTCAACTCAAATAATTCATATGATCATTGTCTTTTACAATATACTATTATTGTAGAACGTTTTTCATCGATGTATTTTTCATCAGTAATTATTCCTGCTATTGGTATGTATAGAACTACTTAATATTGCAACAAATTATACCTAAATTATATTCTGAAATGTTAATACTATTTTTAGCATATTGTTTTTTAAAGAACATTAAACCTTAAATTTAGACCTGATTATTCAATGGTAGTTTTATTCAAATTATCTCTTATTCATTTTCTAAATTTGTTAAAGAAATTAATATTTAATAAACATTTTAATATAAAGGACTGTCAGAGTACGGAATAGTGTAGAATGAAATCTGATAATATTTTTAGTTTTAAAACGTTCCGACGTAAATACATTTGTAGATAAATTTGTTTGGTTTGGGAGAAGAAAGGTTATTTTAAATTAGGTTATAATCTGAGTCAGGAAAATAAAACACAATTATTAAATAAACAAATTAACATAAAATAAGTAATCCAGCACAGGGGAGTCGCGGCACAGTGATGATGTGGCATAGTTGGATCAAGTATAATGATATATGAGAGTGATTAAAATCACTATCAATAAAACGCTTCGATGCAAATCTTTAGATAGTGTTTAATTTTAAAAAATTGTTGGATTATTCCAAAAGCTACATGATTTGCTATTTCCTTATTAATCTGATTAAGATAAAGTATATCGAATGAAAGAGGGAAATAAATATTATTTCTCATAAAAAATTTTTATTGATCCATACACTTTTCAATAAGTTATAGCATTATTAAGTTAATAATGTAAAATATAAAATCGAAAATTTTCACACAAAAATAGCATACGTTAACCATTTTCACCGTGAAGACAAAATAAAGTCCGAAATTTTTTTTTCCATAATAAAGTACATTACATTTAATTTAAGATATATATAAAAGTGTCAGACTTTCCGGAACACTTTCAAAAGTAAGTGTAAAAGTAAATTTTTTGTGAAAAAGTTGTCATTTTGATCCCCTCTGTAGTCAGGTAAAGGGTCAGATTAATAAAAAAAATATACCAAATGATAGATAAAGACATCAAACATCTATAAAAAAAAAATTATATTGATTTGGTCATTTTTGAAAAAGTTATGACAGTTTTTAGAAAAAAAAAATTGAAAAAATTAGCAATTTTTAAATTTGTATTTTTTTTGGAGGTTTCCCTCATTTACGGGGGAAAATTTTTCTATTTTTGAGGTTTCGTTAAGAGCTGAGAAAAAGTGGTAACAGAAACGAAAAATAAAAATAAAAAAACACATCATAGTAATACCAACACCTTCTCAGCTTCGCATCGAATCTATAATTGATTTTATTGTTACGTTTAATTTGAAAAAAAAAAATGTTTAGTTCAAATTAAATAAGCCCCACAGAGTGAGAATCTAGGGTAAAGTGTTGCAGATTTTGTGTATTTTGNCACCTTCTCAGCTTCGCATCGAATCTATAATTGATTTTATTGTTACGTTTAATTTGAAAAAAAAAATGTTTAGTTCAAATTAAATAAGCCCCACAGAGTGAGAATCTAGGGTAAAGTGTTGCAGATTTTGTGTATTTTGAAATTACTGAAAGAACTGATCTTAGCAGAATAAAATTGGTCTTTATAGTCAGAAGATAGTGAGTATTCCCTAGCATGATCTTGTAAATTGGAGATTTAAATTAATTGTTTAATACGATTGACTTCATTGAAAATATACATAAAGACGTTACTTTAATTTTGTTCGATAATCAGATTTTACCATTTTATCATTTTTTTGTAACCATAATCCATCAACCATTTTCATTCGTGAATAATATATTTCAAAATTTTGGATAAAGGCTATACTGCGATTTTTATATTTTATGATAACATAAACGAAAGTTTACCACGTAAAATCTATAGATAATTATAATTCGGTGTCAATTTGATTATTTTGGTAAAAATTGTAAATTATAAAATCAAAATTAACTCTTAGAGACAAATTTAGAAGTCAAATATTTATATTAATCATGGATTCCCTTTTTTTTCGACTTCAAAAGTTAAATATAACAGAAGTTTTTACTGTTGTCTTACAAACCAAATAAAAAAAATATACCTAAAATTGCTTAAGGATGTGTAAATTGATAAATGATGATAACATTCAAAATATATACCTTTATATCATCATAGCACTTAAAATGTTCTTGTGTTGTACAGTTTCTAATTTTTCATCAGAAAGATCTATTAGTGCTCTAAAGAGAGTAAAAATATATCTAAGGTCTAACACGATCGGCTCAATAACTTAATGATATAGTCTGATATAACTCAAATACAATATGATGAAATTCTTTTGTATCGATTATATTGAGAAGAGATATAGGCGTAAATTTTAACGTTATGTGTATCAATTGTCAATATTTTTTTAGTTTCCATGCAAAGATAAAAAAATATTAATTTTACCATGTGTTTTTTTTTTTTTTTTTTTTTTTTTACCACTTTTTCTCAGCTTTCACCGAACCTATTTCTTTCAATGTTACGTCAAAAGATCACAAATCAAAAATTGAAAAAATTTTCCTCGTTTCTTGTAAACGGGAAAAATCTTAAAATAAAATTACAATTTTAAAAATTGCTAATTTTCGACATTTTTTCAATTATTTTACTTAAAACTACCACAACTTTTTTAAAAATAGCCAAATCAATATAATTTTTTTTTTATAGATACATTAAATATTTACATATCATTTTGTATATGTTTTTTTATAAATTTGTCCTTTGACCTGCTCACAAGGGGGATTCAAAATGACAATAATTTCACAAAAAATTAACTTTTGAAAGTGTTCCGGAAATACTGACACTTTTATATATACCTTAAATTAAAGCTTATGTAACATACATTATTATGGAAAAAAAAATGTCGGACATTATTTTGTCGTCTACACGGTGAAAATGGCTAACGTATGCTATTTTTGTATTAAAGTTCTCTATTTTATATTTTACATTTTTAACTTTATAATGCTATAACTTTTTGAAAAATGTATTGATCAATACAATTTTTTATGAGGAATAATATTTATATACCTCTTTCGTTCAATGTACTTTTTTTTAAATCGGACCATTTCCCTTGATACAGGGGGTTCAAAACTTAATAATGCATATAGAAAAAAAAACTTTTTCAACATAATTTTTTAATGTGTTCCAGAAATACTGACACTTTTATATATATATCTTAAATTAAAGCTTATGTAATATACTTTAATATGAAAAAAAAAACAATTTCTGACTTTATTTTTTTTTTTCATGGTGTAACGGACATCAAAGTTAATAAAATAAATAATATTAAATAATTAAATATCCATCTCATACTATATTTAATTGCTATACTTAATATTTATTCATATATTACACTTGTAATTAGGATATAAATAAGGAAATAGAAGATCGTGTTGCTTTTATAATAATTCATCAATTTTTTAAAATTGTACACTATTTACACTATTTCAATCACTGTTAGATATCATCTATACTGGACCCAACTATGCTATGTTTTCACTGTTCTGGGTTTTTTTTTTTTTTTTTAATAAGTATTCACATTTTTAGGTGGCGTCAATAGAACTTTACCTGGGGTGTAAAAACTCTAAATACATCTTTGTTTACGTGAATAGTATTTCTATATAATTTAGGTATTCCTAACACATTGAATATTTTGATGACCTAGTTTTTCATGCTACTGTTGTAGTGTGAACATATTTTTTAACAATATTCACTTGTTCCATCTTTTGCAATTTCTATGTTTTCATTGTCATCGAAAAAAATATTATTCTCACAAACGATTTCCTCTTTTAGATGTCTTTAAGATTATGTATTTACAATAATTTTTGTCTGCCATCGTTCTTATACCTTTATCAAACCAGACTTTACAGGAAACGCAAATTTACTATGAAATGTGATATCAATAATAATACTACGCCATCACTAATGCGAACTGGTTATTAAGTCCCAAATGACTCATAACTTATGATCCACTCACTTCTACTGATCATGTGATAACTTACACTGGAGTCAACATACCATTTCTCTAGATAAAAAATTTTACTTACCACTTTATTTACACCTAGTAGAAACGCATTTCTAGGATTTTATTAATTTATATATATATATATATATTTTTTTTTGTTAAGCCTTTAAAACCCAGCAATTATGTTTCTAACAACTTAGCTGCTTACAAAAATAGCATTTTCCTGGAGTCTTCTATCATTTTTCTTAATGATTTCCAAATTAATTACAAAATTTTGAATCTTTTTGCGTTCCGAACGATTTTTTGTCGCAAATGCACTATTTTCCATAAGTGTTGTTCTAGATTTTATGGCTATTACTTTGTCTCGTTTCCTCTACTTTAAGTTAAATTTAATCATTTTTGTTCTCAGGTAGTATAGAATCGCATGCGCTATAAAAATTCTTAAAATTTTTCTGACAATTTAATAATTTTGATTATAAGCATGACATCAGTTATCTGTTCACCGAACTGTTTATTTGTTTACTTAAATTTTCCAATTTGGATATATGTTGTGCCATATTGTAATTTGTCAAAAATTCAGAAAATTATGCATGTGATATATTATAGAAGGATATTATCAACAGTCGCCAATTTTTTTACACATATAAACTCCACATATAGTGGAAAAGGATTATATATAAGAAAATGTTTACAACACCATCTAATTGAAATAAAAATGTATTTTTGATATATTATTTTTTTCACCTTGGGAGATAGTTATCTTCTTGCATTAATTATATCAAGATAATATGAGGGTAACTGTGAAAGAAGTTACTTCGATAATCAGTAATTCATGTTTAATATTATTTTTATAACATTTATTATTTACACATTTTTAATAATAACTTAAAATATTATTCATAAATAGACTTAATAGTTATGGCTTAGTTAGGTCTGGTACAATCAGTCAACAATATATTTAAAAAATACGAATAAGTATTATTGAATAATAATAATCGTTAACAACGATACATCTTTTATTATTTTTTTTAATATGGAATTTACGTTGACTGTAATTGATGGATAATTAATTATAAATATCTAGTAATGATAAAAAATAAAGTCTGTGAATGTGTTTACCATAGTTGACGGATTAGATGGTGATAAGAGTGTTATACTCCCCCAGAAATTTAGCAAAATTATATGCATTGTTATATAAAAATTATTTTTTGGTGGTGGTATATATAATTAAGCCCCCCAAAAAATTAACCATCATACGCCAATGGTCGATATTATTGGGAGTATAAAAAAACGTAGTAGAAATAATGAAGCCATGGTTTTATGCTACTAATATAACTAAAAATATCACTATTGATGCACAAAATCTACCAACTATAAAACAAGACATGTGGTAACATTGTTTCCGAAATACGTATCCGCGACTTTTCATTAATTTTTTTGTGGCTTTTGAGTTTAATATTTTTAATATTTTTTAGTTTTTTTAAATTAATAATATTTTTAATATAGTTTTAATTTTACTTAATTAACTAGCCACAAGTGATCAATTTTTATTATATAAAACAAGAGACATGTATTTATTATGAACGTAATGTTTATACGTGTATAAGCATTTAATATACAGAATGTTCAGTAAGTCAGGAAACGGGTTTCCATTGTTCTCATTGTTTGTAACAATGAGAACAATAGAATGTATGTATGTAGTACTTGGATAAAAACTTGTTAATTAAAATTTAAATAATAAAAGTAGATTTATTATTAACACATTGACAACCACTAACTTATTAACCCTTAAGCAGGCACGTATCTATTTTTAACGTTCATAGTCGCGTGGGGGTCTATTAGACCCCATTTCTAAAAAAGTATAAAATATGTATAAAAAAGTTCATTTTTTTTAATTCAAAGACATTATTTGTTAGCATATGATATATAAATATGGATAACAATTAAAAAATTAAAATTAAAAAATAAATAAATGACAAAATTATGTGCATTACTAAAAATTATATTACGAAAAAAAAAAACTTAATTTTCAAAATTTCATTAATAAATTTTGGTTTGTAAAAAAATTATTTTAACTGCAAAATCTTATTTTTAAGACGGTAAATAAAAGCTTTTACTATTACAAAATGTATTTTTATTAATTTTTCTTGTATTTCTTTGAGCTCAAACATGGCTTATATTTACTAGTTTTATGTGTATTTACATTTACATAATCATTTTTCTGAATCGAATTTTTTTATTATTAATATTATTAATATTACAATAGAATTTCATTATTATAATACGAGTAAGGTCAGGAGGGGTAAATGTGAATAGTGGTAATTGTAAATGAGGCACCGATAATCAATGTGTCCACATTGCGATGGGATGTATTTATTACATGTTTAGTTCGTATTTGTTCCGTATCATCGAGTAGTGGAAATTCTCAATAGATTATTTATTTTTAAAACTTAATTGCACAGACGGTGGCAGATCCACATAATCCCAATTCCATAATATTATATCGATTCTAACATTGCATTTACGATAAAACAATATTTTGAAAAAATACAAGTCCAAAAAAAAATGATAACGTTCATAGTCACGTGGGGGTCAATATGACCCATTTTAACTTTGATGGATATTTTAAGTCACACATTTTTTTTTCGAAGGTATTTATTTATGAAAATCTATTCAATATTACTATAAAAACCATCTTCTAAATTTATATCTATGTACACCTTTTATACAATATAATACATCCGTTTTTTTTTATATGGGGGTATGCTAGACCCCCACGCGACTGTTTAAGGGTTAAATAAACTGTTGGCACATTGGGTGTCGGCCAAATAGCGTGATCCCATTGGTGATGGGCGATTCTAGAGATAATTTTTAAAGGCTATGGAATGAATTTTGATAATTGTTGATAAATTTGCCGACTAAAAAATTATTTTAATGAATACATATGATCAAAATGTATTGTGATAAAATACCGACTACTTATAACTTAAATTATCATTTGAAAGATTGCCACTCCTCCCCTATGAAACATTCAGCCTATGTAAATAATACATATATTTATACCAAATATTTATTGGTAGAGGTTTCTATTAAGTTAACTTACCTAAAATATTTAATTTGGATTGTAAATGATTTTTTTTTAGGCCTCCTCTTATAAAGTTGTTGTATTGCATGTATATTTTACAGCATAACACATAATGCAATAAAATACAACAAAATAAGCACATATAAATAATAAATTGTAATGATTTATACATTTTTCAGTTATATCACTTATGAGTGCATTTACCTTTTTGTTGGGACCTGAAATTATAATTAGAGTTATACTACTCTGTTTATTTTTTGTATCAGAACTACTTTACATACAATTTTTGGACGCGAAAATACCAAATAATGGTTCTCATCCAGTTTATATTGGTAAAGAACAATTTAAATAATATTACTTTATTATAATATTTATGATAAAAATGTATTATCACAATCAGTGTTGAATTGAGACATTTTCCTGAGGGAAGGACTCTAAGCATTGGTGCAAAAAAAACCCTCCCATATTTTCAATAAATTAAAAAACTATTAAATTAAATTTTATGAACAAAAAATAATTGGTTTCAACTCAATATTTGATTAAATATCACAACAAAATTAAAAAAAATTCTGTATTATCACTATTATTCTATGATAGCGGGGTTTATCAAAATGTTAGGGGAGTCTCTAGTTCTCTCTAAAGTTTACTCATATTCAACATTGACCACAGTGAAATATGTGGCTAATTAACATATCGCGGTATGAAAACCACAATATTTCACCATGTACAGAATGTTCATAAGCTATAGAGATTTGGTATTCATTTCGCGATTTATATAGATATTAGATTTCAGTAACAATAAATATTTTTAATTATAAATATATTAAAAATTCTGTATTTATATAGAGAGAAGAAATGATTTTACTATTAAATATACTAATAATGTTTCTTATTTTATATTTATTCTATTAAGTTAATTTACTTTGATAATTGGATTTATATAGCTTTTTTAAATTTATTTAAATTTTTTAGTTTTACTTTATCGGAATTGTTTAATTCAAACTGCGATGGCGATACTTTTGAGTGTCATAAGTAATAGCTTTCATAAACGAGGGTTAGAAAAATGTCCACGAGAAAGTCCAGATTGGCTAAAATCATTATCTTCGTTTTTGTTAAGTAAAAGACCAATTTCTTTGCTCACCAATTTAGATATGCAGGTGATGTTTACTTCATAAAATCAATTAATTTAATTAAACCTATATAATTTATGATAAGTTATTTATTTATTAGTTATACTTGACGTATTCTCGTAAAATCTATATTTTAATATAAAGAGCGGGTAACTAATTTATCGAAACTAATGAAGCCATCACAGAAATGTCACCAGTGACAAGATTAATGAAATGGCAGGATCGAGTCGCCAATAACAACAAATGCACAATAAGGGGACATCTGATATAATCCTTCCCTCAGTATACAATTTACCTTGGCGCACATAGAATACCATTAACAAAATACAATTGCAATAGGAAGAACTAAAGAAAATATATGTAAATGGAGTCTAACCACAGACGCGGACTGTGACTGCGGGAATGTACAAACAATAAGATATTTATTGGAATGCCCAAGTTTACTATTAAGAACTGATCCGTACTCGCGCACCGTCGCTATCAACGCTGCTACCTTTTGACGCTCGAGGATCAGGGCCGGATTTAGGGGAGGGCTGTGTGGGCTGCAGCCCAGGGGCCCCCACAAATTTGATATCACAAATATGATAATAATTGTTATTTAATAAGTAAAAAAATATATTTCCTTGTTTATGTATAAGGGGCCCCCACAATGCATTCCGCCCAGGGGCCACCACATACCTAAGTCCGCCCCTGCCGAGGATCACGCCGGACATAACGTCGTCGACGCCAGCGAAAGTGCCGCGATATTATGCGAAGATTACATGTTCCTACCGCCGCCGTTAATATATATATATACATATATATATTAATATTTATATATACGTATGTGTTAATATTCATTTATATATTCCTACAGCCAACGCCGCTGCCGCCATTTATACCATACCTCGTGTATAACGTTCCCCCCGCCACGCCCGCCCACAAAACAGCTATACCTCTTGCATGATACGTTTACGTACTTGAGTCGCTTTACATGTATATATATATATTCTAATTACTATTAAAACTTATATATTAATACGCTTTATTCTCATTAAGAGATATGTAATGTATTTATTCCTATTACGAGGGATGATTCCCGTATTTTTTCGTCACTACCTCCACGTTGCGCGCCTGCTGCTTTCCTTGGATGTGGTAGCTGTTACTCAGANTTCCTATTACGGGGGATGATTCCCGTATTTTTTCGTCACTACCTCCACGTTGCGCGCCTGCTGCTTTCCTTGGATGTGGTAGCTGTTACTCAGACTCCTTCTCCGGAATCGAACCCTGATTTCCCGTTACCCGTTACAACCATGATATTGATAGTAACTACTATCATAACATGAAACTAAAAAGTGAAAAATAAATATAGTTTAAAAAAAATTAAAAAACACGCTTTAAAAGCACATCGAACTAAATANCATTTTTAAACTATAGTTATTTTCACAGTAGTACTAGTATTTTTCGTTCATTATTGTTTCAAGCTTATTTTAAAAATTATTTTAAACTTTTTAGTTTGGATATGCTTTAAAAGCGTGTTTTTCAGTTTTTTTAAACTATTTTTTTTTTTTACTTTTTAGTTTTTATGACATCGCTATTACAGTCACGGAGTGTTTATTGTCAATTATCACTAGCAATGGGTATAATTTCTGTATTGCCAGTTAGTGTGTTTATAAACACACAACAATGTGTCTTATTACCATTGATAATAAAGGCTATATGCTTGCTAATATCGTCATAAAAAACCAATTAGCTACCTGTATTTGTATCCCTTATGTATTATACATGTATATTAACTCAAAAAATTTGAATCTTTAAATGTTTATATCTAATAATGAAAAATAAAAATTTGTTTAAATATGTAATATTGATGATTCGCCCGCATGTACAGCTACGAAAACCAAAAATTATACAGGAAATAGTTTCGTTGAGTGGTGAGCGGGGTGGGGTGAATGCGTTACAACGTCTAGTCTCAAGGCCATAGACGACGGGATACGAGAGATAATAACACGTGGCGAGTTATACACAATTCACATACATGTGAAACTAATATAAGCGTGGTAAAAAGGTTAGATCCAGAATTGGTCACTATAAACATAATTCAAAGGCAACTAAACATTAAAAACAAATTTCGAAAAATAAAAGATATACTAAAGAAAATATTGATAATTTAATATAAACGGAAAGGAAAATAATAGTTGGTTATGTAAAAATGTTAAAACTACTATATAAGGCTACATCTTAAGTGTCAACAGAAAGATTACTATCCAACAGATAATTTATCCAATAATTTTTTGGCTTAGAGAATTTGCTAGAATTCACGTAAATTCTTAAAAAAAAGCCATAAAATCAGGTTTAGAATAACATTAGGAATCTTTATCTATTTAAGATTTAACAAACCTTTATCTAAAAGACTAAGTTGGAAAAAATTCCGTGGAGAATTACAACGACTTTAAGAAAAAGTCTCGCTAAGAAAAAAAACATCGATGTTGTGATGGAGTCACGTTACCATTATTGCAAAAAATTATTATAATAAAATACATACAGCGCATCTGCTACTAGAGACTGATGAATTGACAATCGTCCGAATTACTATTTAAACTCAAAGGACCTGGCAATTGTGGTTAGTCGATTCAAATACGTAGTTTTATGCTTTGTGTAATTCATCAATTTCAATATTTGGTTGTTGCTTTCCGGCTACTGGGTAAAAGTCAAGTCTTTGTTCTTCCTTTTACTTATCTATTTTCGTCCTCTACATTTCAGTATACTTGTGTCTTGCACTTCGTCTGCACCTCACACCTAGGTGTTTACCCTTATTCCATTCCTATAACAACGGCCTTTCGATTCCCACAGCTGACTTGGAGTGTCAGCCGGGCACGGTAACTGCTGTACGGTCATACGTACGTGAATATCCGAGCAGCATATTTATCATCTTCGTACTTGCTGTAGGTTGTTTTGTGTTATGACAAAGTAACATTTTTGCCAGACGATACGTTCACAAGTAATAATAATAATGAGGCATCACATTTTTTTGAACATACACTTCTCTGGCTTTGAAATTTATAAAAGGGAACAGATACATGAAGTACAGGGAAAACGTGTAACCTGTACCAAGTGACAGCTTATCAGGAAAGTAATGGTCCAAAGTGGTAAAAGATGGACAATAAATGCTTTTGGCATTTTTAAAACTGTAGGCTGTGACATAATATTTCCTACACTTCTATAAGAAGGTCTATTTCTAATCTTCCCTCATCTTTACAACATATTTAGATCGTGTTAACCAATGTTTGTCATCCTGGAAGCTGACGAAATGCAGGGTCGTGTTTATATTTAAACCTAACTGTGCTAACTACTATGAAGCAAAATTTTACAGAACAATAACTCTTATTTCATTTCTTTTTAAGACTATGGAATAACTTATTGATAAGTATATAAAAGAGAGGTCTCTACATAAGAACCAATGTATGAAATTTACTGACAACTCTAGATAATTAACTACTAAATTGGAAAAAGCTGTAGAAGACAAAATATATGCATTAAGCATTTTCCTAGGCATCAACGAAGCTTTTATAATACAACCTTTAATGCTAAATGTGAATTTATACAATAGAATGTAATAGATTCATATTTTATTAAGTAAATAGGAATTATGCTTAAAGAAAACTCCATCATGGGACACTCAATGAAACCCAAGTCACTAAAAATGTAAAACAAAGAAAATATTTGGACAAACTAGAAAATGGTCTATCTAAAAAAATGACTGGTTGACAGCAGCTCTTGGACTAATAATTCATAAGATATTAGTATTTTTATAACAAGGTGGGGGTAGAGCAGTTTATTATGTCTAGAGAAAAAGTAAATATTTTCACTTTTTATATTAAAGAGTTAGTAACTTTCAAAATATCTTTCCAAAAGATGTTATCAACCTATAATTTTCTTTGATTGATGATCATTTTCTAGTTTGTAAGTTTGTTAAATATACTGAGTGTTCGGTAATTTAGGAAATAGGTCAGTTGTTACAAACAATGAGAATAGAAACCCATTTCCTTACTTACTGAACACCCACATATGTTTTCATTAAAAAAAAATAAAGTTGATGACATTTTGAGAAAAAAAGAAGAGGGATAGGAACTTTTTTTTTTTGAAAATTATAAAACGTATGATACTATTAACTTTTGAAAAGAAATAATAATAATTTATTTTATGTTTTTTTAATTAATTTTAATTTTAAGATATTAATGAGTCATAGTTAAGCAATCACTGTGTATACCAACGTTAATACTATTAAATAAATTTAATTTGAATAACTATTTGTAATTTTTATAAACAAGTAACCAAAGATAATACTGCTAATGACTCTTTATGGGAGAGTAGAATGTTTATTTTTACTTCCTGGCAAAAAACATTAGTACACAGATCCCATTGCCCCACCACGCTTTATAGGCAATATATATACAGGGTGATTGACTAACTATGCCTCACGAATTATCTCCGAAAATATAAGAGTTATAAACAATTTTTTTTTTTTAATCATTATGGATCTTTGATGAGCTGTTTCACGAGAAAATTTAAATTTTTACCACCATCCCTTTTGCTTAAAAATAGTGTCAACTTCATATTTTCAAATGGCAACACTTTTTTTTTTTATACCATTATATTTAGTTTAATAAAAAAAAAATGTTTTGTAAAAAGAATATTTTATTTTATTAAATTTTAAGCGCTCCGCGGCTTTTTAAAGTTTAGGGTTTATTAAGAAAAAATCATTACAGACGAGAACGTTATGGATCGTAAATCGATAAGCGCTACCACTTCTTATCGGTACACTAAATAATAACGATACTATATTTACCCGACTACTGTTTTACTTGTTAAATCCCCTAAACTTTAAATAGTAATATCTCGCTTAGAATTTATTAAAATTGATTTTTTTTTTTTTGAGAAAATTTTTTTTTTTATTATTAACAAGATTAATAAAAAAAAAAACTGTGTTGCTATTTGAAAAACTAAAGTTGATATTGATTTAAGGGTTGAGGGATGAAGATTGAATCTTCATTTTTCTTGTCAAGTAGCTCAACAAAGATTTATAACAAATAAAATAATTACATATACGATAATACTAATATTTTTAAAGAAAATTCGTGAGGCATAGTTAGTCAATCACTCTGTATATTTAAATTTAGTAGTTAAAATGTCATTCCAATTATTCTCTTATTGATTTTTTTTATTTCAATTTTTATATAATAATAAAAAGTATTAAAAGATTCCACCATTTGGCTCCTTTATTTTTAAACTATAAAATTAAGTACAATTATTTAAATATTCTCAATAATAGCCTGAATTATTTATATATTTATTTTGTGTTTTCAGGGTGCTGAGTTGCTAATGGAAAAAAATATTGAAGAAGAATCACCAAATAGAAAAAATGAAGAAAGTGCATTGTTTTGGATAAAACTGTCTGTTATGCTAGATCGCCTATCTTTTATAATTACTTTGATTGCAATAGTTCTTAACTTTATTTTCGCGATACCATAACTTTTTTTTATTCGCTTAATTATTTTATAAGTATAAGGATTACAATCCTTTTAAATGTTAAAGATAAATTAAGAATATTTTAATGTACTACAAGATTAAAAGAAAGTCTTCTCGGTGAAAATGACCAATCAATGTTGAAAAATAAATAATTTATATGTTAAAGTAGCTTTTTTTATTTTCAAAATAAAATTTAAAATTGCAAAATTATTAATATGAATTTCTAAACAGAAAGATAAGCGGCAACAGTGGTATTACCATTTCAGAAAACGATGATTTTTTATAAAGATATTTCGAGTAGTAAATACATTATACTTACCGACTATTGAGTAAAAGACGGGTTCAAAAATTCTTTTAAAACGAGTACCGGGTAAAAGTAGAGTCCTAAAAAAGAAAGCCGGTACCCGGCACATCTCTAATTTTTTACATTAGATCTATTTTTATTGCGTCGCCTTAGTCGTTTCTCTAAAAAAAAATGTATCCTTCTATTATTTGTGAAGTAAACAAAATTGTAGCCCAAATTATTAACAATTTGGACTAATATTTAAAATTATTTTAATTTTAAATTAATTTTGGGCTTTATAATTAAAATTTTCATTTGGACATTTAGATTATAATTTTAATATATTGTGTACTCGCAAAATGCTACTGATGCGACGCTATTTGAGTATAACCCCAAATGCCCATGAATAGTAACCAAGAGACCCAATAGATATACCTTGAGTAAAAATGGGTTTCTAATTAGATTATGTCCCTTAGAAAAAAACCAAGGGTCTAATGACTTGCGAATACGGTATATTTTTAAAACGCAAGAAGTTTGATTTTGACATAAAGTATCAAAAAGTCGTACATAAATATATTATTTTTTTAGTAACTACGATAATTTCCCATTATATTAAATATCTTAGAAACTTACTATACGTGTATATGAAAATTCGAACATTTTTTAAAAATTGCGTAAACTACTTGTCAAATTGCTTTTAATAACATATTATCATTAAAATAATGCATTCATGATAACATTCATTAAATTTTTTTAAAAAACAGGTATTAAAGTAAAAAAGCATGGTACATGTTGAAGATTTGAAACGTTTAAGCTCTTCCAAAATTTCATAAAAACTATATATATTAAATATATACCACGATATTAATTTTTAAAAAAATACATAGGGAGAATTTAAAAAGAATCCGTAAGATTATTAGATATGTATATTGCAATTAAATAAGTAATGTTAATACCTTTATGAGGCATAAATGTATAATAGTTGATAAATCAATTAATTGTATGCTTTTAAAAAAATTAAATACATATTTTTACCGTAACTTTTATATTGTAAGTAATAATAACATATGATAAACAAACAACTTAAATGTTGTTTGAAGGATAACATTTTTTATATATATATATATTTTGCATTTAATTTAAATTTACATTCTTATATTAAATGAATTAATTCACATTCATAATTCATACTGTACATATTGAATGAATTCGTACGAATGCATTCATTCCAAACCCTGTGTCTGAACCATTAAACATTTTCAAAGTCGAATATTGAACTCAGATTTTAATTAATAATTTGTATTATAATTTGTATCATTATTATATACCATATACAATCATGTATGGTATTGTTGAACAATGTTATAATAAAGTTTAATTTTTTTTTTAGTTATTTTAAACTTTGAAAAAAAATTATATAAGTAAGCTTTTAATTCAATTAAACGTATACATTTCAAAATCAACTTTAATGAGTTAATAAAATGTATTAATGGGTCTTACAATAATAATACTTATTAGTTAGTAATAAGATTATTCAATTTTAGTTATCTACACTGATACAGTTCTCGAATCAATTAATGGATAATTGATGTAGAGGAAATAGTTATCACTTTATCATTTATACATTCTGACAACGCTTGTACTCTTATCATACTAGACGCCTGACGCGTTGTTTTATGAATTGTGTGTGCGTGACTGATCGCGTAATGTCCATATTTTATATATTTGGAGAACTAGGATCACGGTTAAGTATTCAAAAATAAGTAAAAATAAGCAATGAGCATAACAGTAGCGTTAAATACAGAAAATAGTAATGGACGGCTAACTATAGGCGTACCAGCACACGAAAGCTGTGACGATTGTAATAGTATTGACATGGCTGAATTTGGCCACAAAAATAATGAACAGGTATTATATGTAAATTATATTAATTATAATAAGTTGATATGATAATATTCAGGATTTATTACCCGTTTTATTAATATTTTCTTCTTAAATTATATACTTATATGGACTTATTTTTATTTTAATCTTATAGCATTGCAAAATAAATATAACGCTACCAATTCAATTAATTATTTTTATTATTAATAATAATAAATTATTCAATTTATAATTATTTTTATTCACAATTTTAATACTTTAAATAAAAATCAATTAATTGTTTGTTTATTATATATTTTAAGCCTTTTTTTATTCGTAAGATATCACTTGTAGCTCAGAAGAACACTAGTAATTGATTCATTATTTAATATTTATATTTATCAACAATTTCATACAATCAATACTTTTCATTATATTATTTTAGAATAATGGCAACTGTTTTTGTAATATAATCAATAAGATAATATGTTTTTATTCTAGCTTCAAAAAGTTTGCAATCATCAGTTCAACCAAAAGAGCAAAGACTGCTGTTGTGATCTTTGTGATCTTATGAGCAACAATAATTTAAAGTATATTAATTAGTATATTAAAGTATATTAAGTAGTAAAATAATCTTTATTATTTTAGTGATAGTAGTGAAAATAAAAAGTGGGAAGAAAAATGGAGTTCCTTAATGAATTATATTCGTTCAGTTTATAGAATGGCTATGGATGGTGTTGAAATAGACCGATATCCAATTCATAAAATATTCAGAGAAGCAGCTGATGAGTAATTAGATATATAATTAACGATATAGGTTTTTACCTGTATAATTTAAAAAAAAATTATTGTTTAAGATAAACTTTTTTTAGGAATTTGTCTTTACATCTAAACTAAATAACTGTGGTGATTTAAATCAATTGCTTATATTATTTTAACTAGCGTACAAAAATTTATTATATCAATATGGGCAAGAAATAAGACAGTAACTTACTTTTTCTTACTTTGCAGGAAAATTAATTTAAAAATAAAATTTATTCTCTGATTACATGCTAATTTTATAAGTTGTTTTATTCCGATCCTTATTAAATTTTTGATATTTTGATGAATGTTACTATAAGAAAAGTAGGCCCTAATACAAATACCTCATAATCTCAAAATTGAATTTTTTGAGTTTTAACTTTTTCATTGTGCTTGGCAATATCTTCATTAAATTTAATATTGCCCATTGATATTGATTGTAATAAATTCTTTAAAACTCTTTAATTCTATTTTTGTTCTTTAAAATCTTGATGGCTCAATAAACCTTAGTAATTGAAAAACCTATTATAACTTATTATAAAAACCTATAATCTAAATCTATTTGAATTTACAATATTAATTTAAACCTAAAAAAATATTTAAATTAATAAGCCACAAAAAATACTTAAACTACTATCAATTTTAAAGTTTAAATAGTAGCTAAGAATTGATTTTATAACTTTTCTAAATTATGTCAGTTATTAAGTAAGAAAGTTAAGTTTAAAAGGAACAAGCAAAATATCACAAGTATTGGGGTTAAAATGTTTTTATGTTATCTTATTATTCATACTTACATAAATACAAATACTTATTATTTATTTTTAAATTTTCTTTTACAGATCTAAGAGTTGTGATTCTTATCATGTTTTTCAAAATGTTGAAAATCTTGTAATGGAGTTTGTATTAGAAGCAAGAGCAAAACAAGTACATATTCTTGAGAAAAAGAATAAAGATGCTCCAGAATTACCACAAGTGTTTGTTTTTTGTTAGTATTTATTTTTTTATTCATATAAATTTTAGAAAGTCAAATTAAATATTTTTACTGGATTTATTATTTAAAAAAATGTTATGTATTTTTAGGTTTATTAGATAGCTATAGAAAATTAATGGCAGCTGCAGATCATTTAAAGGAGGTTCTAAAACCTCTTGAAGATCATCATTTATCAAAATTTAATTTATCTTGGAGAATGATGAATCAGTATTTATATCATAGCCGACTTTATGCAGATAGAACTATCTATCATCTAGTGACTGCTTTTATTGAACAAGTAATTTAACTTAATATTCAAATTAAAAAAAATATATAACTATAAAAAAGATTATTAATATTTTCTTAAATGGATAGATTTTAGCAACACCTATGTTAGCCAATTCAACACTTAGTTCTAATTTAATTCATGACTATAGTAATTTTGTCAAAGAAGTAAAACTCAATATATCCGAGTGGGCTGAGGCAAGAACATGTATTCACAATGTTAAGTATGAATTACTTGATTCTTACCTTGTCTATTTTCATTAATTTATTTAATTAGGTGCAATGAAGTTTGGGCAATTGGCACAAAAAAATATAAAGAGTCAGTTCTAAAAGAGAGCAATGGATTAGACCCACCATCACCAACATCAGAAATTTCAGCTTGTTCAGAAAATTCAATAAATATGAGAAATAGTTCTACTCCTAATACACCTCCGCAGTCACCAACTCCTGAATTTAAGTATGTTTTATTTATAATAATTATAGTAGTTATTGTATAATATTATACATTTTAAATGCTAATAACTCACTATTTTTCTGATTGAAAAAAAATCATTTTTATTAAAAATAGGGAAAAATTTTATAATGAAGAATATGAAAATTTAGATGAAGATGAAGGTTCGAGTTATTGTGATTGCTTACGAGAAGCCTCTGTTGCAGTAAGAAACTTTTATTTTGATTACATTTTTTATATTACATTATACATTTTTATTAGTTCAACTCAATTAATACAACTATTGATTCATTTTGTCATGTATAAGAAACATTTATATTCATTTTAAAGTTTTCTTAATTATTTTTATACTTTGTATATGAAAAGAATTTTTGAAGGATATATTTATTATAAAAATGTTTGTAGTGTTATAAAAACTTATAATTATATTAAATTATGAACATCAATCTCCTAGCTATTCAAACTAGTTTTATTAAAATATCCCGATGTATCTCATGTCAATTATTAAAGAAGTAAAAAAAATAAGATTTTATTTTTTAATTTTCTTTTTGCAGTGATGTAATGATAAATAACTAAAAATCAAAATATTTTATCAATGTTGATCATTGTAAAAATATATTAATCTCTATAATTGTAATGATTCTTACAGGAAGAATCAAAACAAAGTATTTCAGAGTTAGAATTATTTGCTCACAATGAAAAATGTAGAAACCATCCAAAAAGTGCTGCTATATATTCTATGGATTCATTTTCATATTCTAATATTAAAGAGAAGATGGCCAATTTCTATGGAATAGATTTTATAAATAATAAAGATGAACCTAAAGATAGTACAGTTAATCAGTTTGTGAACAAAGTAAATATACTACAACAAATTTAATATACTGATAAGCTCATATAATGTAATTATTTGTTTCTAGATAAACAAGTTAAAAGGGTTTGAAGGCAAAATAGAACCCCAAATTAAATCAAATTCTATTGTAAATTCTAAATATGTATCAACAATGGATAAAAATTCACCTTGTTCTGTAGAACAATTTTCTAAAAAAAGATATCCATATCCAAGTATTAATAAACCTTCTGAATCTTCTACAAAATCTAACAATAAATCATCGTCCCATGGACATGCATGTCATAAACATACTGAACATACTAAAAGAATGCAACATCATCATGATGAAGCTTTAGAAACTAGTTCAGCGCGGTCAAGTCAAGATGATAATTGCTCAGAGAGATCAACTTCTAGTCCAAGACAGTGCGATTGTTGTTATTGTGAAGTATTTGGACATGGAGTAGTATGTTAACGATTACTATAGCTTCTCTTTTAAAATACAGTTTATTTATTTACATTACAAATAATGTCTAAATAATTTAAAATAATTTATGTTATTATAATTTGATGATACTTAGAAAAAACACGCTTATTTTGAAATAGGAAATAATTTCTATTTTTTCTAGCAATTGAAAACTATAAATGATAGGAATATGTTAATTTATTTTGAATGAAAAACTCTTTTTTCCTAAAAAAACTGAAATAATTTTACTATCATATTTAGTTACTCTAATTTCTGTTATCTTATTTAAAATGGGAATTCAATGTTTGAGTGTCAAAAAATTATTCATTATTTTGTTTATTCAAAGGCCTTAAACAAATTACATGTTATCTATTCAATATAATAAAACTTAATGATATTTAAAAGATATATACTATATTTAATTTACTATTAAATTTGGCCCTTAAAATATTTAGTTAAGAATATATTTTATTTATTTAGTCATTTAACACAGCGTGATATTTATTTTAATTCTTTGTTACTTATTCCATTTACATTGAAAACATTTTTTCTTTATGTTGAATCTTTATTTGATTAATTTTCTTATTGTAGCCTTCTATGGCACCAGTAAGCCGAAACTATCAAGAAATGAGGGATAGATTAAGAAATCTGTATCTTTTAAAAAAAGCAAAACAGACTGTTCACTCTTGTAATGATACTGCAAAACCACATCATAAACAAACTAGTACACAAAATATTTCTGTTAATTTATCAAATCAATCTCTTCAGACAAATGATAAATCTGGTAATTTCTTTTTCTTTTTATTTAATTGTACATTTTTTATAGAAGAATATATTTAACTATAATATCATATACAGAACAAAAAGGTATAGTCATTACTGCAAAAAAAAAAAATGTGTAAGCTGGCAAATTGTTCTTATTTTCAGCAAATAATATCAGTCATTAGTAGTCGATTTGAATAGAGATTTTGTAATTTTTTTTTTTATATATATATACTGTAAATATTGTATATTTAAAGTGCTATAATTAGATAAGTGTAAAACGTCCAGACATTCTGAAACATTTTCAAAATTAAAAGCAAAACAATTTTTTTAACAAAAGTTGTATGTGTTTTTAATTATTTTTTTCACATAGAAGATAATTTGGCCTTAATTGTTTAAAAAATGTACAGTAATTAATTTTTAAAATTAAAAGTTATCCCTTTTGACAAATCCTAATTTTAAAATATTGTATTCTTTATTACCAAAACGGAAAAGATTTTTTTTTCAATTTATAAAGTAAGTGTCTTCAACTAAATTAAAGTCTAGTTATTTTAACATTTAAATCAGGAAAATCCTGTAAAAACTGAAATTTTCAATTTAAATTTTCATATCCAAAAAAACACGATAAAAACAATATCTTCTTAGGTTTTCATCAAAATAATTAGTAATTACATTGTAAAATATTAACCTTTATCAAAAATTTTATGTTAGTATTAGGATAGAGAAAACTATAATAATGTTCACAATTATAAAATGGTTTTTTTTTTTTTTTTTTAAAGAAAATAATATTATATATAACATATATTTTATTTATGTTATTTAACTATTTACTTTTTTTTAAATTTAGGTCCTGTAAAAATTATTCAACAAAAAAAAGGAATAGAAGTCAATCCATCGAATAGTATTAAACCTAAAGATGTTCTAAAATATCAAAATAATGAACAGGGAATATTTAATAAACCTATTGATGAATTAGTAAATTTTATTGAAGGCAATAAAGCAGTTAATCAAAAAAGAGCTGCAAAAAAAGCTAGAAGACGTGAAAAAAAGGTATCTATTTAAATTAAAATTTTTAATTAGTATTTTTAGTAACTGACTAATGGAGTATTATTCAATAAAACTATGAGGAGTATTCAAAAAATATCGGGAATTTTCATTTTTCGCACATTTAGAGAGTCTGATAATCAAAATTTTTTTCGTTATGTTGGTACACATGTCCCAGAAGTATGATAAAAATTTCAGCTAGATTCATTTTTTACATTTTCAGTGGTACCCTTTAAGGTTAGACGTGTTTTTATGAGCTCAGCTATTTTTTTTTGTTAAAAAAATTAATCAAATTTTGAGTAAAAAATAAAATGTAACAAAGGTTATGGTGAGTCTGCCATGAGTAAAATAAGGGTTTACAAGTGGTATAAGCTTTTTTAAGATAACCGTGAAGACATTGAAGATGACAAATGGCACATCAACAACCGATGAAAACGTGGAAAAAGTAAAAGTAATGGTTATCAATGATCACTGAAACACAATCAGAGAAGTCACTAATGATATTGGAATATCGATTGACTTATATTATGAAATTTTTCCAAATGTTTTGAATGTGGAACACGTAGCAGCAAAATTTTTTCCAAAATTATTGAATTTTGAACAAAAACAGTGGCTAATGGAATTTGCTCTGGAGTCACATAATGATATCAATGGCAATGCAAAAATGTGTTATAATAGGTGACGAAACATGTTTTTATAGATGCGACATCAAAACTAAGGCTCAATTGTCCAGTAGTGGCATTCTGGATCGCCAAAACTGAAAAAGGCTCGACAAGTGCGATCAAACGTGAAGGTTATGCTCACTGTGTTCTTTGATTTTAATGGCATAGTGCATCATGAATTCTTAGCACGAGGTCAAACGAGAATTAGTGGCAAAACAATTCATGACTTTTGCACCATGATAATGCACCTGCTCACACATCATTGCTTGTTTGTAAATTTTTTACCAAAAACAATACTGCAACGCTGCCCCAGCCTCCATATTAGCCAAACACGGCTTCATGTGTCTTTTTTCTATTTCCAAAAATAAAGAGAACCCTAAAGGGCTGTCATTTTTCTAGCATAGATGATATTAAAAGGACATCGCTGAATGAGCTGAAGGTTATCCCAAAAATTTGGGATTTTGGAGTTTGAGAATTGGAAAAAGAGTTGGCATAAGTGCTTAATATTTAATAGGGACATTTTTGAACGCGACAAATAAATAAATATTTTGTTCAAAAAACGAAAAAAAATTTTAATTTTAAATATTTCAAAATAACCTTTTTCTTACAAACATTTTTTTGGGGGGATTAATAACAAACTTAAGCATAAGTTATTGAGTTCTAAGTATTTTAATACATAGATATGTACATAGGTATGTTGTGTATGTAGGTACACCTTGTATTAGTTTATGTGCACTCAGTCTGCAATTTATACCCATTCTATATATTGAAATGCTTATAACTGAATAACTACTTATTCTTAATTTGTTATCGACCCATCAATATTTTTTTTTTAAAGAAAAGCTAAAAATGGCTATTTTAAAATTTATAATTAAAAAAAAATTATTTTTTTTTATTAAATTAAATTATAAGTATGATTTTAACATAGTTCAAAACTTTTAATATTTTAAAAAAACAGTAAAATAATATAAAATAACCACTGAATTAAAAATTGTTAAATTTGTCTAAGCATTGTGGAGCGCTTTGTATACAGCGTGATTTTTTTATCATAACCCACTCAATTACTTACAGAGTAATAATAGTTAAAACATTTCTTTTTTTTTTGGTTATCTTCAGTTACACATTATTCTTGAATTATTAACTATGTAATACTTTTTAAGTTCATTCCATATGCCTGGTAAGGGTGTTAACTTTGTTTTTTTACACATATTTTGAATTTAATAAAATGTTTGGATTTTTAATTCAATAGTAAATAGCATTTGAATTATTAGTTTAACTTTATTAGTTTATTAGATATAAACATTTAAAGTTTCAAATTTTTGAGTTAATGTACATGTATAATACACAAGGGTTACAAATACAGGTAGCTAATTGGTTTTTTATGACGATATTAGCAAGCATATAGCCTTTATTATCAATGGTAATAAGACACATTGTTGTGTGTTTATAAACACACTAACTGGCAATACAGAAATTATACCCATTGCTAGTGATAATTGACAATAAACACTCCGTGACTTTTGTGTGATATTACAGGGTGATTTTTTTATCATAACCCACTCAATTACTTACAGAATAATAATAAATTAAACATTTTTTTTTTTCGATTATCTTTAGTTACACATCATTCTTGAATTATTAACTATGTAATACTTTTTAAGTTCATCCCTTATGCCTGATAAGGGTGTCAACTTTGTTTTTTTAAATGGTAACACATATTTTTAATTTAATAAAATGTTTGAGTTTTTAATTTAATAGTAAATGGAATTTGAATTTTTAGTATAACTTTATTTGTTTATTAGATATAAACATTTAAAGTTTCAAATTTTTAAGTTAATATACATATATAATACACAAGGGATTACAAATATAGGTAGCTAATTGGTTTTTTATGTCATTGCTGTCACAGTCACGGATTGTTTATTATCAATTATGACTATCAATGGATATACTTTTTGTATTGTCAGTTAGTGTATTTATAAACTCACAGCAATGTACCTTACTATCATTGATAATAATAATGCTGTGTACCTACTAATATTGATGTCATAAAAAATCAATTAGCTACCTGTATTTGTAATCCCTTGTGTATTATACATGTATATTAACTCAAAAATTTGAAACTTTAAATGTTTATATCTAATAAACTAATAAAGTTATACTAATAATTCAAATGTCATTTACTATTCAATTAAAAATCCAAACATTTTATTAAATTCAAAATATGTGTTTCCATTTAAAAAAACACCCTTATAAGGCATAAGAGATTAACATAAAAAGTTTTAAATAGTTAATAATTCAAGAATAATGTGTAACTAAAGAAAACCAAAAAAAAAATGTTTAAATTATATTTATTCTGCAAGTATTTGAGTGGGTTATGATAAAAAAATCACCCTGTATATATATATACATTTTTTTTGGAATTAAATATAGTTTAATACTATGTTTATACTACTGATGAAAACCCCAAATTAATCAATTATAATATTCAAAACCAAACGTTTTTTTTTTAAGGAAGAGATGGAGAGGAAAAAGAAAGAAGAAGAAGAAGCTGAAAGAAAAAGACTAGAAGAAGAAGAAAGAAAAAAAGAAATAGAAAGATTAAAACGTGAAGAGTTATTAAAAAAAGAAAGAAAGAGAAATAAAAACTTTATTAAACAACAAAAACAAGTAATAACAAGTAAAGGTCATCAGCAAAAAAAACAACAGTCATTAGATCAAACTTTAAAGAAAAAAAATAAACAGCAGCAAAATAAAATAAAGGACATACCTCTTAGTAAAAATGAAAAAAATACTCATCCTGATACAACAGATGGTGCTAAGATGGTAACTATTAAAAGAGATTCTGATAGTTCTAAAGTAACTATTACATTTAGAGGTGCTGTAGAAGATGATGTTTTATGTACTCTTTATGATAATGAAGGTAAAATATATAATTGAATAATTAATAAGAACTAGTTTAATACATAAATTCACATTTTAAGTTGTAACAATAACATAACAAAATATTATATACTGTAAATACTATCAACTTTTTTTAAACATTAAAAATATGCTATAAATAGATAAAAATAATCCTTTTTATAAAATATCATTCGAGATGAAAAATTTAAGTAGTCAAATTTATCAGTTTTAACTATATTTGTTGGTTATGTTAAATGTAAATTAACAGAGTAACTTTTTATTATTAAGGAAACTTAATCAGTTAATTAAGTCAATCTTATTTTCTATGTGTATCGCATAAAAGTTAATTTATGTTTTATTTCATCAATAAACTATTTAAAATTATAAAAAGTATTCTTAAATATTATTTTCTAAAATTTTGTTATCTTAATTACTTGAATTATGAAAGGACTACTACCAAATTAAAAAAAAAATATGACATTAAAATAATCAGAATATTGACACAGGTTGAAGTTCAAAAAATATAAATCATTTTTTGAAATTATTTAAGGTAATAAATAATTCTTATTTAAATAATAATTTAAATAAGAACAAAAAATAAACTATTTCGTAAACAATTATTGAAAAATATGAAACAAAAATAAATTTTTTTTAGTACTAATAAACAAAAATATTATAAATTAAAAAAAACGGTAGCACAGTGGGGTCACGGCATAGTAGAGACATTGCATAGTAGGGTCCAGTATAGATTTAATCTGACAGTGATTAAAATCACTATCATAAGAAACGCTTCGATGCAAATCTGTAGATAGTGTTTAATTTTAAAAAATTGATGGATAATTGCAAAAGCAACATCAACTTCTATTAAAATAAAATACAAAACCCATAATTATCATACAAAAATAGTATATTTTTCAATATGGTAGCCATTTGCGTATAGAAGATAGATCGTCGGGACAAATTTTTTTTTTTCATTTTGTAGTACATAAAATAAGCTTTAATTTTATATATGTTTAAAGGACGCAGTATTTCCGGAACATTTTCAAAAATTAAGTTGAAAAAGTTATTTTTTGTAAAAAAGTTACTATTTTAAATCCTCCCAGTGAGCAGAATAAGTGTTAGATTTTCAAAAAAAATTATATCAAATGAAAGGGAAATATCTAAGGTTTCAATACAAAAAAATATTATTTTTATTTGTTCATTTTTGAAAAAGTTATGGCAGTTTTAAGTACAAAAAACATCCCGATAAAATGTAATTTTTATCGCAAACATTACATTTTTTTTTAAATTTTCGACAGCCATTTGCACATAGAAGATAAGATGTCGGGACAAATTTTTTTTTTTCATTTGATAGTATATAACATAACCTTTGATTTGATATATGTTTAAAGGACGCAGTATTTCCGGAACATTTTCAAAAGTTCAGTTGAAAAAGATCTATGTTTTTTACAATATTTTAAGTTTTGAACGCCCCCTATATAAGGGGAAATTGTCCAATTTTAATAAAAAGTATGTCAAATGAAAGATGTACTTATAATGTATTTAGAAAAAAAAAATTTGTGCTGATATATACATTTTTCAAAAAGTTATAGCATTTTTAAGTTGAAAATTTAAAATCGAAAATCGAAAATTTTAACACAAAAATAGTGTTTTTTTAACTACGGCAGCCGTTTAAATGTAGAAAAAAAAGTGTCGGGACAAATTTTTTTTTTTCATTTTGTAGTACATAAAATAAGCTTTAATTTGATATATGTTTAAAGGACGCAGTCTTTCCGGAACATTTTCAAAAATTAAGTTGAAAAAATTAATTTTTGTAAAAAAGTTGCCATTTTAAATCCCCCCCAATGAGCAGGTTAAGTGATAGATTTTCAAAAAAATGATATCAAATGAAAGGTAAATATCTAAGGTTTTAGTATAAAAAAAAATTATGTTGATTTGTTGATTTTTCAAAAAGTTATGGAAGTTTTAAGAAAAAAAAGTGAAAAAATTTTGAAAATTAGCGATTTCTAAATTTGTAGTTTTTTTGGATATTTCCCCCATTTGCGGGGAACGAGGGAATTTTTTTCAATTTTTAAGGGTAATGTCTTCAACTAGATACGATTTGTGATCTTTTGACGTATTTTTGAAAGAAATCGGTCCAGTGAGAGCTGAGAAAAAGTGGCAACAGACATAAAAAAAAAAAAAAACACATCATAGTAAAATTAATACCTTCTCCGCTTCGCATCGAAGCTAAAA